TACAAACTGATAGTAATTAGTTAAATAGTATCTAGCTGTTTAGCTCAGTGTCGTGCCTATCCATTTATATTTCGTGTTCCAATAGGAACTTCCATAGTTACTCCAAACTGTGAAAGTATCTAATAGATCCCAATTCACAAATATTTGTAGTTGATGTCTGTATTTATTAGTCTATCAGTGTTTATTAATTTTAATTACTGGGTAAATAAAAAGTTAAAAAAATTGATTAATGTTTTCGGTTAAGTGAATCAAGATATATATATATATATCGATTTGTAATTGTTGTTGATTGCAGATGGCTTTAACAGCTTCACTTGGCGCGGCAAGAATTATAGTTTGACATCCCGTTTATAAGCGTATTAATTATTATAATAATTAATTAGGGAGGTGGTAGGGGGCGGGCGGTGAGTCATTCTGACCCCAGAATTCTTTGGTCTTCACCTCAGGATAAGAAGCAGATTTTCAGCTATGAGTAATAACATGTTTAAAAATACGTATGCGCCTTTTAAGAGTAAGATCTCCCTCTTCCTGGAAAATAATCTTAAATACCTAAATTTATTATTATATATAGCGACAAAGTAGAAATTTTGTTAATTTAATAGTAGTATTAATTAGAATATTCTTTAGTAACAAAATACAAAAAGATTTTAAGAATTAAACTAAATTTTGACTAAAACACAGTAAAACTCACAGGAATGTGAAGACGTAAGGCTTGTAATAATAAAAAAGAATATTGTAATACTTCGCAAAGTATGGAGATTGCACCAAGAAAATATTTTGTAAATAAGGTTATTCAGAATGTCTGGGTACGACGTAAAAGTCACAGTTCAACATTAATAGCAGGTCGCGCATATGCAATGTATATTATTTCTAGTCAGTAGGTACTGTATAGCTACCAAAACAGCTGTAATATCTTTAAAATACATCATATACATATCTCTAATAGTAATAAAATATTAATATTTGAATTTTATAAAAGTTACGTAGTTGTTATATAGAATGTACAAATACAATAGGTATCTACCTAACTCAGTTATTTGAAACAAACAAAATAAGTTCATTATATTCACGTTGTCCAAGTTTATATAAACATATAACAATTAATGCAAAATGACATATTTGTATGTAGGTATAGCTGATCCTAATTTACATAAAATGATCTTTTGATAATTATACTATTTCTATTTAATTTACAAAGAGTGTTCTAACGCTACTTTATGAAGTTGACGAAGCTATTTTTGATAATTGTACAATTTCTATGTAATTTACAAAGTGTGTTCTACCTCTATTCTATGAAGATAATGAGGCTACTTTTGATGAGTGTACAATTCCTCTCTAATTTATAAAGAATGCTATACCGTTACTCGATGAAGACGATGAAACTATTTTTGATGATTGTACAATTCTTATCTAATTTACAACGAATGCTCTACCGTTACTTTATGAAAATGATTAAGCTACTTTTGATTATTGTAAAATTCTTATCTGATTTACAAAGAATGCTTACAGCTATTCTTAGAAGCTTATCTTGAAGCTTAGCTTATTTTGAAGACGATGAAGCTATTTTGGATGATTGTACGTCTCCTAGGTAGGAGTTGCATTACAATATCTATGCGTATTACTGATCTATGAAGATGATGCAGCTATTTTTTATGTTTATATATATTTTTTATGCAATTTAGAATAGCAAACTAGCTGACGGCCCAGCTGAAAGAAGTAGTAACCGTCGGCTATAGACATGAGTGCAATGGATGTTATGCCCATGGTACTACTCATGTCTATAAGCGACGTACAAAACAGTATACGAGTATACCTACTGGTTCGCCCATGGTACCCCCCATGCGTTGCCATTCCTGAGGATTTAGGTGTTATTCCTCTGTACCCTGTAAATTCACTGCCATATACCACCCTTCAAACCGAAACACAGCCATGCGAACACAACTGCTTCAGTAGAAACACAAATGGGACAGAGGTACCCACAAAAATGACTTTTGTACAAAGTCTCTCTTTGGTAAAATATATACAATTCCTATCAAAATGCATGTAGAATGCTCTAATATTGTATGTACTACAGAATGTGACAATACTCATAACTGTACAAATATAGACTCTAGAATTGGCTGTACCAACTGTTTAAAGTGGAGAATTTGATATAAGTAAATTAAGAATTTTATATGTAATGTAAAAAAATTATATAATAACTAGCTATTAACCTACTGCAGGTAATTAGCTAGATACTAACTGTAACTGTACTCTCTCTACATAACAGTGGTGAAGCATTGATTGAGCATTTATATAATGACTTCAAACCTTTCCCTCTTGTATGAAATTCGGGTTTGTTAAGGATGTGTGTCACCATCGGGAAATATTATATATAATAAATCATAAAGATGGACTTTCTACTTTAGTACGAATGTATTAGTCATAAAATACGAGTACAAATTGTGTATACTCAAATGCAGCGGTTACGTGGTCTATCACAACCATTGTAATATTATAAATGATATATTATGTATAGTGATTATATTTGTATGAGGGCTTTATTTTCGCGACAAAAAAATATGACACATTTTAATAAAATATTGTGAGAAGATATTTTTAATTGTAAAAAAAAAAATACAATTATATCATATTTTTAAATCAATTGCCAAGAGAGTGAAATGAAGAGAAAAAAATTCGCGAATATATACTAGCTATTTATAAAAACAAATTACGTATAACTTATAACAACAGGTTGAACCAGTTGGTTATATTTCTAAAAAAAACTGATCCTTACCTTGGCCCCTATGGTTTGACAGTACAAGGTCGCGCCGGGTTATTGGATGGGTGAACATGATGAATTGGTGCATTGCCTTTTTTTGTATTCAAGCATAATATACATACACAATTAAAAAAAGATTCACTAGAAACAAAGAGAGTAGTTCGGTGAGTCTGAAATTTAGAACCCCCTCTATAATTTATATAGTGTGTTCTAAATTTAAAAGATTTATAAAGTCTTTAAATTTTAAAGAAAACTGCATATCCATTTAAAAAAGAAATAAAACAATTATGAGTTTGTTTTACACAAAAATATTGATTTACAACGTAATAAAACCAGTATCAGATCAATAAGAGAACAAATCTATTATTGATTGCAAAATTTTAATAATAAAAAATGGTACAGAATCGGGGAAGATATACTTAATGACACATACAAAAAGGCTTTTTTTCTTTTTTGAAGTCTCTAAAAAAGTAGTTATAAAACATATGGTTTTACTTTTTTACTATATATTGATGACAAATATACTTAGTAAAATTGTGTCAGCTTCAACAATTTTAACTATTGCTAATAGCACAGATAATATAAATAGTAATTGTGTAAAAAATGGAAATTTGTGCACGCACTAATTACTGATGTAGCGGATCACAACTATAATGTAAGTTGAGATACTTAAAGAAAAGCTGATGAGAAATTTATGAGAACATCTATAAAAATACACTTGATGATCGATCATGTAAGAAGACAACGTAACATCTATTTAAACCAGGGTTTCCAACGTGGGGCCCACGCCCTACACGCGAGCAATTTGACAGTTAAGGGGGGTAATTAAAAAATGGACTCGAAGCGATTTCAAGCCTCTTGCTCCGGACTATTTAAATGCAATGCTACGAGTAGATATAGTATCGGTGCCAAATTTAACAAAAAAGTAAATAAAAAAAAATGCTGTAAATATTTATTCGGTATAATTTCGTTTGACGTTACCAAAATATCAACTGGGCGATTAGAGTCGTCAAGTAAACTTTGTCGGGAAAAATTATGTATGGCGGTATAAAAATTTTGGAAATTTTCAAGTGGGACATGACCCAAAAAAGGTTGGGAAACACAGATCTTAATTGTATATATCATATAGATAAGTGTATATATAAATAGATTATCTATCTACTAGCTATGTCCCGTGGATTTTCTTGCGTCTATTCATATACAAAGTATTACAAAGCACGATGATATGTTAGGGTATCATCATCATCATCATTATACAAGTCATTATCTGTCTACTGCTGAACATAGGCTTTCCCATAGATTGCCATAAACAACGGTCCCAAGCCACCTTCATTCACTGACTCCCTGCATTTGAGGTCGTCACTCCATTTAATGGAAGATCGTCCTATACTGCGTTGGCTCGTACAAGGTCGCCACTCAATAACCTTTCTTCGCCATCAGGAAACCCTAATGTATATTCTGGACAAATTAATTAAAATCTTTTTGGATGGTAAGACGTTACTGAATAACAAATAACTAAATTATATTTTTACAATATTAGTAGTGTTACGCTAATATTCAAATCTAACAAGTGTGTTTTCATGTTGTTTTCATGTCAATGTGTTAAAAAATATTAAATTTGTCCAAATATATAAGATTTAAAAATTCAATGCAAATAATTTTAATAATTATATTAGAATAAATTCTCTTCTAAATAAAGAAACATCATTGTTTTCTTTGAAAGATGACAATAACAACATTTTATATACCAGTTAGAACAAAAAAAAAATCAATGACGCCAAACCATCCAGTAATGTTTGGTATTCATAAATAAACCTTGACCTTGAAAACGGAAATTAATAACACACAGAGACATCATAAAATAACTGGTTATAATGCACAAGTACTATTTGACTAATAAAAGTTTGTGTTGATAATAGATGTTATAAAGGTAAAACTTTTTTAAATTTACTTGCCAACTAAATACTTAAAATGGATATTGTACTAAACGCGATAAAAACTATTTCCCAACTCGTCGTCACGTTTTGTTTAGGTCAAATTATTGTTTGCCGCCATGGTCTAATTACACTGTAGCTACATTATAATTGTTTAATTAAATAATTCGCATACAATAGTGATGTAAATTCAAAATAAAGTGATCGATATGTTCACACAAAAACTCGCGCGTTATTGCATTAACAAACGTCGAAAGAAAACGCGCCCGTCTCGACAACGCAACTTTCGCCTGCACATCACTTACTTCAAACTTGTTTCAACTGTGGCCGACATTTTTACGGAATCGAACGCACTACCAGCTCGTACCGTGGCGCTGTGTTTACTGAACTGCTTGACTCCATTTTACTTTCAACCGCGTTTGTATAGAGCTGTTAATACCTACTCATTTGCTTAAACAAGCGTACATTTCAAGAGAATAGATAACGGGATGTTATCTCAGTATCAATATTGTACTAATTAATGTCTCAATTTGTAGATAACAGATTTGTTCATATTTTTTATCTATAATTTAGATTATATTTTTATTATTTTGTGACATCGAATGACACAACAACAACGTGACAATGCAACTCTTAAGACTTGAATAGTAGTGCAATTATATTGTATAAAATCTAATAATCTTGATTTTAATTTAACAAATAGAAATAATAAAAACAAAAAGTACCATAATCAATACGATATCAAAGCTTTTATTGCATAATATAATCGGAAATGTTACTTGCGAATAATTTTTTTTCCCCTTTTTTAAAAAACCCTATTTCTATATAGTCCATGCTTTGGTAGAAAACTCATTTCTCAACCTGAACATTTGGAGAAACTGAGCGTTTTAGTTATCATTTGGTTGACAACCCAAATTACTATAGTAATGCTAGGTCACGCATTTTGACAAGCCATATAATCAGTTAACGTGTATGTAATCATCTCGTGTCATCAGCAGTCGAGAAAAAACGACCTCGAGATTTATATTTTTATTGTTTCCTTTGGAGACAACTATTCCAACTCTTGTCCAATAATGAATCTGGCATTTTCTTTCTTCTTGGTGTTCTTTCTCAGTTAATAATGATTTCACATTGACACTAGAGGGAGTTACATTCACTTCATTATTGCTAGTATAATCACATCTCAATATAAAAGAAATAATAAAACTTTGTTTAATGTTCGCTTCCAGATTTTAATTTATTTATCACTGTCACACTATTATTACATACAGACATACAATGTTAAGCTCTATAAAATCTGAAATGAGACGTAGATTGCTAATGATGGAGGTAAACACGGTTTATGGCAACACTGCCGCCGTGGGAAGATTGCTCCTCTTGTTTTATGTCTAGAACATACATTTCCAATATCGTAATATATTTTTTTTTGATGGGTGAAAATGATATGGTAACCCCGCCTGCGCTAACGGGATACGCTGGCGGAGCACCAGTGAAGGGTGATAGATAAGAATAAAAACAGGCCAGTTAGCCCATCATGATGAATTCATCAGGAATTAACCATGATAGTTTCCAGGGAGAATCGCGAGGAGATCGACCTGGTATATTGCTAGCAATAGGATTCTCAGTCTCCATTAGTAACAATCCCTTTCCCCCCTATCGTAATATATTAGATAGGTATGCCATTTTTCTTCTGTGATTTTTTGAAGATGTAAACCCTGTGAGTAGTGACAGGTGAAGACTTTATTAAAAAAAAAAGGAACACATTCTAGAATCCTAGTTTAACTATTAGTGTTTGTCACTGTCTGTCAAATTAAGTGCAAAAAGGACAAAACACTTGAATGGATGATAATGGTATGGTCACCCCACCTGAGCTACCAGTAAACGCTGGCGGAGCACTAGTGAGGGATGATAGGTAAGAATGAAATGGCAGGTCAGTTAGCCCATCGTGCCGAATACACCTAGAATTCAGCACGATGGTTTCTAAGGCGAACCACGTGGAAGCCGTCCAGATAGGGTATATTGTTAACAATGAGACTGGTAGTTCGCATTACTAACAATCCCTTTCCTCCCGGCTTTTTAGGGGGTAGGTCAAGTTAGTTGACCCATGACGAATTTACTAGGAACTGGCCATAGTGTCCAGGAGGGACAGATCGCATTGGGATCAATCTGACAGGATATATTGCTAGCAATAAGGCTGCTAGGCTCTGTTATAAATCCTCACTCCCTCCCTCTGAAAGCATTTGGAATCTTCAGAATTTAAATTTTTTGTCTACTGAAATAAAGTTTTAATTACGTAATTGATTTTTCTAAATGATTTTCCATTTTATTTATCTATTTACGTAGGATACAAAAACATTTTTAATTCCGAAATATATCTCGAGGAAAAGATACTCGTAAATAAAATATTTTTGATTGCATTTAGAAAATCTGTTTACGTCATACATAATGAGATGTATATAATTATTTTAAGTCTCCATTTATGTGTATATTAGTGAAAATAAATCACGTTTGGTAACTATATTTTATATTGTATAGGATTGAAGGTATTTTATCAATCGTTTTAGTTCCAACTTCAAATTTGAACTGAAATGAGTTGTCTTAGCATAGTGATTCCACGTTAAGAATGTTCTTTGATAGATCAAAACATAATTAACTGATTAAATTCAAGCTGTATCAAAATTTCAAAATATATTCAATTTATTTGATATATAGCGATCCATAAAAAAGAGAACTGAGAGCCTACCATGAAATGTTTTCTGAAATTTCGGGTCCGAACAAAACACAAATGTGATGTTATAATTGCATAATACACATCGTTTAAAAATATTAATACTGTTAAAATATCGTTCTTTTGGACTTTTATGGTAGGAGTTATGACGAATGAAATGTTATGTTCTATTTACTAGACCAATTTTCGTATAAACAAAAACACGAAATTGAGTCCGAAAATTCGAAATTTCATGGTAGACCCCTGATCATTTGCTATACTTATTTGTGAGGGTCTACAATCTATATTTGTATAGTTTCATGTCAACAGAATTTATACGATTACAAGACTATGGACTAACAGACAGATATGATGAAATTTTTATGAGTATAAATCTTTAATATTAGCTAATCTTAATATACTTATATAAAAACCTTGTGTCACGATGTTCGTTCACGCTAATCTCTGAAATCGCACAACCAATTTTAATAAAATTTTGTAAATGTGTATTATATATTTTAACTTGAGAATTAGGATAATTTTTATCCCATTGAAAAAAAACCTTGTCGGTGGCGATGGGGGTCAAAAAAGCGTTTGCCATGTCAATTACTAATTTAAAAAATTTAACACCATAGATAATTTGTTATGAAATATGTATTTTGTAATATACACAATTAAAGCATTCCAATGTGCTCATGTAGTTATACTGGTATTAAGTGCTGTGCCCAAAACGATGCAGATGTTGCTGGTCACGCTCCAGCATTGTTGTTTTGATACGCCACATATTGAACCTCAGAACTCTCCTCAATAATTTTGACAGTGTTGTAGACTAGGAATAAAAGATATACGTTTAGACCTGTAATAGAAATACATATTATATTTAATTTATTTATATTGATCATTAAATGGTAGTATTTATTTATACAGGTAGTGAGGACTCGGTTTCGGTGAAGGCCCTCTTTCTTTTCCCGTGGGTATTGTTGGAGGCGACTAAGGGAGGGCGAGTAATGGTCAGCGGTCTTTTAAAACATCTCCAGAGTCGAACTACGGTCGCCAATCCGCCTGTCAAGTATGGCAACAATTGATAAAATCCCCCAAGAGCCCAAGGCCCTAAGGGGGAGCCTTATGTTTAGTAGTGGCCAGTTAAACGCTGGTATGATGATGGTGATTTGTTATAAATAGGTTTACATAGTAGATTTATTCATTGATACATAAAAAACCTGAGATATACAGAAAAGTAGGACGAAAAATGAGCACATAACGTTTATTCATAGTGTGGTTTATTACATCTGTCTTGCGAATTTTATTTAAATAATTATTATTTACAGTGCTTATTTATTTTCTACTCCACATAAGCCTAGTCGTAAGATAACATAGTTTACTACAATATTATAAATGTATTTTTTGTATGGGAATGATTTACTGCTTTTATATATAATATATGTAGATTACTCATTCAAAGTTGTGAAGTATATATTGTCTTCTAATTTACTTTGTGAATATTTGACTGTATAAAGCAGACAGGCGTTTTCCATTAAATAATAATCCAAAATAAATAATCCATCTATTACTTCATTGTCAAATTAAATTTTATGTCTTTTATTGTTGTAAAGATCTTACATATCATACGCCGTTAAGATTTGACAAACATTGTAGCTGTTTAGTAAGTAAGGCTTATAATTTGAAAAATATTTATTTTACCTGCAATAAAATATCATTCATAATTTATAACGACTCCTTATCGTCTAAAGAACAGAGGCCTTGCTGATATAAACTTACTATTAGCGCCAGAAACTAGTATAATTCCATTATACTAGTTTCTGCTTTGATTATGTACGTATTAAATGCAATTTAATAAATTAATTTATAATTACCTAAAAAGAAGAAGTAGACTGTATTCTCGACGTACTCTCTATAGTCAAAGTACACAAGATCCATGCAGAGAGTCATGAGTTGGAACGCCACGCCAAAATAGAAGTATATCTTCAACAGCACCTGTTTCTTCTGGAATAGTTAAAAATAGTATGTATTATAACCGCGTACAGCTTATAATTAGTCATTATCATAAATTAATAATAAAACAATTTTGTACTCATGTTAGGAGTATGGTCCTTAAGGCAGTCTATAAAGGTATAATGACTTCAAACATCTAATACACCTATCCCCCGATTTACACGGTAGATACGTTCCTGAGAAAAACGTGTAAATCGAAAATTAAAAATTTTCAAGTCAAAACCGTGTAAATCGAAAAGCTTGCAGAAAATGCATAATTTTGCTATTTAACAGTTGTGATTTTTTTCAATATTTTTAGGTGTACACAGAAATAAAAATAAAATGCATTGACAGGTTAAAATATGTAATATATTACGGAAACACTGTTTTTTTATTTAATTACAATACATTAAACGATCCAAAGCGATCCAAAATTTCGATTTTAGTTTCTAAAGAAATAACTTTTCTTTTAACTTCTTTCAACATTATAAGCCTATAATTTTTTTTTTATTTATGTTAATTTATAAAAATCTTAATTATGCACTCACTTGTAATTTACGAATATGAAAAATTAAATCTTTCTGACACTGTGAAACTTTCACTCAAATACAATTTTCCGTAGATAAAACTTTAATTTTATGCGAAGAAATACAGACACAGTGTGCATGTGCAGCATGTCAGCATATAAGCTCGGGATTCCCCGTGAGATGTGTACACAGCGCACGTGTTCAAACACAGTAACATTTAGTAGAGTGCGATAAAAAAAAAAAAAAAAACTTATTTGGAAAACCGTGTCAAAGCGAAAACGTGTAAAACAAGTACCGTGTAAATCGGGGGATAGGTGTATACATGAAGTTTTGCTTAGTTTGTGACTAGATGGCATAGCGTGATATATTATGGGTAGATACTTAGTATACTGCTAGTATTATACTATCTGCGGTATAACGTACTCACATACGGCAATTTATGTTGTCATTTATGCATGGTTTCAAAAACTTTCTTATTTATTTATCTCAAACTACTGAGCAAATTGTAAGGACTTCATTTAAAAGCAAAATTTAAATTCGAAAGAATTCTTTATATAGAATATTCTATAGGTGAAAATAACAGTTTCCTCAAAGAAACATGGATTGAAATGGTTTAAATCACTTAGAGTACATAGACATTAACGTCTAAAAAAAAAAAAAATTATATATATATATATATATATATATATATATATATATATATATATATATATATTATTTTGTGGTAAATTTTGTGGCTGTGCAAACGTCAAAATTAAATGTTAAACGTTAAGTTATTTTTTTTTAAAACACAATTAATACTAAAAATATAATATACATACTATGTACTGAATATAAAAATATATAAATTAGTAAAATGGTATGTTTATAGAAATAATAAGAATCTTTATTAATAAATACAGGGTTGCTTTGTTGCATATTTTGCCCTGGTTTTCAAATTAGGGTAATTAAGGTCTTTAGAGGCAGTTTCTTTTAACATATAAAAACTAACGTAATAAATTTGTATATGCAAATTTAATATTATTGAATTTCAGTATTTAAAAAAATAGTATTGAATAAAATATTGCAATTTAAACAAAAAATACTTACCTTATGAGCTCCTATGAGTAAAATTATAGTCATAGTGACATCGATGACTACAAACGCGATTGTTAGAGGTAAGTGTATTAGTGGATCCATAGAGCCAGGGTTCTCTATAGGCTTTCCAGTGGTCACTTGTTCCACCAGCAAGAATATTAAAAGGGGAAACGATAAAAGTGATAGTACCTGGAAAAAAAGTTTTATTTATTATTATTTTTTTATACTAGTTGAAATCGATATCGTTAGCATACTTTAAAGCGAGTGTTCTATTAGCAAATTTGAATACTATCACCAAAGAAATATGGGTTGAAAAATAACAAATAATTTTGAACCTTTCGTACCAACACGTCGCCTTCAATTGTTAAGTTTGTACGGAGACATAAAATTTTCTGCTGTTTTTGAATGTTTGATTGACGAAATTTGTATCCTAAATATTTTATATTCACGAGTGCATTTTTAATTTTATGTATAGTTAACGATCTTTGAATAAGAAAGGTGATAAGCATACAATACGTCTAATAGTAAGCGGATGGGGGGAAAAGGATTATTAGCAATGGATTGCCATTACTAGCAATATGCCCTACACTATCATGAACAATTCTTATTGAATTCGTCATGATGGGCTAACTGACCTGCTTTATCCTCATCTATCACCCTTTATTGGTTTCCTGTCAGCGTACACCGATAGTGCTGGCGGGGATAACTATTTCATTGTCATCCAAAACAAAAATAGTAAGCGGATAGTTACAGTACCCCAAGAGCCCTTGTTTGTTAGAGATATCAGTTTCGCCTTACAGAGTCTTATGATATGGAGTTTCCGAGTCTGTGACTCAACATGTAAAAATTTCACTGCATTGAATTGGTTGAATGCATCTGTTGTATTACATATACACAGCCGATGTGTAACAGAAGTAGGCGGGACAGAGATATCCATATAGGCGACTTAGTACTATGCTTCTCTTTGGTAACTGAATGAATACGAGTGAAAATACCTTATTGATTCATCATCTTTTGTTTTCTTCAAATAAAGATAATATTACATTAATTATGTAAAAAAAATAATAAGTTTTTTTTTCTATATTTTTTCTTTGGAATTTTTGTACACTGAATGTGATGATGGTAATCCTATCCTATTTATATTAATTGGATTTGATACATCCGCCCATTTATTTATTTATATGCTATTGTACATTCAATTTTAATATATATATATTTAAATAGGGTTATTTCTCTTTCAATTAATTTATTATTGAAGTATTGTACTGATATTCGTATAAGATTTTAGTATGTTTTCTATTAGTATAACGCCATATACTTTTGTATCGCATATTAAAATAAGATACGTAACTATAAATTTATCGAATACGTAGGATGTGACCTTATGCGTTACATACATGCGGGCAATGTCGCGGTCACAATAGTTTTTTTAATGAATGAAAATGGTATGGTGGACCTACTGGCGTTAGTGGTTCACACTGGCTGGCGAGGTACAGCGAGGAGTAATAGATTGGAATCTTCATCTTGATCCTTTTATTATTATTATTTTATATCAGCCATGTCCACTACCTTAAGAGGGAGCTTAAGGGGTTTCTGCCAGTAGTTGCCATGTTTGGCAAAGTACAGCTTGCAAATTGGCAATCGCTGTTAGGCCTTGGAATGTTTTAAGAGGGACTCTGCTGTCATTCCTCGACCTTAACGGTGTCCTTAATCGCCTCTTACGATATCCAAGGGAAAGGAAGGGATGGCCTTTTCTAATATGACTATATTACCCTTAAAGTATGCTAAATATTAGATAGTTTTGTATGTTTTTTGTTTCCAAGACATTAGTTAGTTATCTGTTTGATTAGACATTTCCGTTCGAAAGTATTTTCAAATGCTTCATATTCTAATTTATGTTTACAGTTGAGTTTTAAAACATTTCTCTGCAAGGATTCTTCTAAAATGAATTATGTACATACCTAGTACAGTAACAGAATAAATGTAATAAAGAGATTTAATTTTGCTTATATGATAACTCAAATTAGGTCTAGGCTTTCTCCCATTTTCTTGTTAAGTATAATCATTTAAAAAAACCTTTCTTACCTTTTTTCTTTTATTTTTACATCTTGGTTTTATTATGTTATGTTATATATTTCTGTTGTAAAATGTGTATAATATAATGAAATGTAATACAATATTTAGCACCTATTATATTGAACATGAGTGTAAGTTCGTTGTTATGTCTATTTTATAAAGTATATTATAGATAGATGTATAGATACTCTTCTTTGTTTCCTCCAAACGATTATAAACAATTACAAGAAAATATTACAATGAGAAAACAATGGGCGGCCTTAACTCTAAGAGCGATAAATATATATGATGATATACCAAAGTATATCATATTATACATCTAACATACATAGTTGTTGGACTTAACAAATATGCAAACAAACAATCTCATAACACTTTGACCTTTAGAGGTGATATAGCTAACCTCAACCTTATTGCATACTTATATTTTGTGATGTTCATAAATTCATGACATTTCATTTTCTATCAGTGGAGCGATGCGGTGGGAAACTCATTTGCTATTTCCAGTTTTAAAAATGTAAACAATTTTATGTGGAATAATGTAATATATTGTACTTTTTAATATTTTCTCTTTGTATCTAATTAAAAATTCATTAAATTTGGAACAGTTAAATAGATATCTGAAATTATATAATTTCTAATCATATGCACTATTAAGATCCTTCATGCTTACCAAATTAACATACGCAAATATTGTTACACCCTTTCGCACTGGTACACAGAAACAACACTTCCTAACTACAGGTACAGTTGGACATTTCGATTTACATAATTTTAACATATTTTATGTTTATTTTTTACAATTTAATATTATATAACTAGTACTAGCAGCACATATCAAATCAGGCAGTCGACTGGCAAGATTAGTTACAAAAATTGCATCCTTTGAAGACATCTTTTAAATAGAGAATTTCCTGCCTACACTGCTGTCTTGCCAGGATTGTGATTTTATTTGATAGAGCACAATACATTGAGGCGTTTAATAGAGTAGTGGTCCTTTAAATCTTTGTTCAGGACCCAAGGAAACAGGCACGTTGCGATTTTCTTTATGTTTCATTTTATTTTAGTAGTTTGGTATGTTGATAAACAGTATATAAAGGTGGGTTTTGGTCACGCGGAAGCTGAGATGCCATTATTATTGTAGAAGAAATCAACGAATTAATAATTTGTTTTAATAAATAAATTGATTATATTTGTAATTTATTGCAATAAATTATATTTTTGTAAAGTTATATCTGCTTATATTGATACTCGTAAAATATAATAAAATATGAACACAATTGCCCTCTTAAACTCATCTGAAATTATTTTTGTTCTTAAATAGATACTATAGTGTATTCTTTTGGTGGTAGAATTTTGAATGATTCGTGTGCTAAACATTTTTGCTACTACATAATACTAGATAGAACAAGAGAGCAACATCGAGATTCTTTTTCTTTCTCATATGTATGGTAATGAAACCTATCGATATATAAATTTGTTTACCCTTTATCGGTAGTAGATGAGTACGTTATACTTAAACTTACCTATTTCTACGAGAAAGGAATAATGCATTGCGTGCATATGTTTTGTTTTGAAAGATAATATAGCCCACTGTGATGAGACGCACAAACAATTCGATTCCAGGAATATGTGCACGAGCGCCGCTAAAGCTGATATTAAGTACCTATACTTTGTGATCCATGACATCATTCATAACTACGGGCGACGGTTACTATGCAGTGGGTTGTCATCTTGCCATTCCTTAATACCTATATAAAAATTAGGTATACCTTATTCATATAATAAAATTGTAGTTAGACAATGTTTGAACATGAAAGATATTTAATAAAAATTAACATAAAGGGTCTTAACCAGAAGCCAAAATAAACATTTTTGAAAATTTTGTTTGTGTCTGTCTATTTTTATGTTTGTTTTGGCATCACGCAAAAACTAATGTACCAACCTTGATGCAGTTTTCAACCAACTTCAAAAAGAAAGAGATTTTCAATTTGGTTGTATTTTTTTATGTTTGTTACCTCCTGAATCCATCAGTTCTAAACCGATTTGAAAAAAATCTTTTTATCTGAAAGGATATATTTACAAATATATTATTTGGTTCCACAGAAATTTTATCAAAATCGGTTCAGAAGTTTAGTTTTAAGATCAAAATTTTATCATAATTGAAGTAGATTTTTTGGGACATAGTCTTTATTTTTTACAAAATTGTGTTTTTGAAGGTATAACTTAAAATAGGCATATTTTGTTTTTTTTTTTATACAACTTAGAATGGCAAACAAGCTGACGGCCCACCTGATGGAAAGTGGTAACCGTCGCCTATAGATATGAGCAGTACTATGGACATAACAGAGTATATTGTTTCACCCATGATACCCCCTATGCGTTGCCATTCCTGAGCACTCAGATGTTATTCCTCTGTACCCTGTAAATTCACGCCATATCCTACTCTTTAAACCGAAACACAGCCATGCAAACACAACTGCTTTATTTTGATACGTCATCTAGAACAATACACTATTTTGATGGTTGTCCCACTTCTGAAATCCACGTGTACAAAGTAACGGGCAAAAGCTAGCATAGTATATAGAATAGAAATACATTTTTCACAATAATTAACGATTTTTAATTCCGCGTAATGAAGAAGTAAAAATACTATTATGTTGTGTAGAGGTAATTACGGGTACTTACTAAGTATTATAAAGTGATGGTGCTTTGGTTTCTCTAACGTCAAAACACAAAGCTTGGTCAGCGGAATCCGTTCCACTGACATAGCTCTACACAAGCACGATTGCTCTAGGTGGAAACACGAGAGATATCTCTGCCCTTTCGTGTTTCCGCCCTCACAGGCGAGTTTTATGTTTTCAATGTTGAATATAATGCCACATACTCATATAATGCCACATATTCTATGTGATTAAGTATTTTTGACTATTGTAATATTTTGTTTTGCAATTGTATTGCAGTGTATACTAACAGTTACTTTTATTTTTGTGTATTTCTTTCACTAGTAATTCGAGTTAATCTGTTTTAATCTTGTCTACTGGTGTAATAATAGTGTTAACTCCATTTTAGTACATCAACGATGTCACACTCTCTAAAGTATTTAATAAATTTTATTAATACTGAAAAAAATAGTAAATTTTGAAATATGCCAATAAATGACAAAGGGTGAAGTTATCGAAAATTAAACGAAAAAATTATGGTAATTATAAAATTTATTTTACACACTTTTTTGCAGATGAGTTTTTAATTTCATTTGTGTTATAAACATATTTAATCACACCCTAACTTAAAAATATGTAACAGATTTTGGAGAAATTTAAAAATATAATATAAAAGTTTTTTATGTAACATACTGAAATATAATTAGGTACTTAGTCTAATATATAAATAATAATTTGTTTTTTATGTATTATGTAACTTATAATGGTAAACAAGTAAGTAATTGAAGCCTATAATCGATTATCAGATGACATTAATTTTAAGTCTGTTTCTATTTGCTATATTGGCACTGAAATTTATACAATATATGTCGCTATTGTAGGTGTAAAGATTTATTGCATGTTAATTTAGTTACCTACATAAAAAGATAAGCAAATTTTCAATTCGGAGTTCCCAAATGCAATTTGTTATAGCATATAGCAATTAGAAGAAATATAACATCATTGTTACATGACACGTTTAGATTGAGATATTTGCTATATATGTATATCTCATCTATGAATTATAGATATTATAACCTACTTTATAACCTCTCAACTCAACTTAAACAAAATTATAAAATTAAGTAAATGTTAATGTTAAATTTGTCTGTCATAGATCTCTTTAATAATATATCCTTATATTTATACTAATGTTATTATAATGTTGTTATAAACAGGAAAAAATTTGATTGTTCGTTTTGTTTGTATGTAATGAATAAACTTAAAAATAACTGAATTATATTAAGAACTTTAACATCATTTATCAGCAAACAACATAGGCATTTATATATAACATAGGCCAACATTTATTTCCTAAAATTCTGTCTACATAATTATGAAATAACAGAAAATGTGAGTGTGTTCGATTGCTTATTTTTTAACAGCGCTTTCGCAGATCAAGCAATTGTTACAAAATTTTGCATGCTTGTATTATGTGGGATGTAAGAGAATATAATTAGGCTAATTTTTATCAAATAATATTATTTCACTTAGACGAACAAAGTCGAGGGTAAAGATTGGTAATGAAATGAATACAAGTATAAGCATTATTCATTGTTTTTTAGTCTTTAATAAAATGAAACTATTTCATGTACAAATTTTGTTAATGAAAATTTAACTCCAGTTGGTATAAAAAACAATTATCTTTTTATTTTGTTTGTACCAAACTTAAAATAGTAAGTACTTAGATAATGTTTGGTTTTTATCTTTATAATATTTTAAGTTTAAAAAATATAAAATAAACAAAGAGAAACTTAAACAAATATGAGATAATAAAACTTACATTTCATTGAAATACTAATATTTACTTACCGATTAACGCTAATAACTTAATAATGTTTGACGCAATTACAACAAAATAAGTTAAACTATTCTTATCTAAGAGTTTACAATAATGTACTTAGGTCATACGGATTTAGATTATATATATATATATATATATATATATATATATATATATATATATATATATATATATTTTTATTGTAAAAAACTTCCAAAATTTTTTTGAGCATATGTATTATGCTCTTTAAGAAAAGTTGTTCTGAGTGCTGAGTGTAAGTCACAAGAGCATTCACATTTACGTGGATATATCTGTATGGAAATTTAAGTTCTTAAAAATATCCGCAGTTAAATTTTCGATACGAATCAATGTAAATCTCTGTGCGACACACACTAGTCACTCAGTTTCATTAATACCATCTCTGTTGGCATAAATAAATATATAAATATAAATGACAAATAAATATTAAAATAAACAACATCATACAGTACAAAATGCATGCAATTTACTGACTAATTATTCTTTGTATAGGTATACGTGTATAAATACCCGATATCACTATCAGTCGTCGGGTCATAATAACAAAAGTAATACAAAACAATGGACATATAAAACCCTGGTCGAACATAATAAAAATAAACGACTGTGAGTAAGTCTGATAAATAAAAGTTTAAAACGTTATCCCACCCACATATTTTTAAAGATTAGTAAAATTGTACATTTTTCAATATTTTTAGAAATGTAGCTTACAGGTATAAGGTAAATGCGTTGTTGAGCCGAAAAAATGGTTTGATATTTTTTCGTCTATTCGTGTATTTGTTGTCAGTTTGTGTATCAATGTTTTACTTAAAAGCAGCCACATTGGTATGATGAAAATTTCACACCATATTAAGCTACTTAAATATGGTTCAACATGTAGACAACAGAAAATTAAAAAAATCTCGATACGGTTTTAAAAGAAACCAATATCTTGTCCTTTTTACTCTACTGTCAAAAGAAAAAGGACCTTTTTCGATTGTACTTTAGTTTTTATGAATATCAATGATACAATACATTTATAACTGTATTTATATTACTTTGCAACTATATGCAACATTAGTATAAATTAAGTGAGTGCTATAGGCTACATAAGGAAAACACGAGCACAAAATAAATATACCATCCATACATAAATAACAAAAAGCATGTCACAATTATTAAACGGTTGGGATTTTTGTGACTTCATCGTGTGTACTTTACTAATCTATACTAATATTATAAAGTAAAAAAGTTTATTTGTTAATTTTTTAATCTCGTTACGTTATTTTTTGGAATTACTAGTATGATTTGAATAATTATTTTTGAATTAATTAACTCGTTTCTTGAAAATGGTTGTAGACTATTTAATATCACGATACTACTCTTGTAATATGACGAGTGAAAACGACATAGTTTAAAACACACGATGGAAATTCCAAGCTATTACATTTACAAGTATGGCATCAAACTAACTGCAAAGTAACGTCGGTCGATAGATAATATCCTCATTGATGTATTGCTTGTCGTTCAGTCTATTGGCTCTAGGAACACCAGTGATGTTTTAAACAGTCTCTTTTCCATAGGTCATGGTGCATTGTGCTTCTGCAGCGTGATTTACAAAGCTAAAGTTAGAGTTATCTCTTAATTTCAACATTTCACTCCTAACCAGTATCGTGATATAGATGTGCAGCACTGAAATCGTACAAAAAAAAAGAAAAATGTATTAAAAATAAAGGTTTTCATTAGTAGGAAATATAATGGTGAATCTTTTACATTATCGGTTTACACTGATGAGGAACCAGTGTCAAAGGATCCAGGGAGGAATGGTGACAATGGTTTAAAAAAATAATTACAATGATTTTCAGGGAGGACTGCGTGGAGGTCGTAATGACAGAATATATGCTTAATTCCTATTACTAATAATACCCCCTCTTCTTTAATAAAGTTAGATAAAGTTTGCTTAGTAATAATATACGTATATATATCAACATCATCTTCCTGCCCTTATTCAAACAACCGCATTTGTTATACAGAGGAATATTTTTTTTATTACCACAAATGGCAATTGAATATACAGTGTACCTGATAGTAAGCAGTTGCTATGGTCTATGAACGCTTGTAATATCAGAAGCATTACGTGTGCGTTATCGACTTCGAAGAATCCTCTTAACCCTTTTTTTAAGGATTTATATTATACACACACAGGATACTTTTTATATTAATTTATCTGGACAAAACTACTGATTTAGTTATAGAAAACCAGAATATAATACTTACCAAATACAGCAGCTCCAAACAGTACAATCTGCACCACGTACATTAAAAGCATATACATGAAGGGGTTTGAATAGGTCAGCACAATAAACCCAATTATGAACACTGCATAGCATATTATAAATATTACTGCCATAGCTATGGAGTAATAATAGTAAACTTTAAATAAAATTGCATTTTTCTGAAATAGAACAAAAAAAAAAAATATTAAATTAAAGCACCTATAGAGAAAATTGTATTCATATACAGATTTTTGGATATAAAAAAATGAGGAGTCAGGCTTGCGCTCGCGTCACAGTCGCTCATGACTAAGGATCACGAATTGATTCCGAAACTACTTGAGCTTTTTCGATCTAATTACACTTAAGTTAAATCGGTAATTATTACATTAAAGTAAATAAATAAGTTCTTTATTTTTTTTTATCTGTCCAAATTGATTAATTGAGTTCTTATACGCCTATTAGTTTAACGTTATTCTTAAAATGGTTACTTTATGATTAAATAGACGTACTAAGAGGGGGCCGGCGTAACCGCCCTTGGATACGAGCAATGTTTCGCAAAAATGTGTTTTAAGAGTAAATAATAATATGCGCCTTTTTTAAGGAGCCAGAAGTTCCTTGAATCATAATCTTAAATACGCCGATAATATAAACATTTGTTATTTACCTTCCATGTAACTACTTTTCAACTGATTTCAAAAAGAAAAAGGTTCTCAATGCGGTTGTATTTTTTATGTTTTTTTAGCTCATAACTCCGTCAGTTGTAAACTGAATTAGAAAATTCTTTTTTTTTTGTCTGAAAGGATGTGTACGTACTTAGAGATTTGTTCCATAGATTTTTTTCAAAAATCCATTCAGTAGAATAGTTTTGAAATAAAAATAACTGGTTTTGCCGTATTTGAAGTCGTTTTCTTGTGGCACACTATTGAATTATGTGTGTAGTCATATTGTTACTTTGGATAAAAATTACATACAAAATCTCTGAGTAAAAAAAAATTCTATAGACTTAATACTCCTTTCAAGAATTTCATTGTAATAGGCATCAAGTAGATTTTTTATACAACAAAGCTGGCAAACAAGCATACAGCCCGTCTGATAGTAAACGGTCACTGTAGTCTATGAATGCCTGCAACACCAGGGGTGTCACGTGCACGTTGTTGATCCTTAAAGAACTGTAATATACCATTTTTGAAGAAGAAGAAGTAGTCTCTCAAATAGATAAAATTGTAATATATTTTTGCGAAGAATGAAATAAATAAATTTACTTACCAAATGACCAGCTATGAGAAGTACGATGCTAAATATAATTTCCACAATAATAATCGTAAATAATATAGGTATTGATGGTGGTACTCCTATATTATTATGTGTTTCGCTTGCGCTTTGATAGTCTAAGAAACGTTTCAATTCCAATATCAGTGTCGTGAATAAAGCCAGTAGTGGTAGCTGCAAAATAATTTTTAAGTTAATTGTATAATTAAAAAATATTTTTATATATATATATATATATATATATATATATATATATATATATATATATATATATATATATCTGACAATTACAATTAGTTTTAGAATGATAAGTACCTACTTATACGTATCAAGAGGTAAAAATAATGTAAACCTACCATGATAAAGGTAATTAATTAAAAGGTAAAGGGATTACAGGGTATGGAGAAATAAACCCTCAGTCACGAGGATTGAGGCAAAACAATGCATGAGGAGTTATGTGTGTTGTATAAGAGTTGACTAAGGAAATTTAATGGTCGTAGAATGGGAAGCAGCGTCTCTCTAAAATATTACCAAAACTTAATTGTAATTGCTAAACCGCCTACCGAGCTTGGCAATTATTGGCAAAACTCTCCGAAGAGGGAGGCCTATGTTCAGCTGTGGACAATTGAAGGATAATATGATGACGATTTAAACTAATTTATCAATATCTATAATTAATTAAATGTCCTTACTTATACTGTTGTGTACATTAGCAATTATATGTATTTGATATATATATATATATATATATATATATATATATATATATATATATATATATATATATATATATATATATATATATATATATAACATATTATTAATAATATAATAATTACTTTTTATTTATATTATTAATAATTGATTATTTATAAAGTATATACATTGATTATTTATTACTTTTGCAAACACTTACTAGAATCAGAAGAGAGACTAGACATAAAAAAGCTTCGATTATCTGTATTTTTCCTTACTTTATACCTGTTTATTGCATTTTTACAAGAAATCAATTTATAAACTAGGTATATATGTGTATTTCATTAGAATTGGTCTAGAGAATCGAAGCTATTACTAGACTCGCCCATTGTATGAAGTCACGTGAATAAAACATTAATGTTTTAGGAAAACTCTCCTAGATGGTGTTAGTATAAAATAATGACATATTTTTCTACATTAAATTAATTTCGAATACCACGCGAATGAAGTAATGGGCGGGAGCTCGTCAACAAACAGTAATTACGTAAAGATTTCTGATATTTTTTCTTTTATTTTTATTTATATGCCATATCTAAAAGAAATGTCTGTAACAATAAATGGTTAAAAAATATCCTAATAGAAATAAAGACTTTTAATATTTTTAAAAACCTACCTATTATACCTATAAAAGGTGCTTTTAACGTAGAATCGCTCAAGTAATTTTTTTTGTTATCTAATAAATGTGTTATAACAATCGGTATATGTAATGTAGAATTTTTAGATTTATAAGAAGAACACAGGGTTTTATATATTTTATATATGACTGTTAGTCATTGAGATATCAAAAGGTAAACAAAATTATTTTCGTATGATATTGGTCATGATTTCGAATTTTGCGAATTTTTATTCGGCATCTTTTAGTACTGTTAATAGATATGTTATATATATGCTATAATATAGATATGGTTTAATATTATTTAAGAATACTAATTTCAATATTGGCATTGTTATTATCATCCTTACTAATATTATAAATGTGAAAGTGATTTTGTTTGTTTGTTACTGTTTGCATTTTAGCGGCTAAACAATAGAAATAGTATATTTTGCCCTTAAATAAAACACTGAAGAAAATGAATACAAAAACGTTAAAACCTATCTCGCTGTTTATATTTTGAATAAAAAAAATGGTTAAGAAAATTTAATACTTTTTAAAAGGAGATTCCAAATTTGTATAGGCTTCGTTCGTTTTGCCTATTTTTTGCAAGAAGCTAAAGCAAAAAAAAAAGTACATACCAGTTTCAAATATCCCCAAACGAGGAGACCGTATCTCAAAGGCACACAAAAACAACACCTTGTAAGTTTTGGCACTTCTGTATACATTTTGATTGATATTTCAGTTAGAGAATAAGGAAAAAGCAACACAAAACAATTTTCGTATCACCGACAAACAAAACTGCAGGCGTTTGTACAAAACAGCAGCACGATTTATTAGAATATCTGTTCTTTATATGCTAAAAGTAGATAAGTACAACTATGTTTGTATTATATATATATAATATAATGTCCGTTTTCCGCTGTGATAAATAAAGCTGCAAAGAGTGTGACCTTTGCTTTTGTTGGTGGGGATTCACTATATGCTCACAGCCAATGTGATAACCGTTATGATAATGAAAACACATGTATAAAAGTTCGTCCGCTCGACGGCGCTACTGCAACACTTCTGCACGAGCTAAACGTGTAATCTGCGTCACAGATTTTGTGGTTCATGAATTTTCTGCAGTCTATTCTTTAAACTTTAATCGTCTTACCATAAAGATTTTAAACGTGCGATAGATACGTGTTCAATATACGTTAAGATGCACTTACTACAAAAGAGCGTTTAACATTTGCTTATGTCTAAACAAAAGAAAGATGGTTATATAGATACTCTTCGGTAGATAGGTTCTTAAGTAGTAAATTCTATTATAGTAGTTTATAAAATTTGGTACAGAAAATTTCAAATAAACAATATTACATCGATTAAATAATATTTAATTATTTCGATATCTCTTTTTCTTTTTAATCTCTGTTTGAATAGACAGTGATTTAAATTATTTTTGGGGTGAGACCGTAGAGGAAAGTAATAAAATAAGGAATACTTTGTTTTCGTAGCATAAAAAGAAAAAAAAATATATATATATATATATATAAATTAAACGTTAATAAAAGCGTTTATTTGTATTTTTTGTGCCAATGTCTGTAGACTATATATAATGTAAAATATATTACTGTAAATACCTTTTATTTTTAATCACATTGAATTTTCTTTTCATAAGACATAATCAGATATTAAGACACGCTGTAGTAGTACTCGTAAGACAAGTAAATATGTATTGATTACCTGTCAATCACAAGTTTAACTTTTTTAACTTTATATCTTCAGCACACAGCAATTTAAGCTTAACTTAACAGTCAAATTAAACTATTTTCTTTTCACATAGGTGTGCATATCCTTTACTGCATCGGGAATTATATTTACTAATGAGGTAGTACGATTTCAAATCGTTTTTTTTTATTTCTATAAAATACAAAATCGATCGATCAATTGATTGCCATCATAAGTTTTTGGTTGTTTAAATTTCCTTTTTTTATTAATATAAATGCAGATATTTGGTCAAATGTAGGTCAAATTTTATTAAAATATGTCCATTTTTAGAGTTGTCTCCAAAGATTGACTGCCTTATATTATGATATCTATCTAACTAACAGACTTTATAAGATTTATACTACGTGTATATATGTATATATATTTATTTATAACTAGCTTTTATCCGCGACTTTTCCGCTTGACAGGAATAAAAAGTTACTTATATCCTACTCCGTCGAATATAGTACATGTGCAATTCCAAATTTCAGTGATTAGTTTAGCCATTAAAACGCTAAATGCTAACAAACATACAAGCAAACAAATTTAATTTAATATTTATAATAGAGCTATTTCATCGAAGGTGATATTGCGAAATATAATATAGCGCGTAGTGTGCATAATTCCCAGAAGTGTCTTGAATTACGCGATGAAATGCATTTCCACGAACAAAGGGTTCGTCAAAGAGATCGTGTCAGTTAACAATATTCCATTGATTTTTATTTATCTGTAACTCTATAACAATTAGGTATCATAATTAAAAGAATTATAAAAGTAAAGTAGGTATGTATCTATATTACATTTTTGCAAATTTTTACTTATTATGTAACTGTAAAAATAAATAAATGCCTTGAGAGGAATGACCTGTGTACAAAAGGTAAACAGGTTTTCTGTTCAATTCAAAAAATATTACGCTTCGTATCCAATTCTTTTCCTCGTATCGTCCTGATTCCGACGTTCAAAGTACGTACCCATAAAAATCATTGTAAATTCTTTAATATTTATAGGTAATAATAAAGTTCACATCTGCTTGATACTCTCATCTGCATAATATTTTTGATAATACAGTTATAAATATATATGTATAATTATATATATAGATATCAATTTGTCGCCAGTTTTAATGTGATAATGTGATAATGTGATAATGGATAAAAAATTTACTTTAATAGTGGAAAAACCAGTAATTCAAAAACTAAACTAGTAAACCGATTTTAATAAAATCTTTATGAGACCAATCTGAAAGCATATCCTTTCAAATAAAAAAAAAATACAACAATAAATAATAAAGAATATAAAATAAAAAAGAATTTATAACAAACAAACATTCATTCATCCATCGTTAGAAATTTTTGGATATATAATATTAATTAATGGGAACTGTAACAAAGAGTACTCTTAGTAAATCAAAATAATTTTTATTTAAAAACAATCAATAATAAATAAAAAAAAAATATCAATGTGTACCTATGAATAACAAAAGTATCATTTTACATTAACCATTTTGTTAATGCGAGAGTTGCATGAATAATAAATAATGTACTAACATATTACTTTGTCAATTAATTCTTTAGGTATGCATACTTAGAAAAAGCAGAAATGAACCTACTTAACGCAATATGATAATAGTGTAACAGGAAAATTAAAAAGCTACATTACGCGTATCGTAATAAGGTTCATTTCGCATAATCTGCCGTTAATACAAATGGAAATGAGAGCGTAATATTAACACACTAGTAGGTACAGTTGCATCGAAGATTATGCGTAATTAATCGTAAATCATAAATTTACGTAAAACATTTTATCTATTGATATATAAAAAATCTTAAACACCCATTCAAAGTCTGTTAAGATTGGATTCCACAAAAAAACTAACTGAAAATAGCAAAACCAGCTATTTTGGTTTACAAACTAAGCTACTAAATCGATTTTGATAAAATTTCTATGGAACCAATTTGTAAATTCTTTCAGAAGTAAATTCTTTCAGGTTTCACCTGATTTCGATATTAAAAGGAATTTTTCAAATCGGTTTGTAAGTGACGAAGTTATGAGGTAACAAATATAAAAAATATATAACCGAATTGAGAACCTCCTTTCTTTTTGAAGTCGGTGTAAATTTTTGATACATTTTACGCCCACTTCTGACTATCATGTGACGTTCGTGCCGATTCATCTAAACATGTCGATATATGTTTACAAATTTTGTAAAAATATATCATTCAGATTTTATCCACTCATGCCTTTTGTTATGAAATATCCCAGTTATTTTTTTTTAATTAAATTTGGAATAGTTTGATTTTATTGTGTACAAGGATGTAAATTTGTTTTTTTTGTTTATATATATTAATATTTTAACCACTCAGTCTTTTCAAATTAACAACGGATTTCTCTCTTCTCTCCATGGTGTTCGATCCACGGTGACCTCAGCTAAACGATTCACAAATGTCACTCCATCTTGATATCGTAGTTTATTTAATTCACTACGAATGAGTAGTAACAAATATATTTGTATCACTGGAACAATGTAAAATATTGATTATGAAATCAGCATAGGAGTTTTTTTTTATGATATTGTAAACTCTTCTATGTTATCGATATACGTTGATGAGGCAAACAATGAGGGGTGGGAAGAGAGGTGGGGGTAATAGGTGCGGACAAAGTCAGGTCAGGTGGCCTACTGTGACGAATCTACCAGAAACAAAGCTGGTTGAGGAAAAAGGATTGTTACTAATAGGATCTAAAAGACCCGTTGCTAGCAATATATTCCCCTTGGATACCGTCGTAGATAGATATATAGAAACTCTTTATTGTTTCTTTTTAATGTGTGATAATGGAATGATAACCCCATCCGCGCTGTCGGTATACACCGGCGGGGCACCAGTGAAGGATGACAGGTGAGGATGAAGCAGGTCAGTTAGCCCATCGTGACGAATACAATAAGAATTGTTCACGATGGTTTCCAGGGGGAACTACGTGGAGGTCGACCTAATAGGGCATATTGCTAGCAATGGGGCTATCAAACTCCATTGCTAGCAATCCCTTTCCCCCGCTCTTTATTGTTTCATAAATAAACTATATAGTTTAATAAACTTGTTATAAATACAAAAAATTTACAAGAAAACATTATGCTGAAAAAACAATGGGCTAGAATGGTGACAAGAGATCTCTTTAAGTAGATGACGGCATACCATATTCCATCAAGTGGATCGTCAAATCATTATTTCAATTCGTTTAAATAAAGTTGTATGAAATCCGAACTCACCAAGTCCACAAAAAGTGAAGCTCATATCGAACATGTCGAAGGTCCAGTATTGGGAATGACGATGTCTGACAATAATGAACGTGACAAACGCAGCTAAAGTCGTTGTTATACCGTAATAATAATACGCTCGTATTAAATTCGTTTATTTTCTGAAATAAATAATAATTATGCAGGTTATCATCCTACTTTTAATTCTTACCATTATTATAAATAGCAAAGTAAGTTATTTTAGTATTAATTACGAGTAGGTATACAGCATTTAACGACCGTAGAATAAATATGATCGGTGAATACGAATTTGCATGTTACTTCTGGGCGTCTATACCTACGTCTTGACATCATGAAAATTAACAATTTGAGTACATTTTACCTCACCATATTTGGTCATGGAAACCATTTCAACTCCTGGTCGGGTTAGTAATGGTGCGTTAGAAGACGACTAATATAGTCCACGGCGAAAATCCGTGTGCATTGATGTAATTATTGAGAGCACACCGTTAACCTAGTCTAATAAAGCAGAAGAATTTGTTTATTTGTTTGAACGCGCTAATATCTAGAACAACCAGACGGATTTGAATAAAACTATTTGCATTTGATAGCTAATTTCTTCAGAAAGGTTATAATGTATTTAATATCATAATGAACCATGGGCGAAGGAACGGGATACAGCAATTAATTACATAGGTGACTATTAATACTTAGGGTCTTTAACTCGTCACATTTAGCACCAAGGTCAGGCTAATACTGCTACTCAAATTCAGAGGCTCACTTTTATACAACCCCTCGTATTTTAAATCATTATGTTGACAAACTTTCACGTAGAGATCGCTAAATAGCATCTTTCTATTTACTATATTACATAGTATTTAGCAAAAACTTTTACATATACTAACTACTTTTATCTTAGTCAATTAATCAAGTTTCAGTCACGTGGACAAAGTGCACGGGTATCTTTAGTTCGCTACAGTTTACCAAGTAAGCTTGTATCTTTTAAAATTACATACAACATTGTTGTATGTAATGACGAAATATTTAGTATCATTCATAAATAAACTAAAACCAACACGTTATTGATAATAAAGTATAAATAATTGTGGTAATTAGAAGAAAGAAATGGGGAGAACGTTTATATACTAAAATTCAAAAATTCAAAATTCAAAATTCAAAAATCATTTATTCATGTAGGACATTTTAGCCGCTTATGAACGTCAAATTTTTACATTATAATTTTATATTTTCCCTACCGTATATAGATCCAATTGAGAAGAACTGGCAAGAAACTCAATTGAATTACTTTTTTTTTTTTAAAATTATATAGGTGTCATACAACATTGTTGTATGTAATGACGAAATATTTAGTATCATTCATAAATAAAATAAGACCAACACGTCATTGATAATAAAGTATAAATAATTGTGGTAATTAGAAGAAAGAAATGGGGAGAACGTTTATATACTAATTATGTTAGGCGTACCATATGAGCTCCAATTAATAATATGATGTTGAAAATAACTTCAAGAATATATAACAGTATTGGAAACCACATCTGTGTGTACAGGCCCACTCCACGGTATATAGACATGGTAGGTTCAGTTACGGAACTACCATAACCAAGCCATAACTCGAGACATATAACTAGTATTGAAAAAATCTAAAATATAATAAATAAATATTAAAAGCGGAACTTAAATATCATTCTCGAATAATTGTATTTACAATTAAAATTTCTTTGTACATTTCTTGAAATAGACTTAACTATATATTTTTTTATGTAAAAGGACGACAAAGTGTATAAAAATAAAAAAAAAAAAATCCTTAATAAAAAAATATATGAGAACAATTATTACTTGTAGGTGAATAGATTAAACAAATATAATAACGTATAACAAATATATAATATGTCTGTTCAATTAAATGTTCATAATTAAAATGATACATACCAAACTTAAGTAACCGAAAATAAGGATTCCATATCGTAAGGGAAAGCAAAACGCGCATCTTTTACACTCTGGTATATCTATGAGCATAGTCGTTTTATATTTTGTAGTATTACAATAATTTTATTGTTGATTTTTAAAAATACCTATTTTTAGAGCAGAATTACGATTTTTTAAAACTGATAAAAGTTTAATATCTGTATATTTATAAAAAGCAATAACATTTAAGACGTCTGCCTTTATAGTGGATTAGGAGCGACTATCTGGTATTTGATGCAATTATCTTATTTAGGTACAGCTGCTGTCAAGGAAAATAGCATTGTGTCGGGAACTGTGCAGTGCAGGAGTATAATTCATCTGAATCTTGTTTTCCAATTAAGCTAAATAAAATATAATTGACGCATCTACAGTATACTCCGGTACCTACCTTTTACTCATCTAGTCTTATCTCTTAACATTTGAATATTTATATATTAAAATTCGTAAAAATGTTGTATTAGTTGATTTATATAATATTTAGTAATATTTTTTTATAAATAATTTATCATTATATTATAATAATCTATTTATCGTAACCTTCAAATCAAGAGTATAAAGCCTTTTCAAAGGGTCGGCAGCATACTTGCAATTCCTCTGGTGCTGCTGGTGCTCTTGGGCGGCTGTGGGTACTTACCATCAAGTAATCCGAATGCCCGTTTGCCTCTTGTGTTGTAAAAATAATATAATACCTACTAATATTGTAAAAGCGAAAAAGTACAGCTGTTTGAGTATTTATTGCTCCATTATGCTATTTAGCTAAACGGTGATTTGAGTGAAATTTATATCCTAAACTAACACCTACGATAACACACATTTTTATATTTTCTTTTTATACCTATTCACATGGGAATAATGATGGGAGAACAATTTGAATTATGGAAAGATTTTCCTAATTATTTTTGATATAAAATTTTTCCCCAATTATGTTTGTTAGGTCATAACGATCTCCTTAAAAAAAAACCCGACTTCAATCGTTACAAAATCAATTATTTTGATTTAAAAACTACTCTACTGAACAAATTTTGATAAATTTTCTATGGGACCAATCTGAAAGTATGTTCTTTTAGATAAAAAACAGAATTTCCCAAATCGGTTTATAACGAACTTATGAGGTAAGCATAAAAAATCCATCGTATTGAGAACCTTTTTTTAGTCAATTGAATATGCAATAAAATAGTTTGTTATTTTAAAAAATATATATTTTTAGTTATTGTAAAATATTAATTACATAATTATCACCAATCTTGTCAACACATCATCAGTCTTTGTTATTTTTTAAATCTATTCCTACAGGTAAATATTTAAGAAAAAAATACAATGTAAGTTATTATCTATAAGATATTGAAAAGAAAATTGCATTTATTTTAGAAATATAATTTCCCATTTATAATAACAGGCATATTACTTAAATTACAATTTATTGAGATAATTAGTATTTTATTTAATATCAAATGGGCTTGCTTCAATGGAGTCTTACGCGTATTGTGTATTTCTTTCTTCAATCTTATCATATTCTTTTCTTAATTCAAAAGGATTATAGTGGCGCACGTTATGAGACAAAATCTTAAAATATGTATTAACATTAATTGAAATCATTTGCTCGTATTAGAGACGGACAAAAATTTTTCAGCAATTCTCATAAGGAATTACGGTGGGGCAATATGGCGGACTATCCATCTTTATATCTCCAGAGACGATTTGGTGCAGCTGATTATCATACGAGTGCTGATTAGATATTTCCATCTTCTTTAATAAGCTTCTTACCAGCAATATTATGTATACATGAAGCACTGAAACAAAACAAATATTTTTTATGCAACCTAGAATGGCAATTAGCTGACGGCCCACCTGATGGAAAGTGATAAGCGTCGCCTATAGACATATTATATTTACCTATTAATTTTAATTAATAATAATAAAGATTTATTGTTCATATATTTTACACATTATAATTTTATTACAATTATGAACTAAAGTAATTACGAAGTTTAATATATGAGTATTTATAAAATGTAACATTATGTCCAAATCGCATTAGATTGAGAGTTCCGATTAAAAGAACAGGGAACGGATTTTTTAGTCCATTCTAATAGAACTAAATTGTAGAACTATAAGGAAACAATCGGGATAATATACCAGTATCTGCTACAGAAGAAAATCTCTAAAAAAAAAACTAATAATAAACTAGTAGAAAATGCCATAACATAAAGTAATGCCTTATGACATTCTTTGTTTTACTAATTGTACACGTTTTATAATACAATTTTAATGATTATAGTATTAAAATCATCAAGTTAGCCATCTATCTACTGTTGAACATAGGTCTCTCATTTAGGGGCTTATGCCAGTAGTTGTCACACTTGGCAGGAAGGTTGGCAACCACAGCTAGGCTTTGTTGATGTTTTCAGAGGGACGCTTTGCCCATCCCTTGACCATTAAATTCCTTCATCATCATCATATCAGTTTTAAACTATCCACTGCTGAACATAACCCTCCCCCTAGGGGGGATTGTGCCAGTAGTCGCAACGCTTGGTAAGCGAATTGGCAATCGCAGTTAGGCTTTGGGGATGTTTTAAGAGGGAAGTTGCTGTCCATCCCTCGCTCTCCCTTAGTTGCCTCTTACGACACCCACGGGAAAGGAACGGGTAGCCAATTATATGCCGGTACCACACGGGATTAAATTCCCTTTGTAGGTATAAAGTATATAATTTTTCTGTTATACTTACTCATATAACAAATAAAAAGCAGTACTGAATGCACAATAAGAACTGAATATCTGATCAATGTCATCTCAATTATTTGTTGCACAAAAACAACCGCCGTTGTTGCCAGTGTAAAGTAGAAATATATTCTTACATATTTTATTTTATTCTGAAAATGAAATAGAAAAAGAAATTAGAATAGAAATAGAAATTTATTATTTGACAAAAAACACAAAGTTACAAACACAAGATAGAATGGGCCCCACACTAGGCGAACCTGTATCGTGGACACCCGACAAAGATTAACGAATCACAATGTGTAATAATGAAAAGTATGCATTAAATTATGTATTAATTAATTATACAATGGCAAATCATTGTTGGCATGTATCTATCTTTATATGTCAGTCGAGCATTTAGTATACCACCATGGCTAAATCACATTTTTTAATTACAAGATACAGGCCTGCATGCCTAGTGTGTAATTCGTAGAATTAATCATCTATGTAAAAGTGTTTTTTGGCAAATAAATATTAGTTTCATTTTGAAATAATAATATACCTAAGTTTAAGTTTTATTATAATTTTGAAATTTTACTTAATCAGCCAAAAACAACTGTACATATTTCAATAAAATTTATATATATTCTTTATTACACTTGTAAGTTACATATAAAATAATCTATTTATAAATGTTGTGAGCAAGGGTGGACTTATCTCTGACAGAGATCTCTTCCAGTCAACCCAGTACAGTAAGAAAGCATTTCGTTAGCGGGCAGCTGAAGTGCTACAACTATGAATACATAAACAAATATACAGTTAAATAAAATATTTAAATATATAATAAAATATTACATAAATACATACACTATAAATACATACAATACCTACCTACTTATACAATATATGTTAAAATAAATTAATATACTACTTACATTAGAAATTTCGTTTAATGTTTTTAAGATTTGAGAGTTCAGTTAGAAAAATTTATTACACTAAGAAGAACTATACCTAAGGTAGAACTCATAAAATATATTTACACGGGAAAATCAGCATTAATATTCAATTCTTTAATTAATTTATAAACATATAGTAACTATTAGTGGCATTAATTTATGTGTAATTTTTGTTTATTCCACAAAGGTAGCAAACAAGCATACAGCCCGTCTGATGGTAAACGATCACTGTAGCTTATGGACGCCTGCAAGACCAGAGGTGTTACGTATGCGTTGCCGACTCTGAGGAAACCTTAATATACTCTTTTTGAAGAACCCCATACTGTAATCTCTAGGGAAAACCTCGGCAGGGAGCACATTCCACAGCCTGTGCGTTCGCGGGAGGAAATTTCTCTGGAACCGCACTGTACGTACTGTACTGTACTTTACAGGTTTTATTTGCCACTTGAAAAAATTAATAGACTTGGTATCTTGATCAGTAACTAAAAAAAGATATTGTATTAGATGATATCATCATCAGCATCATATCTGCCTTGAACTTTCCACTGCGGAACATAAATTTCCCTCTTGGGGGGTTTTGCCAGTAGTTGCCACGCTTGGAAGCCGGATGTGCAACCGCAGTTAAGATTTGGAGATGTTTTAAAAGGGATGCTGCTACCCATCCCACGCCCTCTTTACTCGCCTTTTACGACACCCACGGGCAAGGAAGGGGTGGCCTATTCTATGCCGGTACCACTCAGCGATATAAATTATAACACTAGTTAATATAAATAAATAATATTGTAATAATGACATACCTGATGACTTCCGTAAACCAATAATATATTAAATAATATCTCTATACTATACAGTACTATGGATATTATAAAGGCGAGTTCTGTCTCAATATACGTGAATCCCGACGTATGAAACGGAAAGACATCTGTGTTGCCGGATAAGGCAAGACTGTTGAAAATTATTGAGAGCGTATTTGAAAACTGAAAAATAAGATATTAGATTCGTATGATTAATTATCCAATTTATAATAATCAATTTTCACAGGGAAAATAATTTAAAATATTGCTTTGATAAATTAACGACTTCAATCGAAACAAAATTAGTATGTGAACAGCAAGGAACTAAAGTTTGAAAATCGATTGCAAATAATTTCTTAAATAACTTTAGAACTGACAAAAATATAGTATAGTATACGTAGATAGAAACAAGTAGGTAAATCGAAATATTTTTCATAAAGAAGTAAAAAAAAAACCACTTTTGCTTTCAGCAGTAACTGATGTGAATTGTTTTAGAAATCACTTTTACGTCGTTTAATCGTAAATTATTTTGCGGAGGTTTAATGACAAAATAAGTATTTAAAAAAAAAATATTGTTTACCTAAACAACTGTTTGAAGATAAAATAATATAAAAGTGTAAAACTCACAATAATAAAATATCCCACAAATAGGACTCCTTTCCTGAGAGGCAAACAGAAACAGCATCTTTTAAACTCTGGACACTCACAATACATTGTTAAATTTTTATTAAAATATACATTAAATTAATACTAGTACAATCCTCTTCAACGAGAATTTAAAAATGGAATTGCACATGTGACTTTAAACGGTCGCAATGTTTCTCAGTCAACACCAGTTTCTCGACCGTTAACGGTGCTGGTCGGCGTATATTTAACTTTGAGAATCAAGATTTTAGTGTACATATTTATTATCTCAGTAATATGCATATAGTTCGATATAATACAGACAAACATGAGTAAGAATTATCATAATAAGCGATGATAGCGCAGGAAGTTAGCTTACAATTTACAAATGATCAGATAATTATGAACACAACAATTATTGTAACAAAGCTGCAATTTGCTCGTATTTGGTTTAAAAAGTGATAAGGTAGGATTGTTCTGGTTTGTAAAAATTAAATATATTAAACTCTATAAGCAAAGTTGAAACAAATTATTTCAGCCGAAGTATTATTACAGTAAAATTTTAAAAAGTAAATAAAATGTATTTAAAATTTACCTAAATGTAAATACAAAATGGTTATCAAAATCTGTTCTGAATTGCCTGAAATAGATATAAAAAAATGTAGATAATTTAAAAACTTTGCCTTTTTGAAGAATTTGTTGATAACTAAGTATTTATCATCGTGTCAGTCGTTAACTATTCATTGCCGAACATAGGCCTTCTGTTGAAGGGTTTGGCAAAACCCGTACTTGCTATGCTTGGCAGACGGGTTGACAATCGCCTTTTACGACACCTACAGGAAAGAAAGGGGTGACTCATTCTATGTCGGGGCCACAAGGCGGTATATCTATCATTGAGTAAAAATAACTGAAGTTACGATAAACCAGAATAAAATAACAAGAATACCTATACACCTATCCCCCGATTTACACGGTACTTGTTTTACACGTTTTCGCTTTTACACGGTTTTCCAAATAAGTTTTTTTTTTGTTTTTATCGCACTCTACTAAATGTTACTGTGTTTGAACATGTGCTCTGTGTACACATCTCACGGGGAATCCCGAGCTCATGTGCTGACTTGCTGCACATGCACACTGTGTCTGTATTTCTTCGCATAAAATTAAAGTTTTATCTACGGAAAATTGTATTTGAGTGAAAGTTTCACAGTGTCAGAAAGATTTAATTTTTCATATTCGTAAATTACAAGTGAGTGCATAATTAAGATTTTTATAAATTAACATAAATTAAAAAAAAAAATTATAGGCTTATAATGTCGAAAGAAATTAAAAGAAAAGTTATTTCTTTAGAAACTAAAATCGAAATTTTGGATCGCTTTGGATCGGATAATGTATTGTAATTAAATAAAAAAACAGTGTTTCCGTAATATATTACATATTTTAACCTGTCAATGCATTTTATTTTTATTTCTGTGTATACCTAAAAATATTGAAAAAAATCACAACTGTTAAATAGCAAAATTATGTATTTTCTGCAAGCTTTTCGATTTACACGGTTTTGACTTGAAAATTTTTAATTTTCGATTTACACGTTTTTCTCAGGAACGTATCTACCATGTAAATCGGGGGATAGGTGTATATACAACTAGGAATAAAAGGGATTTTTAAAAATTCATCTCTCTTATTAGCAAATAGGATTTGAAAATTTGTACAGTGATAGTATTTTTTTTTATTTTAATTACAAATTAATTTCAAACACTCTTAGTAGTAATTTTTTATAATGCTACCACTTATTCGGAAAGCAATTACTGCCAAGAGGAAATGCAAGAAACTCAACTGTTGCTTTATTCAACACAAGTTGATTTTACATTTACAAATTTGTGTCAACATAGGTAAGTTAGATTGGAAATAATACGTGATTAGACATCTATTGTAAACGTATTTCAGAATTCAGCAAATGAAACGTCTTTTCCAGTAGGTATTATTGGAAAACAAACCTAAGTCAACAATAGTTTAAAATTTAAGAGTAAATAGATAGATACACTTTATTGTTTCTTCTCTAATATTACAATAGTAAACTAATTATAAATACAAACAATTACAAGAAAATATTATAATGATAAAACAATGGGCGGCCTTATACTCGTAGTTAAGAGCGATCTCTTCCAGGCAACTTTAGGGTGGATAAGAGTAATTATGAACAGTTCGAACGAATATGTATATGAAGGTATCTTATATTTTAAATTAGAGACTAGGGTATTTGTGAAACGATTTTTTGCTTAAACCCGTTTTTCGACAACATAAAAAATTATTCCCTTAGGACTCGATAAAAAGTGAAGACAATTATAATCTAGAATACTAAACAGATTTTAAAATTGTTTTCGTAGCGAAAAGTTACACAGTTTCTAATTAACATAGATTATTTAAATTAAAAAAGTAAGGTTATAATGTTTTCTATTTATTCATAGAAAAAGACAATTATGAGTAACTAGGTTCTTAGAATAAGAACAAAGAACAATAGACAAGCATTTTATTGTAAAAATAAGCGGATTGGTTTACAACACAGACATAAAATAATGAAGGTTTACAATAATATATATAAGACAATACTTACAAAACTTTTAGGGACAAAATAGACAAGTACCTTATTTCAGGAAAAGTGAAAAATTAGATTAAGGATAATATATATTTTTTATACATTTGTAAAAGTCCCTCAACATAGAATTAAGTGTCATTTTCTTACATTATAATAATATTTTAGATTTTTTATTCTTTATATAATGCGTAGATTGTAATATTATTGTTGTATAAATTATAAATATAAACAAAGTAATCAATGTCCAATTATTCTTTGTTTGTACAATTAAAACAGCAAAGATAATTCAGTCATGACTCAAACAAATATTTTAATACTAATAGATGTACTATATATATGTAGAATACATGTCTTTAAGTCACAGAATTAGCGAGAAATTGTTCTAATGAAAATAATGTATATAAATTAAAATGTAAATTATATATTTTATATTCTTTTAGAAGTATTGATGCAGCTTAAATTGCCATTTGGCGCATTATTATTTGCCAAACCAAAGACATATACCGCCAGACAAGTGTACGATATATACTTTTCTTACATGGCCATGATATTAAACGATTACTTTTAATATTTTTTGGCTCGTGGCTTGTATTTATTGAAAAATAATTTGTATTTTAAAGTAAGTACGTAATAGTAACAAAGCACAAGTAACATCTATATCTACTAGTGACTAAGTAAATATTTACAAGTTATTTTTTCGTAAATTATTTGATCATTCGGTAAGAATAAAAATAGTGTTCTGCCAGTTTATGATTTGCATAATCTTTTATCTAAATACTAGCTTTTATTTGATACTTAGAAGGGCAAATAAACGTACGGCCCACCTGATGGCATATGATAACCGTTGTCTATAGATGTAGACAGTACCATACAATACACTATGCAACACTGCTTCACGGCAGAAAAACGAGTGGGTCAGAGTTACTTAGGCAGATAACTTTTATACAAAGTCTGCTTCTAGTAAATTGTTATTACAATAGATAGAATTTAAACATAGTGTCAGATCTAAGGAAGAATTTTTAAATTATGGTTTAATTTCCACATTGTATCGCGTCTAGTTCCCTACATTTGTCGCAATTGTAACAGCTTCTGTCTTTTGTAGTCTCTGTTTATTCTAAAGTGAAATAAATAAGGCGTGAGTTCGCCATACTGAAGTAATATAATTATTATAACCGAAAAAATATCTGTTAGTTTGCTATACAGTCTTTATTAATCTTCATAATATTATTGACCTCTTTTCACCTATAATGTTGATTATAATCTTTATCAAGTTAACCTTTATGTATTATTGCTTACAGGATAAATATGAACCATTTGTGCCGTATCTCATATGTCGATTTATAACATGGTTCTCGGAAGTTTTGTGTTTGTTAATATTATGTATTAATCATAAAATTCTAATTGGATAGTATCTGGGCATGTTGTTTTTTTATTAGTAAGTAATTTCCTTATAATAATTATTCGGATTATATATTTATATTAATTAAATAAAACTGTAAGAGTGAACAGAAGTACCATTTTTAATTTTGTTCTAAGTATATATATAGGTAGATTTTTTATTACAAACTGAATTCTTAGTAATGGGGGTCTAATTTACCCATTACTAGCAATATACCTTATCAGGTCGACCTTCACACGGTTCCCTCTGGAAACTATAGTGATTAATTCTAGTGGAATTCGTCACGATGGGCTAATGAATCTGCTTTTATTCTCACTTATCATCCCTCACTGGTGCTCCACCAGCGTATACCGATAGCGCAGGCAGGATCACCATTTCATTATCACCCTTAAAAAATCTGTTACATTTGTATTCAAAAATACTAATACTATGACAAAAGTAATAAAATAATGTAGAATGTAAACAACTGAAATATTGTTTTCGTTCAACGTAATGGTAACTTTAGATTACCCAATCCAATAACGCCTGCAACACTACAGGCAGAGATTGCGCTTTGATACCAAATTGACTAAATAAAAAAATATTTTTATTTTCAATTTTCGAAATATACGCATTTGTTGTTGTGTATAGTTATTACGTAAATGCCCAAACAGAAGAAAATTCATTCGGTACAACTAATTTACTACCAAGCCTGCAATGACTGCAACTGAGTCTATATTAGATGTATTTATATTTTTACCTATTCAATTCATGAAGTTATTAAACTTTGCAAAATACTTTCATTTTACTTTTCTATTATTATTTACGGAAAATAGCGTCAGTTGGAACTATTTAACGACATATAACAATTTAAGTAAGTATAGAATGTTTTTTTTATAACATATGGGATAAACGAGCATGTAGCTCACCTGATGGTAAATGACTACCGCCGTCCTTGAGCGCCTGCAACATCAGAGGGATTGTAGATTTATTGTTGGTCTTTCAAAAGGAATAAGCTCTTTTCTCTAAGGTTACGTACCAGTATCTAAGGTTACGTTATGTACCAGTATTGGGTATACCTCTCAAAACTACCAATACGCAATGTTTCTAAATTAAAGTAACTGAATTTTATCCAGAACTATTTTTACACAAAGCAATGTATGATTCCAAAGGTTACCTGGAAGAAATCGCTTTTAGCGATAAGGCTGCCCATTGTTTTCCCATTATGAACATTTTTTAAAATTGTTTGTATTTATAATAAGTTCACTATTGTAATCTTTTTGATGAAACAATAAAGAGTATCTATCTATCTATGTGTGGTGGTCGCACAATATATGATAATCTATTATTGTTTACATAACTCGAGCATTTTATTGGTTTAGGTACATTAGCTAAAATAACACTCGGGTCATAAAAAAATGCTTACAATTTTAATTTTTACTTGTTAACGTATTATCCATATTTTCATATCGACGATACTAACACGTTATTGGTTTACTTGTATCTACATTTTTATCTGATAAAAGATAAAAGGTAATCTTATTGATATCTACGTATGAACCAAAATCATTTCATAGTATCGGTGTTCGATGCATTTTATTCCCTTATTCCATTAATTAATTAATATTTATTATTGTAATAATTATTTCATAATAAACACGTTATTACATATTAGAACTAAGCTCGTTTTGTAAAGCATTTATAAGGGTCTATGACTTATACCTAGTGAAATGGCGTTTGAACTACCCAGATTTACAAGATGTTGCTGTTGTTTATCCTTACGGACTGGATGTTTACTCATCGGATATGTTTCAATTGTAAGTACCTATATAAACATAAATCTTTTAGAACCACAGGGTATGAAGATATAGCATAGTCCTCCAGAATGGCAACGCTTGAGTGGTAATAGTTACCACTCATTGTAAAGGGTTCACACAGTATTCTATGATACCCATGGTTTTGTTTATGTTTATAGGCATATATAGGTTATTGATTTCCATTAATTGGATACTCAGTTTGTTTGCCATTTTAAATTTCATAAAAAAGAACAATAAATCAATCAAGTAATTGAAGGTATTTGAATTCGATATGTTACTGATTTCATTCAATAATTTAAACAAAACTTAGCTACCTTTACATTAAGTACTGTTGAAATATATTATAATACATGATTTTAAGTACGTAAATACCGTCAGATTTTATATGGGAAGAATCATGATTAAACAAACTTTGGTTCTAAGAGTAATAATATGCCGGATATGATTTTATCACACAATCTATAGTGAGTGTATGTCTATTTAAATATTTATATTTATGATCTCTGTGGATCAGTGGTAGGCGCGTTGGTCTACGGAATGATGTTTCGGGTTCGACTTTTTTTTACAAATTAACTCGGGCATTCTGCATTGTGCTTTCAGATCTTTTTTCCCTTGTTTCTCAAGATAATATATCTAAGCTTAAGTATTTGTGTTATTTTATATAACATTATTATTATATACAGGATAATCCGCATCATTAATTTTATTAATTAATATTAATATTGTAAATGCAAAAGTTTGTAAGGAAGGATAGGAGGATGGGTGTATGAAAGAAAAATAAAAATCTTGTTACCCGTTCACGCAAAAACTACTAGACGAATTTAGTTGAAATTTTACAACGTTAAAGCTTATACATCAAAGTAATAGACTATAATAGAAGAAAATATTGTGTTAATTGGCCGAATTATAATTATTATGTAAGTCGACAATAATTTTTTTAGAAAATTTGTTAGGGCGGATAAATCTTTATTATTTAACAAAATAATATTACTTAAACTAATCTATTAATTATCAACGAATGTATACAATTAAAGATTTGACGTTTAAATAATATTTTAATACTTTTTTTTTATAATTCCAGTTAATAGCGTGTCTAGGCTTGACAGCAACCTCAATATCTCTATACAAGGTGATTACGTACGTGTTAAATGATACGCATCCAAACCTCCCTCCAGACGCCGTGAACAAATCAGCTCTCGGTCTTTACGTATCTCACGGCTATTATTTACTGGTATTCTTATACTTGCTTGTTATTAGCTCGATACTAGTAATTGGAGTACATGCGGTAAGTTGGATTTATTATTAGGTTGTAATGCAAATAAATTTAGATTTAAAATAAAAAATAATATATCTAATGTAGCATTTAGGTATTTTTAACCAGAGCGGTAACTCCGCCTGCGCTATTGGTACACATTGGTAGGGTAACTAAGAAGTGAGGTGGTGATGTTGAAGTCAGGTTAATTAGCTAGATTAAACACATGGTTTCCAGAGAAAACCCCACGGATGTCGACAATAACAAGGAATACGAAGGGTGAAAGGAATCGCTAGTAATTGGTTCTAACAACCCCATTACTAGCAGGTCGACGTCTAATTCCTCGTGAAAATCAAATGAATTCGACACAATGGGCTAACTGATCTGCTTTCACCTTCACCTATCATCCCCCACTGGTGTTCCGCCAGCATATACCTATTACGCAGGCCGGGTTACTATTTTATTTTCACCCAGTAAAAAAAAAAAACATGAAATATGGCTTTACGTTAATTAACTTAGTAACACGTAATAGACTAATATTTGCCTTTTATATGGAGAGAATATGTGGGATGTTAGTGAGCTGTAAATATTATTATGAATTGCTAATATGTGTGATAAATTAAAATACAATGTCTACCCACTCTTTTTCATCCCCAGCATATTGTTATAAGTGACTAGGGAGTATTGTATATGAGATATTTTTCAACAAAATAAAACGAACTTAATAATAGTCAATATTTTACCATCTATTTTTTTAAGTCGCTTAAGAATAATGTTTTGTTTTTTTCAGTCTAAACCACATTATTTAAGATACTATTTTAATTCTGGATTATTCTTGTTACTGATTGGAGTAACTTTGGTAATAGTATCCTGTATATTTGTGGGTATCCTTGCTACCTTACCTCTACTGAAGTGGTGCTGTAAGTACTCAGTTTTTTTTTTATTTTGGTTATAACGTAAACTGTACTATCGTCTTATTACGGTATTTTTTTTTATTAAATACAAATAGAATATTAACAAGTGGACTTTCGGTATACGCTAGTAAGTTTTATTAAGTAGAATTCGTAACAACAGCTTCCACCCATCTGTTAAAAAGAGGTAATCGTCGCCTGTAAACAACAGAACAGTACTATGGTTATCACAAAATACTTATATGCGAAATACAAGGGTAAAACTATTTGTAAACCATTAGCATTGGGTTTTACAAATACCCTTATATATTAGAAACAAAAATATAGGATACCAGTAAGTGATAAAATAGAAAAGGATAAAATTAGGTTAATTGGTCCATTGTGACCACTGAATTCACCAGAATTTAGCACCATGTTTTTCAATTGATGTCGTTGACCTGATATGACAGGGCTATTTAATCCCCATCATTAATAATCTCTTCTCCAAGACGTTACGCTTTATGTAGACTACGTATAATTTTATAAGTAAAGAAAAGTTTTGTAGATAAAGTTTAGTCGTTTTGTAGATTAGTTCGCTGCAATTTTTATTAAATAATATAAATAAATAATATCATTTGTAATACTATTTTCTGTTTCCAGTCACACACTTCCTTGGATTGATTGTGGTGCGAAGTACTTACTTAGACATGGAAGAAAGGAATATAGAAGCTACATACAAAATGGCCAGCATTTATAATCCTCATCTATCACGACCATTGATGGCATAAAATATGGCACTTGGTGCCTGCCATAAACTAATTAATAATTTTCTATGATAACTATACTAAGTATAAAAATGTAATGATAATTTAAGTTTAAATTTATACTTTAATTACTTACCTTTTTGCAAAAAAGGCGCTCTTTACATCCACTAAAATGAAAGGTTAAATAAATCGAAAAACTTTTTATTACGACTTTTTTATTTCTAAAACATATTTATTAAAAATTAAAAGATTTGTTAACATTCTGTCCTTAAATACTTAGACCTATAGAATCGAGAAGAAGGGAGAGGCCTTAGCTGTTAGTCTGGATATTGCGAAAGCCTTTGATCGGGTGTGGCATAGGGCACTAATCTCAAAACTACCTTCGTTTGGGTTGCCTGCGAGATTGTGCAGTTGGGTCGCCAGTTTTCTTAAGGAACGTAGCATTAAGGTCGTAGTCGACGGAGCATGCTCTGACTTAAAACCTGTGAATGCTGGTGTCCCGCAAGGCTGTGTACTATCTCCGACACTGTTTCTTCTGCATATCAATGATATGTTACAGATCAGTGATATTCATTGTTATGCAGACGACAGTACAGGAGATGCATTATACACCGGTCATGCAAAGATCTCGCGGGCACATACCGATGAGCTCCGGAACAGACTTGTGTCTGAAATCGAAACTTCGCTCGACAAAGTTTCGATCTGGGGTGAACGCAATCTTGTTCACTTTAACCCTAAGAAGACACAAGTCTGCGCGTTCACCGCAAAAAAGACACCGTTTGTCGTATCTCCTTACTTTCGGGGCACTTCCCTCGATAATAAGTCGAGTCTGGGGATTCTTGGCGTCGATATATCTAGCGACGTCCAGTTTTGCGGTCATCTGGAGGAAAAAGCTAAGATAGCTTCCAAAAAGTTGGGGGTGCTCAATAGGGTGAGACGGTATTTCACGCCAGAAAACCGCCTGAAACTATATAAAGCTCAAGTGAGGCCACACATATTGAATACTGTTCTCACCTGTGGGCAGGAGCGCCACAGTACCAACTCCTTCCGTTAGACCGCATTCAAAGTCGGGCAGCTCGAATTGTTGACGATCGGCGTCTTACTGTCCGGCTCGACCCACTGGAACTGCGTAGAGATGTTGCATCTCTGTGCATTTTCTACCGAATTTATCATGGGGAGTGCTCTGAAGAATTGTTCGGATTGATACCTGCTGCAGATTTTCACCATCGTACAACCCGCCATAAACTAAAATTTCATCCCAACCATCTGGACAAGTGGCGGTCCTCCACCGTGCGTTTTTCAAGGCACTTTCTCCCACGCACAACCACTCTTTGGAATCAACTTCCAGCAGCAGTATTTCCGAACCGATACGACAACATAACCTTCAAGAAAAGAGCATATTCCTTTTTAAAGGCCGGCAGCACACCTGCAATGCCGTAGGTGTTGTGGGTGATCATGGGCGGCGGTAGTCACTTACCATCAGGTGAGCCGCATGCTCGTTTGCCCCCTGTGTTGTAAAAAAAAAAAAAAACCTTTTATTATTTTTAAAGTTATAGGGTTAATCGTAATGGGGATATTATACTGAACAGTGACACAGAACGCAAGATTGAGTATGATTTGAAAATTATTCTGCGATTTCTATTCCGTGTAGCAAGTTTTGTATTCAACTACATATGTGCGTTCTAAATGTTACCTTTGGGTGATATAGCCTATTTATACTAGGTTTCGGCTTGATATACCTTTTAGAACTAACTTTAACTTTTAATGGCAATTGTAATTATTGAGGATACTAATATCATTGGCCTATTTAAGATTATTTTACTATATAAGGGTTTTAGGTAGTACGTTATACTAAGTTTATGGATTAGTAGGATTTTAAATACTATTTTCCACAGCTTTAATATCGTGTGAATCTGTACGCATATATAGCTTATATGTTAAGTTAGGATAATATAACCTACTCGTGGAACAAACTTCATTCAAATGCATTCAGCTACATATTGAGATTGATGGAGTAACAAACATACAAATATCCAAACACATATTCATAAACCTTCACAATTATATTATTAATATAGTATAAGAAATAGAACTATTGTAATGTCAATAGGATTTATGGTCTTTGTATACATAATAAATATATTTTTCACGTTATTTATGTACCACTTAGTATATAGGTAGTACGGTATACTGTCTATGTATACCACAAGGACTATAACAGAGATTAAGAATAATAACTACTGCCACTTACTGTAAGCAATCGTAGATTAAGGTACATACGTACATAGATGAAACATGGACAAGACAATTGACACAGAGTACCTTTCGATGTTGCTTCAAAATTGTTGTTTTAATCAAAAACATCAATAAGTTGAGTTGATTCAAGTTGAGGGTACTAATATGAATCATGGTGGGGGGGGGGGAAGGGATTGTTGGCAATGGAGTTTGACAGCCCCATTGCCAGCAATATGCCCTAATAGGTCGGCCTCCTCTTGTTGAATTCGTCACGATGGGCTAACTGACCTGCTTCATCCTCACCTATCATCCTTCACTGGTACCCCGCCGGTGTATTCCGATAGCGCGGGTGGGGTTACCATTCCATTATCACCCGTTAAAAAAAAATATGAATCATGTAATAATTGATGTGATTATATATATATATATATATATATATATATATATATATATATATATATATATATATATATATATATATATATATATATATATATATATATATATATATATATATATATTTTTTTTTTTATTTATTTATTTATTTATTAAAAAATCTCTTTCAGAGTTAGTTAATAATTCATTAGGGTTTCTTGACGGTGATTGCTATTTTCGTTAATACGACAATTAACAATTTTAATTATCATTAATATTTCATTAGTATTAATTTAATTAAATTCTTCGAATGCTTGTACATACGAATCCGAATGCGCATAGTGGCAACACTAGCCATTGAAAATAAAAAAAAAAGTGGATATGTCAATCATTGTGGCACTGCATTATTCTGTACAGTCTTTCTTTGTATCTTTGTTTTAGATATAGTTTTTCTAATCTGTGACAGTGTACATTTGTACGTTGAATGAATTTTTTCTTTTTCATTTGATAAATTTTCTCTCCAAATTCGAGATATTTCTAATCTAAATATCATAAACTGTAATATAAAATGTATATTATATAAATTAGAAAAGAATATAATTTTGCTAAAATGTCGAGCAAATATCAAAATACCAGTCTTGCTGTGCAGAATCAGGTTTGTTACACATGGTGAATGTTGTGGTATTTTAAATTTATATCATATTTGAATAAATGTATTTTGAGTCTTGTTTTGCTAAATTGCAGCTGGTGCAATGGCTCAACGAAGCCGGTATGACGGAGGGCAACAAAAAAGCAAATTTGCTGCGTAAATCTATAGAAATTCTTATGCATCAAACACCACAAATGATTCCTGTTTACATGGACAATATATTAAGCTGTGTTAGTGATAAGTCCACTGATGTTAAAAAACTAGTTGCAGGTTTTATTGAAGAATTAAGGTAAAACTTTGTAATTTAGGTATTTTTTTATACTTAAGATACCTAGTCAAAATACCATGGGACATTAATTGGTTTGTTAATGATGTATTTGTGTTTAGAATATTCTTTTATATTACATTGAACATATGCTCTTTAGTTTGGTTATCTATACAGAAAATTGAAGTAATTTAACTAGAGTAATGGTATTATTTGTTTTGCTGAGATAATATACAATAGACTAACCTTTAATGGTTGTGGCCATGGTCCATCCATTACATCAACAAAATGTTATCTATAATAGAAATATTTAAATATGAAAATTACATTATTATCTATAATCTTTGCTTTTAGTAAAAAACATCCAGACCATCTACCTAAGATAGTGGGTCAGCTTCGGCTTCTACTTTTGGACAATGTGATTGCTGTGCAGAAGCGAGCAATACAGGCCGCTAGCATTCTGTACAGAAACACTTTAACATGGATCTGTAATAGTGACTCACAGCCATCAGAGTTGCAGTATGTTTGGGAACATCTTACACAGTTAAAGGTTTGTTGCATTTTGTATACTTTTTCATAACATCTTCTATTATTTAATCAGATTTGTTTTTATTTTTAAAATACAGAGACTATTAGGTAAATGTCGCCTTTATATTTGTGTTAACCTAAATTATATTTAATAATGAGTATTAGTTGTAAATCAGTTTTAACAATATATATTCATCATCATTCATGTGAGCCATCAACTATTGAATGCTGAACATAGGCCTCCTCTTATTAGTTATATCCCCAAAACTCTTGACAGCTTCATTGAAAGATGTTTAAAACACTTGGACTGGAAAAGATATGTCATAAACATCAGTGGTGAATACATCACTCATCTTTTCAATTTATCAATGATGTAGTAATCATGGCAGAATTATTGGAGGACTTGAATACTATGCTCAATGACCTTAATAGTGTTTCTTAACAGATAGGTCTTAAAATAAACATGGACAGAACTAAAATCATGTCTAACATCCATGTCACACCTATACTGTTTATGATTGAAAACACTACACTTGAAGTTGTTGATAAATATGTATACCTGGGCCAGTAAGAACTAACCTACTTCAGCATGCTCCCTTAACTCACATGGTATGGATATAAAATCTTATATATAAAATTCTCATGTCACGGTGTTTGTTACCAAACTCCTCTGAAAGGCTTTACCGATTTTTATGAAATTTTGTGTGCATATTCGGTAGGTCTGAGAATCGGCCAACATCTATTTTTTATACCCCTCAATGATAAGGGTGACCCTCCCCAAAAAAAATTTTTATTTTTTTGACAAATTTTTCCATTTTTATTTTATTAAAAAAATGGTAGCTAAACAATTAGTAACCTCCTCCTTCTCTCAGGAATTTAGTAATGCGTGCACATAATTAATAAATTATAAAATACATGTGTATAGTTAAATAACTTTTTTTTTGTTGGTTGTTTTGCATAATTTGTACCCAATGTTATTTATAATTTAACTTAAAAAATATAATTTTTATTTTATATACTTTCTTTCTTTATATAGACAAATTTTTCCATTTTTATTTTATTTATATATTGATTTAGCATTGAAAAAATACATACAACTTTAAATTTTCAACCCCTGTATTTTAATTGCGATTTTTATATTTTGCAATAAGTGGTAAAACAACGTTTACGGGGTCAGCTAGTAATATTATAAACATTATTGATATATTTAGTAGTAGCCTGCCAAAGATATTAGAAGCAACTCAGAAATATCTAGAGTGAGGTTAAATACACTTATTATAACTTTGTATGTTAGCACACTAGATTTATAACATTGATTTGGCTTTTGCTGTTATAATTATTTTTAATGAATAAATAAATAAATTGTCTGATTAGGTAAGTCCAACTTTAACCAAAAGGTCAAGCCAAGAACTTATGGGCAAATGCAGTGTAGGGGATCTCCCGTGAAATAGTGACAAACTTAAGTGTCAAAGAGTCAGCGGATGCTGACGGCTGAGGACCATTCCTTATGGCAGTCTATGTTTACTCACTTTATGGGGAAGGTTCTTTGTTCAGCAATAATGTAATATTTTAAAATAATTATTTATCACATAAAAAATATATAGTTACATGATCAATTTAATATGAAAGGTTTAAAAATGTTTGTACTATCTTTGATTTTGGTGTACTGATTATAATTATCATTGTATAAGTTCTGTATAGAGTACTGAATAAATAAATAGTTTTACAATTATCATCTCTTTCAACAGCTTTTAGTTTTAAACATGATAGACAGTGACAATGAAGGTATTCGGACACACTCAATTAAGTTTTTGGAGGAAGTGGTGTTATTGCAGAGTTCTAGTGATGGTACAGATAGTGAACTCAGCCTTGACAGCCTGCCAAGGCACCTTTCATTCATTAACAGGCGAGCTCTTGAGGAAGAATCAGAGTGAGTGGCTTTTTTGATGTTTTATATCTTTTTGTTTAAGTAAAATATTTAAATTTTATATTTATTATTACACCTGATTAATTTTATCTTATGGTATTATTAAATACATATATATTATTTATATTCTAATGTAAGAACAATCAGATTGAGTCACATGTATTTTAGTTGAGAACACTCAATTGTTTCCAGACTATCTGGGAATTATAAGTACATACTTAAAAAAAATATTAAGGTCTCATTAACTATATTTATTCTTTCAGGCACATATTTAAATTGTTAGTTAAATTTCACAACTCACAACATATTTCTAGTGTGAACTTGATGGCTTGTATGACGACATTATGCTTACTAGCTAAACTTCGACCAAAATACTTGGCCCGAGTCATTCAAGCATTAGGGGATCTACATACCACATTACCACCAACATTGTCACAATCTCAAGTCAATTCAGTGAGAAAACATTTAAAGATGTTACTGATAAATCTCATAAAGCATCCATCATCTAATGAAATGTTGCCACAACTTACACAACTGCTAATAGACATAGGCATGACAACTCAGGAAATAAACAAAGCTTTACCAAAAGAAAAAAGGAATAAAAGATTAGGTGAAATTAGAAATGGAGATACTCCATCAAAGAAAATTAGGATTGACTCACCACAAAGTAATAGTCAAGGAAGTGACAGTAACAGTAATAGTCGGAGTGATTTCAATCTTTTCGAAGATGATAGCAATCAGAGCATAAAACCTGCAGTTACAGAAGACACACTCTTTGAAGGTTTGAATAGTGTGGAAAATGTTGTTAACCTCGTAACAAGCACATTATTGACTAATCTTCCAAATGAAATGCCCAGTGATTTCATTAATGTCTACAAACCTATACCCAACTCTGGAAGTAAAGCACAAAAGAGAAGTTTGGCAAAATTAATATTATCAGTAATTAAAGGTGAACCTGTTGCTCTTCCGCCAGATGAGAGACCATCTTTGTCAGACATTGCTGCTAAAATTCCTTTACTCAGAGATGATGATGAGAAGGTAACTCTAAAAAATGCTGTGGCTAAATTACAAGAATCTACAAAAGAAAAGCAGGTAGAAAGTGCTATTTTTAAACTTATGGAAGAAACTCGCCAAGAGCACTTGAAAGAAGAGGAAAGACGAGCAAAAGAAAAGGAAAAGATTATACCACCACCAACACCTACAGTTCCTAAACTCAAGCAAAAGGTTAAACTATTGAAGTTGCAAGAAATAACTCGACCCATACCTAAGGAGATAAAAGAGAAACTTATGATTCAAGCAGTTGGCAGAATTTTAAAAGCGGAAAAAGAAAGCGCAATTGGTGGCGCCGCTCAAATTCGAGCAAAGTTTATAACTATTTTTGCATCAAGTTACACGCCAGAAATTCGAAACATAGTTCAAAATTACATTCTAGAAGATCCAATGACTAGGATAGATTTAGCTATCTCATGGCTGTATGAGGAATATGCTTTTATGCAGGGATTTAATCGTCATCCAGTGACTTTACAGCCCAAAGTGCATGAGAAACCTGATCAAAATTACAACCAGTTGCTGTGTGCACTAATTACTGAAATATCAGAGAATGGTGATCCTGCTGTGGAAAATTCAAAGGATGTGTTACTGAGAAAGATATATTCAGAAGCTCCATTAATTACGGATGAAGCAGTAGATTATTTGAAACATTTAGTGACTGAAGAAAAGTTCGCATTTTTAGCATTAGATGTATTGGAGGAACTGTGTATTATGAGACCACCTCGTGCTCACAAGTATGTGGCGTCGCTCGTGTGCCATGTTTGTAAGTATATTTTTTTTTTAATTTTTCTACTAGAGGCTGGTTAGGCAGTTTTTGCACATAAATCTGATATTTCTGTAGAGGGTCACAGTGAAAGATAAAATTTTTTAAAACAACAATATATATAAAACGTATAGATACAAGACGAGACAACCATTTGAAAAGAAACAAAAACCGTATAGAAAAATAATATCAATGTGTCAATCATATATATGTGGCCAGACTTAAATTTACATCATGGCCACAAAGAAGTTTCAATAATTTCTAGTTCCTTTAAGTATTAAAAAAAAAGTTTCTATCCAACATAGTGTTTGCCGTTCATTGATAGATTAGTTCAGACATTTCTTGATTACCGATAGGGCCATTTTTATTCTATTGTATATTGCTTGAATGGTTGTAAAATAATAGAAAGCATGAATGATATATTTGATTATTATATTCCACCATCTATTATATTTTCTGTTATTTCCTATCTATGGTTGACTGTTAGATAACGCAAGCGTTAAGACCACCTTTTAGACTATCTAGGTGTATTAAATTTCAATAAATAAATATATAAAAAAATCGGTATTATTAACATATTCTCTTAATTGTAGTATCTGAAAATGAAGAAATTAGGGAGACTGCATTGAAGTTAGTTGTGAAGATCTACACACGTTGCACAGATGCTGTTAAAAAAGTGATAGAGAAACATGCAATGTTGTACTTAGGATTCATATCACTAGGAAGTCCACCACCTGAACTGCTCACCGCCCGGCACGGCATCCGAGTGCCATGGAACGATGAAATGTTCAAACTGTGTTTGAACTTGATTATGGCACTGTTCCCTCATAATGAAGGTTAGTGATTTCATTTTTAATTACATAAATTTTAATCACCTCTAGCGTATTGTTGTCTGGTGTAGTTTTATATTTTGACCTATCTCTTTTCTTATATTACCTATATATTTTAATTTCATGTATGTAAAACTAATGAATAAGAAAGTTCTGAAAAGAGTGAACGAGAAAAGAACATTAATTAATAAAATAATAGAGAATAGAAGAGGTAAAATGCTGGGCCACTTTATACGACATGACGATTTTTTTAAGAGTATAGTAGAGGGAAAAATAGGGGGCAAAAGAAGAATAAGAGGAAGAACGAGGAAACACTAGGTGTCATGTCGGAGGTCAAGGATAGGGCCTGGAATAGAACTGGCTGGAGGAAGATGCATGAATTAGTTGCACCGACAAGGGGAAACTTTTAAATTAAAAGAAAGAATGTAAAAAATAATCTATCTTGTTATATTGTGAAAAAAACATAATATTATTATTGCATTATATAGCATAGAGGCAAAACTGTGTTGTCTATGGTGTCTACAGTGCTGATTATATCTATAAATAATTGTTACTATTATCCAATGCTAGGTCGCCAGCTCGTTTGTCCTTTTCAGTCGTATATAATAGTACATTACTGCAGCGGCCAGCAACTGAGGCATTGATGAACGAACGTGCAAATGTGGGCCGAGGCGCAGCCGTGGCACACATACGTGAGTCCATCAATGCCTAGTTGTGGCCAAGGCTTGTATAGTACTTTTATCAAACAATGCTCGGAAATCAAAAACACAATTTTTCTTTTTAAGTTCAATGACGAATAACGAACAATAATAGTTTTTCACACGCCATAATGTTCTTTTGTTTTTTTTTTCAATAAACAGCTTTCTATTTGCAAGCCAGTTCGAAATTTAAACAAAACCTTTTATTAGTTACCTCCTTGGTAGCCGTGTTTCGAAGTAAAAAGTCATTCCATTTTTAAATTACAGGACAGATATGAGTTTACATAGTAATTTATCTGGCCGCAAAACACGACAGATATGAATTTTCATACAACTTTTGCCGGCCGCTGCTCACATATATCTGGCCAGTATGGCAATTTTGATTTATCTCTAAGAAGATTGTCAAAATAATGCTCACATGAAATGATATTTGTAGAGCTAATCGTGGAGGTGGGCCGCGTGTACGGGTGCGCGGGCTCGGACGCGAAGCGCGTGGTGCTGCGCGCGGCGGAGGGCCCGGTGCGCGCGGTGCTGGCGGCGGCCGCGGCCGCGGGCGGGGGCGGGGGCGGGGGCGGGGGCGGGGGCGGGGGCGGGGCGGCACCGCAGCTGCGGCCCGCCTTCCGCGCGCTGCTCGACGAGTGCCCTCGCGGCGCAGAGACGCTCTTGACCAGGCTCGTGCATATATTCACAGAGAAAGGTGACTTTTCAATAATTCATATTTCCTTCGTAATTTTTTTTCTGTTGTATGTGTGTGTGTTAAGGATGTATATGTTATGTATATATTTGATTGTATATATGTGTGTATGTATATATGTTTTTTTTGAATGGATGAGAATGGCAGCCCCACCCGCGCCATCGATATATACCGGCGGGGCACCAGTGAAGGATGATAGGTGAGGATAAAGTAGGTCAGTTGACCCATCGTGACGAATTCAACAAGAATTGTTCACGATGGTTTCCAGGGGGAACCACGTGGAAATCGACCTAATAAGGCATATTGCTAGCAATGGGGCCGTCAAACTCCATTACTAACAATCCCTTTCCCCCCTGTATATATGTTTGTATATGATAATATTTATATAATAGTGCGCCACCGACCCTTTGTTTTTTTCTCAATGCCCTCTACCCAAAGGTTGTCTGGAAGAGATTGCTTAGCGATAAGGCCGCCTTTTGTATCACTTCTCATTAATATTTACTGTATTTGTTATTTCTCTTTTTACTTGGTGCAATAAAGTAATATATAAATAAATAAATATTACACTCGCTGTGTGTGTCCCGGTATAGAATGGGCCACCCCTTCCTTTCACGTGGGTATTGTAAGAGGCGACTAAGAGAGGGCGAGGGATGAGCGGCAGCGTCCCTCTTAAAACATCTTTAAAAGCCTAACTGCGGTTGCCAAACTGCCTGCCAAGCGTCTCAACTATTGGCAAAACTCCACTTATGTGGAAGGCATATGTCCAGCACTGGACAGTTAATGGATGAAATAATAATAATTATACTGGCGAACATCCCATAGGTGGAAAATCTCTCGAATTTTTTTCAAAATGATATACAGCCCCGTGTCATTAGTTGCTCATGTAATTTTCTCTAGATGAAAGAATTTTTAAATCAATTAGGTTATTTTTTGAATTGAACATTATCAATCTTTATCTCTTTAAATTTAATTTAAATGATGCAACTTTTTTTTCAATTATTAGTTAAAATATTATAAATTCATGAGTTATTTTCGGAATTTGACAGATAATTCCGGCGTATATTTCAATAACCTTCTGTAATAACACTCTTATTGTTTCGTAATTGCAGCGCCGCCGAGTGCGGAGTTAGTGTCCCGCGTGCGGGAATTGTACGCAACTCGGGTGTCGGACGTAAGGTTCCTCATACCCGTCCTTACTGGATTGTCTAAGAAAGAGGTAAGCAATTTATGTATTAAATATTACATAATAATTTTTTACACATAGGAATATATTACTCCTTCCTATTACTAGGTAGTAGAAATTAGATAAATCTAGTATTCTTTTTTTTTTATACCGCTGACATGGCAACCTGATGTTAAGCAGTTACCTTAGAACGCCAGGCGATGGCTAGTATACGATATAATTTAGATTGGATTCTAATTTGGTTGTAATGTAATACAAAGAACTTTTTATATTACATGTTACCTGCGATTTCGTCCACGTGTCATATTTTCACTGACCAGGATAAAAGTAATTTATGTCTTTACTATCCTATTTAGTATGTGTATACCAAATTTTATAGCGGTAGAGTAAGCCGTTAGGGCACCAAGAGGTAACAAACAAATTCACTTTAGTGTATATATATATATATAAAGTAAGAATAACATTCACTTAATATTATTGGCCTTTTTTTCAATAGTGTATTTTTTTCTTAATTATTATTGTTATTTCCACTTTTAGATACTGGCTGCTTTACCAAAATTAATAAAGTTGAATCCTATAGTTGTAAAAGAGGTATTCAACAAGTTGCTGGGCTTACAGAATATTCATGAAGAGAACTCTCCAGGTAAGAAATGATAACACAGTTTGTCTCTTTTAGTCTTATAAAGTATACTGAAAATAATATTTCTGGTTATTTTACATTATTTTAAAATGTGATCACACATATATATTCCAAAATAGAAAAAAAAAGTTTTAGCAGTGGTAATGTGAACATTAAAATAAAACATAAGATAATCATAAAATCGTTCCAGAATCGTTGAAGATATTGAAATAAGAAGTTCATTTTATGAAGTTGCTTATAAAGTATCAATATTTTTAATACTATAGTGATGACGCAAAATCTTTTACGAGTCTTTGTTTTTATATTATAATGATAGAAATAATATATTATTTCTATATAAATATTTGTACACAAAATTCGGCACTATCACTTATAAGATTGATCACTGTAGTTGTTTTAATTTTTCAGTGAGCATGGTTTGTAAGTAATTCTGTACTTTCTTAATATTATAAACACACTGGTTCCTTGTTACATGTTTATAGTTATACCACTAAAATTATTAGCAAGTCAAGAATAAACATATTATGCTTTATTAAAACTAGTAGTTTTTGCAATTTAAGTACATAAATGACTACGCTTGCCTAAAAGAAGAAGGAAGGTGTGTAATTTTGAGTAATTCGCTTGCATTTTTAATATATTTTTATTTACTGTACAGATATGAAATTGAATGAAAATATGTATATAATGATTTCTTTACTATATTATTCAAGTAGGTATCTATTAATTGTGCGCTAGTACAAGATCAGAAACAATAAATAAATATAATGTGAGACTTGCCAGTTTTATTAGCGTCACCTATACATGTGTCAGTAATAAAGTAAAAATAAAAAAGTAATATAAAGGCATATTCGAAATGGAAAAATATAAAATAAAAAATCGCTATTTAGCTATAAGGCCGCCCATTTTTGCCTCTTTATCTTGCTTTTATGTAATTAAGTTTATATAATTAAGTATTCATTTTTGTTTATGTACATATTGTTAATCTTCAATCTGTATCATTCTTAAAGAAAGGCCACAATAGGTTTCATTCATTCATTCAAAAAAGTACAATCATATTATGTGGTATTAAAGGAGGTCTGTCACCAACAATAATCACTTGTTGTTTTTTCTTTTTCAAATAATATTCGTCTTTATTTCCAGTCACTCCTGCCGAACTACTTATAGAACTACATTTAATAGACCCAAGCAAAGCGGATCTCAAATACATCATAAAGGCGACGGCACTATGCTTTGCTGAGAAACTTATATATACGCAAGATGTAAGTGCTATAAATACGTACATGCTCTCATATCTATAAAAAAAAACATATTTCTTATACATAGAAAGTAGCAAATTTTTTGTTTAGAAATTATTTTTATTGTTAAACCCCTAAAACTTATCCTTAGTACCGTGTTCAAAGGTGGAACTCAACTGGAGGTTTTTTATACATAAAACCATTGTGGGATAAAGACTGCCAAGATTTAATGCCGTCGCAATTATTTTTTTATTTAGGTGGTGGCGGCAGTACTACAGCGGTTGAGCGAGGAGCCAGAGATCCCGGTGCTGCTAATGCGCAGTGTACTACAAGCCCTCACTCTGTACCCTGCTCTCGAGCCCCTAGTACTCAACGTGCTGCAGCTTCTCATAGACAAGGAGGTTATTTGAATATATTTTTTTTAATTAACTTTTTTGTATAATAGTTTAAAACACTGGCACTTACCATTCGATGTTTATATTTTCAAGCAATGCATCCTATTTATATAATTTGTAACGATTTATGTATGGATGTTTGTTATTCTTTCACGCAAGAACTACTGAACGAATTTCAGTGAAATTTAAATCCGCCGGAAATAGCTAATAATTTAAATATTTGTGTCTCTGAATATATCAGCGTTTTTATATATTAATATATAAATATACAGTTTTTTTTTTATGGTGATAATGGAATGGAAATTCTACCCGCGCTAATTTGGTATACACTGGCGTTATAGTGAAAGATGATTTATTTGGTGAGGATGTTATTCCGTTTGACGGCAGTAGTTTAATTGTTAACCCTTCTTTACATGATTTTATATTGGTGAAATAAATCAAGGTCGATATAGGGCAATTTATGTGTCAAAATTAAAAGAAAAACCCCTGGTTAAAAAACAGTAATGTTATTTACGTATGTTTTAGTTTTTATGGAGTCATAAAAAATTCTATTTAGTTTGGGACTATCTAGCGTTATAGTTATAAACTATGTGGCTTGGGAGGTTAATCCATCTGACGGGAGTAGTTTAGTTTTTAAATCAAAATTAATTTTGCTATAGTGGAACGTAAATTATTTTATTGCATCCAGAAGTAAGTTTTTAATATATATACACGCTAACCATTTCCCATTATGTGACTGTAACAGGTGTGGATGAACAAAGTGGCGTGGGAGGGCTGGATCAAGTGCTGCACGCGGTTACTGCCTGCCTCGTGCAGTGTTCTTGTCGTTTTACCGCCGCGAGGGCTGCAAGCGTTTCTCTCGTCCGCGCCCACAGCGCTGCAGCCGCTGCGCGCCCATCTCGCCACGCTGTCGCCCCCACTGCCCGCGCACCTTACATCGTTAATGCACCAGGTACTTACATACTAGCTGTCGCTTGAATTGCTATTCTCTGCACCTATAGCGCTCCAGCCGCTGTGCTTCATTTCCCTACGTTGTCAACCCAGCCATCCGTGTATCTCATCACTCTGCTGCACAATCTCTAAATTCCATTTATTACACTTCCTTCTATAGAGAGACTCCATATATCTCATAGTCATAGAATACTGACGATATATATATATATATATATATATATATATATATATATATATATAATCTTAGAATTTCTACGACTATTATATAGTTATCAGAAACGAGGCAATAAATACATAACCAGAACACTCACACTTGATCTAATGCAAAAATGATAAATTTCCTAAATCAGCTTCTTCTTCAATTGTGAATCTTCCCAGAAAATCTAGACCTTGATTGAAATTCATTGAGTTAATGAGATTGTCCTCTCATGACACAAATATAGAGATGAGTTCTAACTGGTGAAAAAAAAAGGATGAAAGAATTGTATGAACTTAACATTTCTATAAATTATAATGCCTTGAAATTGTTATTTAATGAATATTGTAAAGAAGTAAGTTTCTTTTTGTAATGGATAAGTTAAAAAAATACTCAATCGACTTGAAAAGATTCTTTCATCTGTGGACAGCTACATCAATGAGGGTATTATTTTGTTTGAAAAAAAAAAGATAGGTATCCTTACACTATACACCCATTCAAATCAGATGCGGATCTCTAGTGTTTAATGATCACAAAGTTATTATGAAAATTTGTTATTTTAATTAACTATGGTTTTCCCCAACAGGAAGCTCAGTATACGCAGCCACTGAACCCATTAGAGCCGCTGCCTCCCGGAATGGAATGACCCAAGCACTCGCGCAACATCACTCATTTCACTGTGACTGAAGGACGATAGTTACTAAGTGTGAAAATCCTATGAACATTGTGTTATCTTTGTAAATTAGTTATTTAAATACAACATTATGTTTATCTTAATGTACCTTATTTAATCCAAAATATCACGGAATCATATAATGGAAGCAATTTATACATATAATAAAAGTGCAGAGGTCAAATGTCTGTATTTAGAAAAAAAAAAACACTAAAAATCGCGCCAGGGGGATGTTAGAAATGAAATAGGACATATCTTCTAGGTTTTTTCAAATTTTTTATTTCTTGGGATAATGTCCAAAACTGTAAGACCAATTTAAATTAAATTTTGCATGGTGGTACCTTACATCCTTGGTCAACATTTTAGATACTTTTAATCACGGAAAATTAAAGAGTTCCCGTGGGATAATTAAAAAAAAACTATAGTAACTTATATAGCTTAATATACAACCTACTTAAGTAAATTTGACCTAAGGCAAAGAGTGAGAACGACTAGTATTGACTTGGTCTAGTATTCCCAGACAATAGGTAGTATACATCGATACATATAAAACAGGAATAACAAATATCGCGGCCATCAGCTAGTTTATTATGAAATAATAGAATTAAGCGGATATAAACTGGTAAATATAATTAAAAAGAAATGTAACCAAGACCGGGATGAAGGAATACAAATCAGTAATTATTAAATTCTCAAAATAAATCTAGTCTTATAAAATTGGCAACGAGTTCGATTCTGAAGCACCATTTCTTGTTTCTATTTCTAATAATAAAATATCAATTTCATATTACAGTGAAAAATTACTCTAAAGACAAGTTTGAACTAAATTTAAGACTTAAGTTGGAACTACATTTTCATTAGGTTTTAGTGGTCTGTGTAAAGATAGTTTTTTCAATAAGTAATGTTGAGATAAGTGAGGAGGAAATCCAAATAGGTTAATAAATGATAATGGAATGATAACCCCGCTTGCGCTAACGGTATACGCTGGCGGGGCACCATTGAGGGATGATAGGTGAGGATGAAGAGGCAGGTCAGTTAGCCCACTGTAATAAATACACTTGGAATCAGCATGATGGTTTCCAGGAGGGATCATGGGAAGGTCGACCTGTTATGGTATATTGTTGGCAATGGGACTGATAATCCGTATTACTAACATTCCCTTCCCCTCAATCCAAATGGGTTGGTATTAGAAAGATTACTTAGGACTACGATTTATAAAAAAAATTGTGTGTATACGAACTTTTAATAATATTCCAAAAAATATTATAAATATAAAGACACTGAAACAATTTAAAAGCACACTGTACAAATGGCTTTTAGACAAGTGTTATTATTGAATTAAGGACTTGATAGACTAGAAAAAAATACATTTTATAATTTCACGTGCGTGCGTGCGTTCGTGCGCGCATGCGTACGTAGGTGCGTGCGTGCGTGCATTCGTGCGTGGGTGCGTGCGTGCGTGTTTGCGTGCGTGCGCGTAATAATGTGTAATAATTAGCAAAAAGTTACAACATATAAAAAATACTAAACTTAGTTGCATTTTATATTTATTGAATCGTAAAATAAATAAGACATAAGAAGATTTGTATTGTTTTTATTCTTTCTACTAGTGTAGTATATTATTTCAGAAGAATGCTTATTTTAGTTAAATATGATTTTGATGATTCATTTCGAGAGTAAGGGATTACGAGTATGAATAAAGAAAATTATGTAACAATATCTAAATCGTTTTAAATTTATTTATTTTAGTTGTTATCTATATATATACAGTTTCGCCTAAAATTAATTTAGTACAATTTGTAGTATTCATAATTAGGTGAAATTGCTTTTAATATATTCTCCACGCTGTAGGGTACATCTGAAAACAAACAAACAAATAGTTCTGAAATAAATTATTAAAACTATAAAAGAAATTGGTTGCATACCAATTTAAAATGCTGCTTAACTATTATATATTAGCAAGATCAATTCTGCACAAATAACATCTTAATCATACTAGACGGCATTTAAATACTTTATTTTTTATTGGTGTTTTCTTTTACGTGAGAATGAGTGGAAAATTTAATTTAATGCTGTTTTTAGGTGTCAAATAACATTTTACAGCAAAGATTTAAATTTAAAAGATTTAAATATTAATTAAAAATAGACGCATTTTTAGAATAAAATCCAGCAATGACACTGAAATCAATGTATAAAAACATACGTACCGACTGAAAGCCATTCAGTGTCCTTATATCCGAATTCTTTTCTCGCATCCAAAATGGCGTCGTGTAACGCAAATGTTACTCCTACCGCTAAAGTTAAGGCAGGTTCGCCAGTCGCTAGAAGTAGAAACACAAAAGCGATATCTACATAAAAAAAAACCTAAAAAATAGATTGATGATTGAAAACACATTTACCTTATGTCATGAGAATACCTAGTACTCAGTAGAGAGATACCTAATATCTCTTGGATGGAAAGAAGGAATGTCTTTTTTCATGATATGTTTAAGTTAGATTGAAGCATTTTTTAATAGTAGGTAATTTTTCAATGATTCTACTACCTATATCCGCTGTCACAAAATGTAATTTCAATTGAGAAGAATGAACAAAATCTATGCTGTACCTTAATAAAGTTGAACTTGAATTCCATTCAAACCAAACATTACTTAGAATTTATAATCATTATCGTATCAGTCGTTAACTCTCTACGGCTGAATATAGGGCTCCCCCATAATCCGCTATGATTATTAGGTTTTACTGGTGATTGCCTTGCCTGGCAGGCGGATTGGCAACCGCAGTAAAGCTTTTCTAATGTTTTAAGAGGGACACTGCTGTCCATCCCATGAGCATTAAGTTCCCTTAGTTGTTTCTTACGACACCCATGGGAAAAGAAAAGTGTGGCCAATTCTATGCCAGGTACGAACGGCAAGAAGTTATAGTACTTAGAAGGATGTCATAGACAATGTTAATACCTACTTTTTCCATAAAGGAAAAATAGCAAGTCTCGGTTGCGTAAATCCCGTTACTAATTCTTTTTCCTCGCGGGACTTTCCAAAAATTTATTCTCACGTAGTAGTGGGCTAGAAGGTATCGCGTTTAACCAGGTGTGTTATTATTTAGTATTTCGCTTATGTAATACTTGTACTTAGGATTCAACATTTCAGACTTTAATTGTCCACTGCTGAACAAAAGCACTTTAAGGAGCTTTCGTTCAGCACTGGACATTCCTCATAAGTGAAGTTTTGCCAGTAGTTATCACGCTTGGCAAGCGGGTTAGCAACAGCTATTAGGCTTTTAGAGACGTTTTAAGAGGGACGCTTTTTTATAATACAGGGGGCACCCGAGCATGCGGCTCACCTGATGGTAAGTGATTACCGCCGCCCATGATCAAAGGCATTGCAGGTGTGCTGCCGGCCTTTTAAAAAGGAATATGCTCTTTTGGTATATATTTAGGGTTATGATGTCGTATCGGTTCGGAAATACTGCTGCTGGAAGTTGATTCCAAAGAGTACATACATATGCTACATATACGAAGTGGCCATATTGTACTGAATTCAACTTACATAAAAAAAAGCTTGCCTTCCCTAGTCATATTAGAAAAAAACATACGCTGTTGGATCCAAGACATGGAGGATATATAGTATATATTGTATACTCAGGTAGAGTCCAAACTGTTAATTAGTTGATTAATCCCACACATTGCTCAATAAACAGCCATCATAATAGTAAAAAAAGTTACCTTTAGATCTAAGTACTCCAGCGGGATTCGGCGCGTTTGGCTGTAACGTGATCCTAAAATCAACAGGAATGTCCTTTGCTCCTGGAGGATGGTAAGTCCACGTACGGTCTGTTAGAAGTCTACCGGTTTTCTGATCATATACCAATTGCTCAGTGGTCCACAGACCGAGACCCATTATAAATGCGCCCTCGATCTAAAACATAAAATAATAAAATGAATATTCTCACGACTATAATCCCTAATATGATAGAGGCACTTGTCGTTATCTGTCATGGAGGGGGGAGGGGAGGGATTGTTAGTAATGCTGACTAGCAGTCTCATTGCTAGCGATATACTCTGTCAGGTCGATCTCCAGCCTGGAAACCATTGTGCTGAATTCCGATGGGCCGTCCGACCTGCTTCATTCTCACGTATCATTCCTCGCCCGTGTACGAGTATACCGATAACGCAAGTGGGGTAACCCTTCCATTATCATACATTGAAAAAATTTAACTGTTTGTACTGTTTATATATATTTTAGAGAAAACTAATGGGAGTGTTTATTTATTTGTCTTATAAATTGTTGTTTTTGAGTATGTATTATATATAAGTAATCCACATTGATACTTGCCTGTCCCACATCGATATCTGGGCTGAGACTAATACCAGCATCCTCTAACAAGTCGACCCGTTTCACGACATGGGTGCCGGTGAGCACGTCCAGTTCCACTTCAATTGCACACACGCCATAAACATCGTAGCATTGCAGCGAGTCTAGCGGTGAGGTCATGTAGCTCGCTTGTAAGTTTATACCTAACAGTGTAAAGCTGGTAAGTAGTATGAGTCACTATTTACATAATATAATAATATAAAAGAGCAAGTACTATTAGCGCGATAAAGACCAGTGACGAATCACTCGAAGCTTCGTTCGGGAAATCTGTTATATGTAGGTAAATATTCCTAAATCGGTTTGCAGGAAATGATTCAAAAAAATTAATACTAAGAAGTTCTCTGTAATATCCACGAAGGACAAAGTCACTGAAAAGTTTACCTAAGAATTGGAATGATAAAAAATGGATGGCTCGGCCGAAATCTAAACATCCCCTAAATATTGTGATACCTGTAGTTCCATACATCTAATACCTATTTTTTTACTTCATTATATATAATAATCACCTATAAACTTTACATTCTTGAAACATTTATTAAATCTAATAATGAAATTTGATTACAGAGATACGATGACTATCAAGGTAGCAAGATGACATCTGCGACTCAAATAAGGCGTCAGTTTTAAACCATTTTAATGTCGACGTCAATATGACATATAATTGCTACCTGTGTATATACTTATGTAGTTTTAATTCATGCGATCAAAGCTAATTCAGTTAGTTTAGTAATAAAATTCTTAATTTCATAAACATACCTTTCTCAAAAGCCTTTTTCACGGTCTCCTCCCAAGGTTCATTAGTGTTCTCTTTAATATCTTCGAATCTGTTCAAAAGTTCCTTACAAGCCCTCAGGGTAGCGTATGCAACGCAATCACTGGTTATACTTCCATTACTGCACATGGCATTAGGCGAGACAAAACTGTTACTTCCAATAACTGATACTTTTTCCAGTGGTATTTTCAACGTGTAAGCGCAAACTTGTGCAATTTTGGTGTTTATTCCCTGTCCCATCTCTATACCCCCTTGGGATATTGCTACAGTCCCATCACCATGGTACACAGAGACTGTTACTGGGAAGTTCCAGGAATACTCGATTGGAAATGACATTATTGATAATTTCAAACCCTTTTTCTTCCAGGCATTCTCACTGTTGTACGTTGCAATTTCTGTTTTCCGTGTGTCATAATTAGAACTATATTTGAGTGTTGCGATCATATCTTTTATGCCACTGTGTTTTTCAGCTATGTTGGCTATCCTCACATCTACAGGGTCTAGTTTAGTAGCGTACGCGATACGTTCCATCAGATGCTCATGAATTGCAATAGCTTCTGTAGTTCCTAAAGTTATAATGTGAAATATTATTATTAATTAATTATTTATATTCTTAAAAATAAAGCGAGAACGCAAGTATTGGGAGAGTGTAATTGTCTCAATACCTTGTATAGACAGATCTGATAAGAGGTATATATATTTTTTGAGAAAAGAATTAAGTAAGAATTTTCGGTGTAAGAGGTCTATGGCATTCCATTACCTTTATCTACTATGTAAAAGATAAGTTATGTAATAAATTAATTTGGAATTAACTTATTTTAATATTACAATAATTGCAAAATGTTTAAAAAATACAAGTTTATCAGAAATTACAAGATAATGAAGAATTAAAATAAATGTATCATGGTTAGTGTAGGTTGACTATCCTGCTCAAAACAAAGTATCTAGGTTCTAAAATGAAATTTCGCCTACATTAAAATTGTTGTTTTAAATAGTACCCTACATCAAAACCAAAAAGTTGGTTGATTAACAACTAAATACATCCAGACAACGGCGTTTCCTTTGAAATCATATACCTACATAAAGAAAATAAACACATTTGACTTGTTTTTTTGTTTTGTTAAAAGAATAGAGCAGCAGTAGGATTTTAAGCACAGTCAACGTCAACCTAAGTTTTGAGATAAAAAATACTAAATACATCATCAAATCATTAATTATAATACCATGTTAATAAGACAGAACTTACCGGGCGCTCTGCACCATGTGTTGCTCGCTTTGTCAGTGAGTACGCTGTAGCCGGTAATCGTCCATCGCGAGCTGTCGTACAAGTTGGCGAGCACGCTCGCGATCGCGCTGCCAGCCGTGTCGTTGTATGACCACCCGCAATCACTATAGTAGCTTACGTTCAAGTATTGGATGACACCACTGTTATTTACCCCTAACTGAAAGATTTAAGTGGTATGTATGGATCAGATAAAATCGGATACTCTTTAACACCTAGATTGTAAAAAATATCGCGATGTTTATTTAAATTATGTGTATAGTAGAATCAAAAATCCGTAGAACAAAAGATAGTAGGTATTAATTATTTCAGTAATGTCTGTTAAGTAAGAATGCATATTTTATTGTCAAAAGTTTCGTGTGCACGCATTCTAATGCGCACCTCGCAACTGATAGAACTCGGATTGTGACGGTGCTGTGAAGACCTACAGCTCGCGTTTACTGAGGCGCGCAGTCAGTTCGCACTCGCGTCACAGCCGCTCATAATAAGGGTCACGAATTGGTCTCGACACTAGTCAAGCTTTCTCGATCTAATTACACATAAATCAGTAATTACACCATTAAAATAGAAATGCATATCCTATAGTTTTCAGGAGTGGCGGTGAGTATCCGTGATATAATGTTGTCAGTTTTTAGTAAAAGTGTCGGTTTCATGATTGCTCCTTTCCATATGATAAGGCAAAGTTTGTTGTATCTTATAGTAAGTATAAAAAAACTGTCTAGACCTTAAACTATAATATAATACCTATATTGAGATTAAAAATAAATTTTTAAAGTAATGTTAAATAAACTACATCGAACAAGAATTAAGTCCATTGCTGATGATGTGAATGATGATGAAATAATTAATTATTCATCTACAGAAAATTTCACAGAAACAAAACGAAATAAATCGCTGCAGAGACCCCACCACCAACCTACTACTTTTTGAACCTCAACTACGAAGAATACCAGTAACTAACCTCGTATTCCACTAGGCACTCTTGTCTCTTCCCTATAGCGGCCATATTGGTATCTATCGGTAAGACGAGCGAAGCAGCGCGACCACATGCAGTTGCTGCTAGTGCTGCAGCACAGGCTATCAAACTTGACCGCGAAGCTTTGCCGCCATACGCGCCACCCACGCGGTTCACTATCACTTCCACTCTGAAATCACCGATCTCTTATAGTAATGTTGAGCAATAATCGTTTCGTATCGATCATTAATCAATAGTTCGATTGGAGACACACTAACGTAATAATTAAAAATAATCGATTATATTTTTTTATGCAACTTAGAACGGCAAACAAGCTGCGGCCTACCTGATGGAAAAAGGTAATCGTCGCCTATAGACATAAGCAGTACCATAGACATAACAAAGTATACTGTTTCGTCCATGATACCCCCCATGCGTTGCCATTCCTGAGGACTTAGGAATTATTCCTCTGTACCCTGTAAATTCACTACTACAGCCCACTCTATAATTGACTATAACATTATCTAATTTATTTAATGGTCGACGGATGGGCAGAAACGTCCTTCTTAAAAATAATTTAAACCATAACTGCCAAACCGCCTGCCAAGCATGGTAATTATTGGCAAACCCCCTAAAAGGGGGAGGCCTATATTCAGCAGTGGACAGTTAACGGTTTACCTTTGGGTAAGCACTAGACAATTCTGGGATGGGCACAGCTGCCCCGGCCCATTTTGTAATTACACGTATGTTTGAAGGGTACGAAGGGCCAATATGGTTATAAAATGAATTAACAAAGTGCGAAAACTTCATCTTTTAAAATCTTTAGAAATGACAAGACGTGAGTATTAAATAACTTACTTATTTTGCTGCACCGACAACATATTTGCCACTGCTACGTGAATTAAGTCCATCCATTGCGTGGCAGATCGCACTTCTACTCCATTCTCTGTTGGTATCACTGTACACGACTGAGTCTCCATCGTGTAGTGATATTGCGAAGGTATAGATAAAGCCCCTTTGATTACTTGCTTTATGTCCTGCCCACGGTCTGTAGCCTTCGTTGTTACCTCTTTGCGGATCTAAAATTTTATAATTATTTATATTACGCAGGTACTTTATTTCCTTAATTTAAAAAGATTGTATTTTAATAATTAAATCCATTCGTGTATTTGCCCCATGAAACTATCTTCTTTAGACTAGTGGCAAATAAATTTATTGATCATTGTTTGTAATGGATAAAGTTAAAAAATATTTAACAGATTTTAATCACAATTTCACCTGTAGGGAACTGCATTATCAGTTAGTAACACGGACTATGTTTTATTAAAAATAAAACATAGTAAATAGTAAATAATACTCCGGCTTTATGCGATAATCTTCATCATACAAAGCCGGAGTAGGTTGGTAATCATAAAAATTAAAAAATAATATTAAGTACTTTATCAACATGATGAGTACCTGTAAATGTATTTTACGTTCAATTAGTACAAAAATAGCAAGTAGATTCAAGTTTAAATTTCTTACCCTTTTATCTTTATCGGGGGCTGTCAAAGCATCTTGTATCGTCAGAACAGGCTTAGCTTTATTGTTCTTGTAGTAGACTTTCACTAATTTCGCAGCAGATACGGCTAAGTTATGGGAAATTGCAACTATTAGCCCAACAGGTTGTCCGTAATATAAGACCTTGTTGCTCGCTAAGATTTCTTCATCGACCTCTTGCCACGGTACATTTGTTGGTGTGAAAGTGTTCTTGCCTGGTATATCTTTTGCTGTTAAAAACGCAATAACGCCAGAGACTTTCTGTAAGACATTAAATTAATAAATACATAAAATTATTCTATCTTCATACCAAGTCCTTTGCGGAGCGGACAGAGAGAACAGGGTATTAAAGATCTCATCTCTTGCTTCCTGCAATTTTATAATTCGTCTTATGAATGTACGTGAGTTTCAGGCACTTTTGACTCCTCTCTTAGATAGAACTCAATCTATCTAATCATAATAGATTTGTCTAGGTCTTCCTCAGTACCAACATCCATTATTTTTATTAAAAAAAAAATTCTAATTGTAAAATTTGGTGAAGGTTTATTGTGATGTCTGAGATGTTTATTATCCATTGCTCAATCATTACTTACTATGTTTGGCATTTATGAACCCAAATATACACAAATATTTAATGTAAGGTTACCATTCTGTACATTTAAAATTCAACAAGAGCATAATACGAAACTGAGCCACCTTACCCCAATAAGTCTGAAGATTGGAATACAAAAAGTGGCCCTTGAAAATATAACTTGAACAATGTAGCAGCTAAAGTACAGTTTTGACTTTTGATAAAATTAGACTCAGATGTATTTTATTTTTTATTTTTACCTATTCAGTTTATTTATAAGATGCAACAAGTATTTATTGCATAAATAAACAAAGTAATAAAGTGAACATGGTAAATACGAGTACATAAACTTACCAAAGCCTCACTGGGGTCAAACCGGTCGATCTCAGCAACAGATACGTCGGATAGTACAAACGCCACGTGGACAGTACGAGGCCCGGGATTCACATCACACGAGTATCTGGCTTCACCTGAACACTGTCATACCATAATATTTTAGTCTATATGCGGTTACCATTTTTTATCATGTAGGCTTAGCTCGGTCGTAATTCTAATTTGCATTAAATGTACTATGTATTCATAATACTGCAACAGTTTCTTAGGCCGGATACACTTTAATGCCAGTCTCGGTTCATTCTCGGTCTGATCTTAGTCTGGTAAAGTATTATTGTACAAGAAACAATGTGTGTATTCATACTACAGTCCAGTCCCGTTCTGTTCCAGTCATGTTCTATTTACTAGAACGAGATCGAATCGAAAACGAATCGAGACCGGTGTTATAACATTAGACTTTGCATCTTTAAGATAAGTATATATAAACAAATGACATACTATTTCAAATTGACATAATATTTTCAAATAGGTAGGTGAATATAAACTTTACAAAGATGTTTGTTATTCAATCATTCTATAATAATGCTTTATATTATTTTATCATTGCTTTCAATTCTTCGTCAAAGACAAAATAATTAAGATCGAACTTCACTGGACAAGTTCGTTTGATCAATGAATTATATTTCAAAAATTACATACATTTTTTATGTAACTTAAAATGGCAAACAAGCTGATCTCCCATACGTTGCCATTCCTGAGGACTCAGGGGTTTTTCCTCTGTACCCTTTAAATTCATTGCCATATCCCCACCCTTCAAATCGAAACACAGCCATGCAAACGCAACTGTTTGTCGGTAGAAACACGAATGGGACAGAAGTGCCCAAGCAAACGACTTTTGTGTAAAGTCTCTCCCTAGTTACATAATTATAACAAGCTTATATATAACACAGATTTAACATAAACTATTATTACTTAGTTTTAGCGTATATTTGATGAATTGTTGGTAGCTATCTATTGCATTACATTTGCTTACATTCTTATTTATATACGTTTTAAATAGAAGATAAAGAACAAAGATTTTTTTAACTGAAATAAACTATTACCTGTGATAAGGCTTCCAGTTTGGGTACTGGCTTATTCAATGGCCAAATTGACTTGTCAGTGTCAAAAGTTTGTGTGCCTTTTGACAATTCACGTTCTAGTTCCGTGCCGCCGGATTTGTAGCGAGGGTTCACGTTTGGACATAGAGACAGCAAGGCCTAAGGGTTGTAAAGGGGAAATAATTATTTTACTATTATTATGGTAATCATCATATCAACCTTTAACTGTCTTCTACAGAACATAAGCCTCCCCTTGGAGGGATTTTGCCAGTAGTTGCCATGCTTAGCAGGCGGATTAGCAGCCACAGTTAAGGTTTAGAGATGTTTGACTCTTTCCGCTTTTTTTTGAAGAACCCTATGCTGTAGTCTCTTGGAAAAACAAAAACAGGGAGCTCATTCCATAACCTGATTGTTCGTGGGAAAAAATATCTCTGAAACCGCGCTGTATATGATCATCTAGGGTCTAATTTATGGGTTTTTATTTCTTTTATACTTATTAGTACAGCAACCTACCTTATAAAACAAAGCTAAAGCTATAGTCTTTCGGCACTGCGGTGAAGCCTCTGGCGGGTCTACATCTGGTGACAACTCTGTATTCAACACACTCAAAGCTTTCTGCAGTGTTTCTTCGTTGTACAGCTGTGAATCTTTCAGAGCTCTCTCCGTTTGGACAGCGTTCACGAAGGTGGGACTCATAGATCCGTAAACAATGTTCGTGGAGACAATTTTATTAGATGTATCCAGTTTGAAGAGAAACCCGGCGTTGACTATCGCATGGACGTTTTGCGCTCGGGCCATTATCTACCAAATAAATGAATTTTATTAATATGATAAATGTTTGATTAGTTATTAACACTACGGCTGTCATATTATCTATTTATTGATAGTTATTAGCGGGTTAAGATAATTTATTAATTAATATAGACATTCATTATTATTAATTCATGTCTATATTAGAGATCTATAAAAAATGTCCGTAGATGTCAATTTATAGTTAACAGTTAATTTTGTAAGATGATTTTTAAAATGTTGCACATTTTTGAACTTAGTAGGTACCAACTTAGATCCTGAATTAGTATAACAATTAAAATATATTAAAATTGTATTTTACTGAATTAGATGTATATTCTTCTTGTCTTGTCTTATATATATATATATATATATATATATATATATATATATATATATATATATATGTACCTTTAATTTAATAATGTATTTTTATATATAATGAACTTATTATATATTATAATATAACCTATATATTTAATTCATTATATACTTTACCTTATACGTTTTAATTAGACACGTAGTCGGGAGCGGTGGTAACTTCACTTCGGTAATTAATTTATTTGTGAGATCCGTTTTTAGAAACTCTTGGAAGTCAATACATTGTTTATCCAGCTTGTCATTCACTAAAAAGAAATTTATTAGTATTTATCCCATTACAATACGATAATAAAATATTGGCATTTGAATAATTCTAAACCGAGGGAAACGGAAAGGGTACGCGGTTATGTTTTTAACGAATGATGATGGAATATTGCGTTCGCCTATAATATGTAGTTAATGACTATAACGATGAGTTCAGATTAGTTGGAATATTATAGTGAATTCAAAAGGTCGGAAGAGTTTCTAGAAGAGACCACGTGAAGATCGACCTGACAGAGTACAATGTCTTCCTCTCCCGAAGTAGCAAATGTTTAATATATGCTGCATCGTGTATTCTTGATTTTTTTTTTATACAACTTAGAATGGCAAAACAAGCTGACGGCCCACCTGATGGAAAGTGGTAACCGTCGCCTATAGACATGAGCAGTACCATGGACATAACAGAGTATACTGTTTCGCCCATGATACCGCCCATGTGTTGCCATTCCTGAGGACTCAGGTATTATTCCTCTGTACCCAGTAAATTCACGCCATATCCCACTCTTTAAACCGAAACACAGCCATGCAAACACAGCTGCTTCACGGTTGAAACATGAATGGGACAGAGGTACCCAAGCAATCGACTTTTGTACAAAGTCGATGGGTTGTTATTAAATTTAGATTTATTACGGTATTAGGCACTATAAACTACATGCCGAATGTATAAAATATTTGGCCACCACCATATTATCTCTTTTATATCTATAGATTAGCATTGTTGCATAATTAAACCTTGTGCCCCATAAAAATCAATTTCAATTGTAGCAAAACCCGATATATTTTGATCTAGAAAATAATCTATTGAACACGCTTTGATAAAATTTCTATGGGACCAGTTTGTAAGTATAATCTTTTAGATAAAAATAATTTTCCAAATTGGTTTAGAACTGACGGATTTTTATGTTTGTTACCTCGGTAAAAAAAAAATAGATTTGAGGAATAATACCTGAGTCCTCAGGAATGGCAACGCATGGGGGGTATCATGAACGAAATAGTATATTCTGTTATGTCCATGGTACTGCTCATGTCTATAGGCGACGGTTATCACTTTCCATCAGGTGGGCCGTCAGCTTGTTTGCCATTCTAAGTTATATAAAAAAAAATACATTCAAAATGAGCACCTTCTTCTTTTTGGAGTCAGTTGAAAAAGACAATCTCATAGAATTTTACAACTTATGCTTTCAAAGTCAAAGATTAAATATAATCAGGTTATTTAAAGGCATAATATTTCATAAAACTGACAAATCTCATTTATAACCACAACCAAAGATGAATAATACATTTTATATACGCTACAATTGACAACCACACAAGACACGCTAAGAATAACAAATAGTATGTCATATGCATTGTATTGCATCATAATGCATGAGTAGGTAGTATATTAATGAAACTATAACGCTGTCTGCACTATTGATATGTACTAGCAAAAGAAGCGGGTGCCTGTAAGAGATGATTAGTGAGGATGTGGTCAGGTCATTTAACCCATAGTGGCAGGGGGGAAAGGGATTGTTAGTAATGGAGACTGAGAATTCCATTGCTAGCAATATACCCAACCAGGTTGACCGCCTCGCGGTTCTCCCTGGAAACTGTCATGGTTATTTTTTTTTTTTTTTGATGGGTGAAAATGATATGGTATCCCCACCTGCGCTAACGGGATACGCTAGCGGAGCACCAGTGAAGGGTGATAGATGAGAATGAAAATAGGCCCGTTAGCCCATCATGATGAATTCATCAGTTAACCATGATAGTTTCCAGGGGGAACCGCGAGGAGGTCGACCTGGTTGGGTATATTGCTAGCAATGGGATTCTCAGTCTCCATTACTAACAATTCCTTTCCCCCCAACTGTCATGGTTAATTCCTAATGAATTCATCATGATGGGCTAATTGGCCTGTTTTCATTCTCATCTATCACCCTTCACTGGTGCTCCGCCAGCGTATACCGTTAGCGCAGGCGGAGTTACCATACCATTTTCATCCATCAAAAAATCCACAGTAGCAGCGGGGAAGGGATTGTTAGTTAGCAATTTCAACAAGAATTAACCACGATGGTTTCCAGGAGGGACCGCATTACGATTTTTTTTTTATACCACTGAGGTGGCAAACAAGCATACGGCCCACCTGATGGTAAGTGGTTACCGTAGCCTATGAACACCTGCAATACCAGAGGTATTACGCGTGCGTTGCCAACCCTGAAGAAACCTCTTTACCCTCCTTTTGAAGAACCCCATGCTGTAGTCTCTTGGGAAAACCTCGGCAGGGAGCTCATTCCACAACCTGAGTGTTCGTAGGAGGAAACATCTCTGAAACCGCGTAGTACGCGACCATTGAGGCTGTAGGACATGAGGATGAACTCCCTGTCGATGGCGAGCCGTACGATGGTAGAAAGTGGCTGTGGGCATCATATTGAACAATTCCTCTGAGCAAAATCCATTGTACAGGCGGTAGAACACGCAGAGTGAAGCAAAATCTCTCCTAAGACTTAAAGATTCGATACCGCTTGTGAGCCTGGGATCATCGACAATTCTCATAGCTCGTCGTTGCAACGAGTCGAAAGGTTCAAGCTGGTATTTAGGTGCTCCGGCCCATAAGTGACAGCAATACTCGATGTGGGGCCGGATTTGCGATTTGTACAGAATTAATCGCTGATCCAGCGTGAAGTAATGCTTCGCTCTATTGAGCACACCGAGTTTTTTGGATGCCAGCTTCACCTTATCTTCGAGGTTTATTATATATTAAGGTATATTAAGAAGAATATTAATTTTTCTTAAATAATTTTCATATATAGACATGATCTAGTTATGATTTTTTTATATTAGTAAAATTCGCCTTACACGAAATAAGTTCTATAGAAAGAAAAGGAAAAGGAATGATTTTTTATATACCTAATAATAAAATAGAGAAGTAACGCACCTATAGTGATAGCAGCTTCAACAGTTGCAAAAATAAGAAACAAGTCCGAGGGAAAGTTATTGTGTTTATTCTTCAAAGATAGATTGCCGGCGATAGTCCCTATCTGAAAAGAAATTATTGATAACTAAATTATTTGAATTAAAAAAAAGAAAAAAGTTATCTGAAAAAATCAGAAGAAGTCCTCTAAGTTGAATATTTAAACACGATATAAAAAAAAAAAAACATTACGAGTCGTTTAGCAATGTTTAATATAAGGAGCTATTTTCACATGAGTAGTGTTAATCCTCGTATGTAATTAGTGGTTTCATTACTAAGCTATAAATCATAAATAATTAAGTAAAGTAGTAAAGGTAGGTAAGTTTGTAATCGGTATATTTTATTGTATAATAATAAGATAAAGAATACTATCAAAATACATGTATGAAATTTTATGTAAATGTTTATTTATAAAGTTTTATGAATGATGTACGAGTACATTTAAAATGACGATTTCAAAATGCTTGCAAAATAAAACTATTGGATTAATATTGGTTTTGTTTTGTGTTTATTTGTCCGTGTACATTTTGTTTAGATTAAAACCGCTACGAAACATAGGCTGAATATTTGTTTCGCATTGTAGGTATAATAGGTAGCATTTAGTTCATTTTTAAATTAGGCGTTGTTGATGCATATTTTAAATACAATATCGGGACTTAACGCGATGCGATTTTAAGTACATAGTAGGTATGTAGTAACAAGGTAAATATATACATGATTTTTATTGCTGACGTTTGACGTAGATTGAATCATGTCGTGATCACAACACTATTTAGATGCAATCGCGTCGCAGTAAATCCCGCTAGTGTATTTTCAGATTCAGAATCTTTACTTGAATTAAAATTATTTATTTAAAATATAAGTAGTATTGGTTATATACATACATACATACATTTGTTATATAGATACATAGTACATAACATTAATTCATCTACCTACTAAAGTAGCATGGGAAATATTGTTTTTGTACGTAGTCAGAAACAGCAAATTTTTTAATCCGTTCAGTACCTATTTCCATACACATGTAATTCCTGGATTGGCACAAATTTTTTTTTCTATAATATTTATTGACCTATAGTATTTAGATAGTATATTAGTAAATAAATCGAGTAAATGCTTCGAGGAAAACAGCCTAAAATTTTTTAAAATGCTGCGCTTTTAAAATTGCAATAATCTTATATTTAGTGTCTGTTATCACACAAAATCGTGGCCTCCTTTATTTATTCTTTACTATATTATCAATATTAAACTTTTGGACTTTTATAAACCTATAAGATAAGAGATTCTCAATAAAAATAAACAATGCGTCAGCCAGCCAATAGTAGGCTATTCGTTTTTATGAACAATTTGACATTTGACATGTTCTATTTCGATTACAACATGGTCTAATAAAACTTCGACTGTGTCTTATTACATTCTGAAGTGCAACACATGAGCGGTACATATCAATGTAAAAAAAAAAAACAGATGTCGCAATGTAATCTGTGATATCCGTTATTGAAGTCTATAGATAACGGTTACGACCTCAGATTGATCGTAAATTTTTTTACAATTTCCAATTACAAAAAATATATATATAAAAATGAACATATTTTAGAAATATATAAAATGAAATAAAAAAATAATTACATTTCTCACAGGTATATGAGCAACGAGGCTCAGATGTTTGTAAAACTCGTTTAAGTAAGCGAAATCTTCGTTTTCGTTAGCCCATTTTTGGAATTCGTTCATAACTTCTGTGAGAGTCATACCAGCTCCTATCACCAAGTTGCCATCAGTCCAGGTACCCTTTATAGCTGCTATTGAAGATATGTCTATTAGGACGCGAGGCTCTGTTGTAATTGGATACACGCCTGAAATATAATATTTCTTTATGTAATCTATTTCAATAAAGACTAAAGTTAACATTTTACTTTTATTTTGCCTAAGAATTTTGTTTAAGTCATTAATAGTAGTAGTATGATAGTAGTTAAGTACGATACGTCATGCGGCGATCGGTAACTATAAATGATATATATGTATATACTATGTGTATATACATATATATATAAGTATATGTATGTACAAAAAAAATGCTATATCAGCATAATATGATACGTAAATACAAGGACGTGTCATTGATAACACACATCTAACCTTGACCAGTGTTTCCAGCAACGAATCGATAGCTATCCACGCCTTCTTTTGAAAGTATCTGAAAAATAAATAGTATCGTCACATATGCATATCTAAGAATTTTGAACAAGTACTTACTATTGAGGAGATTTCAAAAAAAAAAAAAAAAGAAAATTCTGTTTACTCTTTTTTTACATTTTTACTAGGAAACTTGTTTTTACCTGTACTTTGTTACCGTAACCGGATCATTTCGATTGATCCGTCTCATATGTTACGTGTAGATAAATCAAATATCATGACGATTGGCTGAGCTGGTAAAACGCTAAGAGTAACAAATAAACTCACTTTTACATTTATAATATTAATAAGGACGTAAAAGTGGGTTTTTATTTATTTATTACCGCTGTATATCTTGTTGCACTAATAGCCTAACCGATCGTTTAATATAGGTACATGTACTGTATAAGAAAGAGAAGGATATAGGCTACTATTTATTCTGAGCGATGTAAAAAAATTACGATAACGCGGACTAAATCACGGATGGAAGTTACTAAGTAATAACATCCACAGTATGGAAAAAGACATTGTTAATAATGCGGACTACCAGTCCCAATGCTGGCAATAACCCTGTCAGGTCGATCATCGTGCTAAATTCCAGGTGTATTCATCACGATGGGCTAACTGGCCTGCATTTTCATTCTCTTCTATCATTGGTGCCCCGCCAGCGTATACCGTTAGTGCAGGCGGGGTTACCATTCCATTATCAATTATTAAAAAAAAACAACCACTGTATAATTCTCACACTCTCTGACTCTTATAAGTATCCATGCGTATAGGCGACGATTACTTACTGTTATTGTTGAGATGGAATGCCTGCTTGTTTAATTCAAGTGCTTTCAAGTTTAAGTAAAAACTTATTGAGAGGTAAGTATACAAGTGAGCGGTTTGAATGAGTGATTCGGGTTGATTTAGATTCTATTCCATAACCAATTAACATTCCAGTATTGTTCATTAGTTATTTCTCACGTAATAAGAATATTATTTTGTCAATACTACACTGGCCAGATGTTTTGAAATGGGCTTTTATAGTATTACTTCTTTTTTACTAGTGCCTTTTGCATTATGGGAATTAAAAGGAAAGATAATAGGTTATATTACTTTTGTGTCACCACACAGAGTAGGCACTTTGTAGTTTTCCAAAAAAACTATGTCAATTACTTCATCACTACAAGCTTCATTATTTATAAGAGATATTAGGCAATTTTATACAGGAAAGTTTAAATATTCCGGAAACTACAATAAAAGATCATACATTCGTATAACTCATTATTTCTATAAATAAATACTTGACTCGACTGTATTATTTCAATAAGACTAAACAATATTTGTGTAGGTATGGATATAAATATAGACATTTAAATATAAGCACAGCAGCATTTATACTGAATAAGTTTTGAGCAAATAAATTTATCTAGAACAAATAAAAAAATAAATAAAAAAAAAAAACACTATTTTGTATCTGTGTATATTATTAGCGTGTATTATTATCATTATCATATTAGCCATTAACTATCCAATGCTTGACGTATTACCTGCCTTAGCGTGTATAATAAAGTATAAAAATAAAATAAATAAAAGTTATATAATTTTAAGTTGTAATTACACGCAAAAATTATTGCACTAAATTGAACGTAGTTTTCACAACATTGTTCTTGAAGATTTAACTTAAAATCTTGTATGTTTTATCTCTATTTAGAAATAGTCTTATTGACTTTCTTACTTTTGAAATCCACTTGTACGATGTAGCGGGCAAAAAACTAGTACATGTCATATTATAATAGGTACCTTGAATACATCTTTGATTGTAAACGCTTTATACCAGCGGCTACCATCACCGCCCACGGCCAACAATGTGTCTGACTTCTTGTTTATTATGCACCACTCCTCGTCGAGGGCGCTACATCTGCGTTCGCAGGTATTTCTACAACCCAATTTGTGTAAATCTTCCAGATCCTATAAAACATTTAAATTAATTTACAATAATTTTTTTTTAGACTTATATATCGACATATTATATTTCTTTATATAGCTAATAACCCTGCTACTATATTTTTTACTGTAACTTAGAATATAAAACAAACTGACAGCCAACTATGGTAAGCGTCGCCTATAGATATGAACAGCATCGCGGATATCATATACTGTGTTGCTCATAATACCCTACATGCGATTCACTAGAGCGAAGGCTGCGGAAAACAGCTAGTTCACATTAAAAAAGAAGAGGTGAGAACTTCTTCCTATTCGTCTATATTATACGCGTACAATGTTCATTGGCGTATTTAAGACTATATTCCAGGAAGGGCCAAAATCTAAACCTAAGTTTTCAGTGACGGTTTAATAAAAATATTACTGTAAAAAAAATGTTTTGGTATTAGATTAGAGTATATACAAAGTTCTCTCACATTTTATATCACGTGTTGCCTCGCGAGGCGAGACGCAGTGACGTAAAGCGTCAAATGCCCCCTGAAGACTACCGGATGAAGGCGAAACAATTGTCGGAAATAACGAAACACACTGACTAAAACTAGTTCATTAATTTCCCGTGAATTATGTATAGAGACATCGAATAAAAGATTAACATAAGTTTTAAAAATAATAATACTTTAAAAATTTACAGGTAACAATGACGTTTGCATACTTCGTTATGAACGCTCTTAACTCTATTAATTACTAATTATTTTTAATTAATACGTACTCAATATCTAAGGCTTGTATTAATAAATCAAATTTTAAGAGAAATCTTGATAAATTTAGGAAAATCATTATGTTGATTAATAAATATACTCAACTAAGGTAGACTAGGGTAGAAAGCAATAAGTCCGCTTTATACACATATTTCATATAAAAGAATAAATTAATAAACAAAATAAATAAATCTCCACGTTATTTAAAATCAGTATTTCAAGTGTTGATAAACTGGAACATAAAGCTATGCAACCACAAAAAGTATCAACACAATAAAGTATATTTATTCCTTGTATTATACAATTATTTATAATATTAGTCATACAACCAATGAATATCCAAATACTGACTTTGATAAGCAAAGAACCTGGCTACTTTATAGTGTAAAATTTTGAAATTCAACCAACTGATTACATAAATTTCATACAAACGTTTTTTTTGTTCGAAGTGACGCATCCCTAATTATGGCGGGAATCTGAGACTTTTTAAATATAACTGAAATCCTTCGTGCGAACAAAGGACTTCCTTCTATTCTTCCATAAAATTTGATAAACACACAAAATGTAAAATTATTCAGTCAATCATTCGCTGTTAAGTGAATCACTGTTCGACTCTATTAGTTAAAACTGCAACTAAAACGATTACTACAAGACTTGAACTACTACAAGTATTGAACTTCTATTCACTTGTTGCGATTTATTAATACGGACCTAAGTATGCTTAAATAAGTACCTACCTGTACTTTATTTTTTAACTCTGGCTCTAAATCACTGGCAAAACTTTTAAAAGCATCCAGTATCGATCGATAGCCAGTGCATCGACACATGTTACTGCCGAAAGAGTCCTCGATTTGCCTCATGCTCAGCTTCTCGTTAGATCTTTTGTCTATGCTGGTAAATAATATAAAAACAGTATTCATAAGTTTTTTTTTTTTTACAACGAAGGTGGCAAACATGTGCATAGTCTGTCTGATGGTAAATAGTAATGTTACGTGTCCGATTTTTTTTCTTTTTTATGCAACTCAGAATGACAAACAAGCTGACGGTTCGCCTGATGGAAAGTAGTAAACGACGACTATAGATATGAACAGTATGTATGCAGTAGTAGTACCATGGACGCGCTTTGTTGTATGTGGAAAAAAATTAATACATTCTTTTTGAAAAACCCCATATTGTAGGGGAAATCTTGGCAGGAAGCACATTCCACAGCCTGAATATCGCGGAAGAAATCTTCTTTGAAACTGCACCGTACGCGACCATGTAGGTTCTAGCGTATGACAATGAATGCCCTGTCGATGGCAAAAGGTGGCTGTGGGCAATTTAATAAAGTAGAGTCTGTATTGGTCTTAGGAGGGTTTTATCAATCAGCGTCCGGTGGCGACGAGATACAAAAAGGGTATCTGAGTAATGTAATGAGATATAAGAGAGGCACTAGTGTAATAGGTAGGTATCAAATTCAACTTTGAACCGAACGACGAGAATTGCTGTTGCGCCAGGTACACTAAGACTATCCTTATACAAGGCCTTGTCTTCGCCTATGGTTTATTATGCGTGTTTATTTTTGGATTTCTTGACTTATAAGGCGTTACAGGATGCTATGTGCGACATAATAGATAGAATTATAATCATAAAGGAAACGGCTACCACTTCCTATGACTGTGTCATTCTAAACCCTATCAGTTTCTTTGCAATTGCCATATATAAGAGGTATTTTGGAAAATTGGCTAGTTGTATGTTTTTTTTTGTTGGGTGAAAATGGTATGGTAACCCCTGCGCAAACGGTATACGCTTACGGAACACCATTGAAGGGTGATAGATGAGAATGAAAACAGGCGAGTTAGCCCATAAATGATGAATTCATCAAGAATTAATCATGATATTTTCCAGGGAGAACCGCGAGGAGGTCGACCTGGTTGGGTATATTGCTAGTAATAGGATTCTCAGTCTCCATTATTAACAATCCCTTTCCCCCCGCTAGTTGTATGTTTGTGTATCATTTTGTCGATGTTATATTATGAATTAAAATTGTTTAATAAATATGTTTGTAATTTGTACTTATGATATACATGCAATGAATAAATTCCAGTATTTTATTGAGTCAAGGGCTATATAATTATATAAAATCAACAGTACAATTAACAATTAATTTCTGATTATCGACTATATCGAAGTATCGATTACAAAATAAATTTATTACATTATTTATGGCCTCAATAGAACTAATAATTAATAATACTTAAGTACGCTATAATTATTAGATATTAAAATGCCGTGTGGTCCCGGCATATATTAGGCCACCCCTTTATTTTCCGTGAGTATCGTAAGAGCCGACTAAGGGAGGGCGAGGGATGAGCAGTAACGTCCTTCTCAAAGCATCACTAAAGCCTAAAGGTGATTGCCAATCCGCCTGCCAAGCGTGGCGACTACTTGCAAAACTCCCCAAGGGGGAGGCTTATGTTCAGCAGTAGACAGTTAAAGTAAACCTATAATGATGATGATGATAACATGCGCTAACGTTACACCAGTTATAGATGACTTTTTGTTAGCCAATCATGATGAATTCATCAAATTGACCATGAATTTAATGGAACGCTGAGAAGGTCGACCTGGTTGGGTATATTTCATGCTGGCGGAATACCAGTGAAAAATAGTATAGGTCAGTTAGCCCATTCAACGAATTCATAATAGATTTCAAGGAGACCATCCAAAAGGATAATCCAGATAAGAAAAACGGCATATTGACGAAAAGTTACATTATTTTTTATAATGTAACTACATAACTACTAACATAATTAATCGATATGTCTATTTATTAAAACTTAATATTACTGAGCTAATTATTTTTAATAATATTTCAACCGGTAACTGTCCACTGCGAGACTTAGGCTTTCCCAATAAGAGGAAGTGTGCCAATAGTTGTCTCGCTTGGCAGGCGAGTTGGTAACCGCCTTTGAGGATGTTTTAAGAGAGACGCTGCTACCTATTCCTCACCCTCCTTTAATCGCCTCTTACGACTCCCATTGGAAAGGAAGGGGTGGCCCATTCTCTGCTGGGGTACACACAGCGATTACTAAGTATAATGCATATTATATATATATGTATGTAAATTTACACTTGTTAGTATATTATACATTCCATGAATCCGGTTTGCGTGTCATTGTGACCTTCATTATCCACCTCAAAGGAAATACATCATTGGAGACGCAATTTTAGAGGCACCAATACTTAAGCATACGTAACGACACGACACGCTTAGTTGCACTTATCAAATGAATATTAGTATATTATAAAGAACTATGCGGTTACTTTTAAAACGTATACATTTTTTTATCTTATATCTAAACAACAATCTCCTACAGACAAACCTTTGGGTTTCTTTAGGTATAATTTGGCCTCAATTTGGAGATTGATGTACAGATAAGTCAACCTATTTCTTTATCCAATTGTTGTACGTATTTGTAGATAATACATTGAAATGATTTATCTAAATTCACGTTCATGACATAAAATTTATGTACCTTTAGAAATGTTTTTTATCTATAGCCTAGTTTATTAAGAAAAACGAAATTAAATTATTTCAGGTTTGAGTATGGATTTGAAAAATTTTAGGTTTTAGTTTCAGTAAAGTAAGAGGTATATTCAAGAAAGCTAAGTAAAAAGTATATCTAATATAATTGAAGGGAGGCATTACTATATTTCACAAGGCCCCAAGAAGAAGCTTGTAAATAAACCTATTTACCTATATCGATACTGAGACTAGTAATCTATAAAAGCATTTATCAATTGCTAGAAATGAGATCTAGGTGTTCATAAACTAACACCTAATCTTTAACCGGTTTTCTATATTTGTTTTGTATATTTTTGCACTTGAATTCATATTACTGAGCGGAATGAAACTTGGAAATTAATTTAAATAAATTTAAAAATATATCTAATATTTTTGATGAATGATTAGCAAGAAAAGTAAATGTTCTTACTATACTACGTCTATTTTTTTATATGATTATATAATTTTGTGTTACAATGATAACTTACCTATACATATTCATAATCCACCCGGGTGTGCAATATCCACATTGGGTCCCATTAAAGGCAGCAAGTCGCGTCTGTATGGCATGGTAGCCATTCTTCTTATTGCCAATGCCCTCGATGGTAGTTATATCCCAGTTATGACAGGATAATATATGGACCAGGCACTAAAAAGGAAATAGCATGAGAAATACATAACATCTTATATATTCGTACGTACGTAATCATATTGCTACTTCAAGTATGAGTTTTTTTAAAGTTGAAAATGGAATGGTTGTTCTATATGACAGGACAGGAAGAATGGTTTGTTTAAATGAAACACTAAATAACTGAGGAGCGTCCATATGTAATCTTTTTATTTTTAAAAGTGTTGCCATCTACAATTGCAATGTCCAGCTAAAGGAGATAGGGATGCCATATTTGCAACAATGGTAAATCCGCTTGTACCTATCGGTAAACGCTGGCCGAGTACCAGCGAAGGATAATAGGTTTTTTTTTTTATATGATGAAAGTGGCAAACAAGATACAATTAGTTTGATGGTAAACGGTTACTGCAGCCTATGGACATCTGCAACACTAAGGAAGTCACGTGCACGTTGCCGACACTGAAGAAACTTTAATATATCTTTTTTTAAAGAATCCCATACCGTAGTCTCTAGTAAAAATCTCATTTTTATGCAAGAGCAGGAAGCTTATTCCATTGCTTGCGTGTTCATGGGAGAAAATTTCTTTGAAACCTATAAGTTCGAGCGTGAAAAGTAAGGATCAAAACAGATCAGTTAGTTATCATGACGATATCACCAAAAATTAATCATGATGGTTTCTTAAGAAGTTTGAGAGGTTTCAGCGAGGTGTTCGGTCTATACGTATATCTATCTAGCATTTCCTTAGCTAGTAATACAACTATTATTACTAGCAATAGGGATGCATGGTCTCATTACTAACAATCCTCTCCTACCTTACAGTACTGGTTAAGAAATCCTCTTTGATAATAATCACAACGACTTCATCTCCTATAAATGTAAAATTCTATAATCGGTTACATTTGTTTTGAAATTTGAGCATTTAATAATTATTGGAATGATTTATTTATTTACTTTTTATAGCAACACTTAATAACAATAATAAACAGAGTATAGAATAATATATATATTACACTCATGAATACAATAATAGTATAATATTTCTATAAATTTTCGAAAGACTGTCAGAAGTTTCGATTATAAGCTACCTGTATCTCCTGACTCTCTGCAACCCATATGTGGTTGTTGCTTTATCGAATGAAATTTTTCTATATTACATTGAACCTAAGAACCTTTCTCCTCCATCGGTTTTTGATTCTTCGACCTTACTTACTTTTCGTTGCCTAAGGACTCCAATATTCCTTAGGACTTACTACGAAATGTTTAGCATTAATCAATGTACCTCAAGAAATAGCCACTAAAAACTACCTTTAATTTTTCAATATTTTTAGCGACATTATAGTTATTTGAAAAATTATATATAATGTAAATCTAATTAGAAGCTTTTATGTCGCTTTAGTTTCATTCAATTACCTATCATAGTTCCGCAGAAAAATAATTTTGAAGTTAGGGGTTATATTATTAGGATAATTGGCCAAAAATTATTTCCAACAATCAGCAATATATTAAAAATATTAATGTCAAAAAAGACGAAGATGCATATTTCATAGACCCTTTGATGTTAAAATTACATAACACATACCATTTAAAAATACTAAAATTCTTTTCAATTATCGTTCCTTTAGACTTTTATAGTAGGATTTATGACAAATGAAATGTTAAGCTTCATTTACTGCAACGATTTCGTTATGAACGAAAATATGAAATTCAGTCCAAAAATTAAGAATTTTTTTCATGGTAGAGTCCATGCTCATTTGATCTCGTAATATATAATTGTAATATGGTTCTGAATTAACAAAACATTTATATTGTTTTCATAATTACACCACATCCAGCACATATTGAGTACTAATCTACATAAAATTATTTTACCTCTAATTATGGAACATAATGAGTGATATCACGGATGTAACTAATTTTATGGCAAATTGGTATTTTGTGGTTCCAATTTAGGAAACTAATCATTTTAATTTGTGTGAATTGTATTATGTTATCTTTTAAAATATAATAAATATGTTATTTATACAATAATAAAAAAAAATTCTTAACATTATCCTAAATCATCAAATATGTATATGAGTACAACAATAGGGCTACAATATGAGTACATAATCTTCATTCAATTCATAAAGTTCTGCTGTTATGTTTTAATGGACTCATAATATTTCCTTGTGTGTGCTGTGTATATATTTATACGTGTATGTGTATGTATTATATATTATTTGTTATAATAAATAGTTTATTTGATATTGTTTGTATTTTATGCATGTAAATATTATAAATTCACTTGCGCCACCTATCCACTTCTATCTGTTCTCTTTTAACCAAAGATTGTCTGTAAGAGATTGCTCTTGCGATAAAATCGCCTCTTGTACCTTTATGTATATTTTTACGTATACTTTATTCCACTGTATTTCACGTGAATTTTCCAATTGTCATTGTATTTGTTTGTGCAATAAAGAGTTAAGTAAATAAGTAAAAAAGTCCAATTTACAATTTCAAACAGACAAATTGGAATGTGAATGGATGAATAAATAGATTACATTCCATAGACAAATAATATATAGGGATTTATTTGCGCACCTTACAAGTAGAATGGCAAACAAGCTGATGGTTTATAGGAAAGTGGTAATCGTCGCATATAGACATGAAAAGCACGATTAACATCTCAGAATCATCATCATATCATCCTTTAACTTCATCTTTGCCTATCATCCCTCACTCTGCCAATGTATACTGCATACGATAGCACGGGCGGCGTTATCATTCTATCTTCATTCCATCAATAATAATTAGACCACTTTTATTGAAATTAATTAAATGAGCTATACGAACATGCACTGTTTTAAAAATATTTTAATACTGTCTAGATACCTAGCACTTGTTATATTCATGACTCTTGAACTCGTTAAATGCGTGCTAAATAAATAATTCAATACCTAATTAAAATAATTGGATATACATTATTTTACTTATCACTATCCTTGATCATTCTGGTAATAATTGTGTAGGTGTGTTATTTCGTGTGTATAATGACGGATTAAGTAACAACAAATAATAATAAATGCTCGTGTGTGTGTATGTGTATGTCAATCGTTTTTTTTTTTAATTATTATGATTTTATTTGGGATATTGTTGTAGCAAAACAAGTTATTTTAAGTTAAAAACTAAACTATTAATAAAATTATTTCCTAAATCAGTTTATAATATTGGCGAAGTTATGAGATAACAAATATTAAAATTTTTATCAAGCTGTGTAACTTATCCTTTTTTGAAGTCAGTTCAAATTTTCAACCCACTTGAAACTATCCTTAACACTAGAATCCTAGTGATCAATTTTTTAATAAATTAATACGAATTGTATAGAACAGTAAACAGTGAGCAAAGTTATAAATATAGAGGTCATTTATAAAGGGAGGGGAGATGGATGTTAATAATTGGGCCTTGCGGTCCCATAACTAATAATAAGGAAGGAGCGTCGGCTCATGTACCGCCGGTGTATGATTCCCGCTGCCATGAACTCTCAACACTTTGGTAATTAAAGTATTTTGTCTCTTTCTTTTACGGTAAAATTTCAATTTCAAAGAAAGTGATAAAATACTCTAATAGTTAAAATAGATTTGTAGATGAGATTTGTGATTGAGAGATTTTAGGTTTTATAATTTAGCCCAGCGATTTCTAAAGTGTGTTCTGTAAAAAAGTCACTAAGGTTTCGCGAAATTATTTATACAGTGAAACAATTTCATTCTTCACATTAAAAATTAAAAGAAACTATAAAGTGTTATACATTTAAAATAAAAGGTAAATAAAAGCTTTTGTCTTTATTTAAATTACAGTGTTTTTGATTTGTAATCGTTTGGGGTTCCATAAGAAAAAATATTTGGTGGACGTTTCGTTATCTTAAAAGTTTAGGAACTCTTATTTAGTCCATAAACATAATATTACGTACATATAATGCTTTATAATCTAAAATTTTGGTATTTAGGAGCTAAACTAAGGTGTTGCAAACTTCTTCATTTTTTTATGTGTTTTATTTTTCTATTTTTTTTTATACTTATTGGATTTCTATACATATGTATTTTCTTTATTTTTTTTTTATCAATTGTTTCATTATATTGGTACGAATCCATTACTATACACTATACTTACATAAAATCTATGCTATCGACCGCAAGAGTAAAAAGGAATTATGATGAACAAAATTTTAAAGTAAAGAAATAGATACTTACAGAATTAACTGAGAAAACATGCGTTTCTTTTGTATCTGGGTGGGTCTGAGACACGGCAACAATGCAAGCTCCACAGCCACCCTCCCGACACATCACCTTGGTCCCGTACAGGTTCAAGTAATTCCGAAGGTAATCATTTAGGGATGTTCTCGGACTCACATCTGAACCAGCTAAAATAAGAAGAGAAATATGTGGTGACCACAAACTGGCCATCTCTTTTATATTACTTTTTATTTTGTACTCTATCTTTCACTCTTAAATACCTTAAAAAACAGTTTTAACGAGATTCAATATATTGTAATTCTATTATTGGTAGGTTGAGAACTTCCTTCTTTTAGAAATTGCTTAGAAAGAATCTTTACATATGAAAAATAATAACGAAGTCATATATTTAAGTTTATTAGTATATAATTTTAGTTTTGTGTTGAACGTGGTATAATTTTTCTGTTCGTATGTTCGCCAGTGTCTACTTGTGTTTGACATAAAAATAGTTGTAATTATTATGACAAACTTTTCACAGTAATATAAATATGGCTCATTACAACGGCATACAATTTCAAAAAACTAACTTAAGATATACTGATTGAATAGGGTAAAAATAGCCTATATTCTTCTCTATTCTAAATACTATTTGCATACAAAATTTCATGACTATTGGTCGAGTTATTAAGGTGCCAAAAGTAAAGATGATTAGTAAGTATTTTATATTTATTACAAAAGTAAAGATTTGCGTATTAAAAAAATTGGCTGAAGTTCTGCTTATGTTATTACAAGTAAATAATTTAAGCAGTTTCGTATGTGTAAAATTCCAAAGGAATTATCAATCAGTGCATACTCTTAGAAGCGGTTATTAAAATCGGTTCAGAATTGTCGATATAATCCCGTAAGCCAAAATACATACGGTATGAGAGCTAGATTCTTTTGGAATTCGCTCCAAAATTATAAAATAATCAGTCAATGTGCTACTTACATAATGAATAATGTTCTCCATTAACTGTGAAATATATCTTATCCATTGTTAAACACTACACTTTTCATAGATCGATAATACTTTAATAAAATAAAAATCTGTGTAAAATCTTCGACACTGAGATAACGTGTATTGGCCACAGATTCCACTTTGTCAATGGTCAACTGAAGCACACACTAATAATCCAGTATGACAACGTTCAATGACCTTCAGCGTAGTTTTCTTTTTTATCATTTTTTATCATTGCCATGAACAAGTGAAGTATGCCGGTAAGCTGTGTGCATAACAGCATAGCGTAGATGACAAGTCACCAAAATCTAATTGATAATATTACTAAAATGTAATTGAACGATTCAAGAAATAATATATTATTATTAATTTTTTTAATCGATTACAACACCAAAAATCAAAAAATTTTATGCATGATAAAAGCTATCAAAATGTCAGCTGTCACATGCTCCGTACTATACCGTGTAGAAATTAACATGTTTGGCATCATCCTAAGACTACAAAATACGGTTTAATAATTCATGTAATGGTTTAATTAAATGCGAATAATCTTACGGAATTCCAATTCTAGTCGGCTTAATTCACTATTGCATGACTTAAACTGATATGTAATGTTTACTTACTGTTAGTTAGCTTTAAGAAGTCTCTCAAGCCATTTTTTTTATATATGTTGTACAATATTTTTATACACCCGATTCAGTGTAATTTCTTTGACTTTGATTTTAATATTTCTGACTCTTTACGAAATGGATAAGGTTCACTCTCATTTTTGGCATCTTTTATTGAACAAAATCTAAATATATTTTAAAGTAAGCACGTCTTAAAATATATATTACTAGAAATAATTATGTAGGTCCTGATTGTAATAAAACAAATACTAAATGTTAAGTGGAGTAAATCACAACACGTTAGTGGTAATAGCATTCAAATTGGTTAAGACGTTTCTGAGATTAGCGTGCACAAACGTACAGACAAAAATTCTAATTGTTTTGGGTTCTACTGCGTTCATAAAGCTACCCTTTAATAGTTTTTCTTATATATCTTCCATGTAGAGACAGCGATCATTTACGATTTTATTATGTGTATTTATCAATTGATTAATATAATATAATTAATAATATTATAAATGTGAAAGTGAATTCATTTGTTTGTTTGATAATTAATGCTGTCATCTATATACCTAGTTAAATACAAATTGGTAAAAAAAAAATTGTAAATATAAATTGTATAACAGCATATATCGTCATAGTCGTACAATACTGACGGATCTGACGAATATTACATATTATGTAGATCCGTCAGTACTCTACGACTATGACGATATGTTATGCATTACATAACATATATAGTGTTATACATTTTTAATAATAATTAACGAACTAGTCGAGTTGACTAGGAACATCATCTATTTTTGAAGCCGATAAGTCAAGGACGGTAGTTTTTTACAGATAACTAATTGTGATTCTTTATTTATTTGACATGTTATTAAATTAACCATTCAGCGGTTTTGCTTACGTAGATTAAAATAAAAAGCTCCTAAAATAATTCTATGTATTAATTTACCGTGCGGTCCTGGCATAGAATGGGAATTACCCATAGGTTCATAAGAGGCGACTTAGGGTACCTAATGGTCGAGGGATGGCCAGCAGCGTCCCTCGTTAAACATCACCAAAAGTCTAACTGCGGTTGTCAAACAACCTGCCAAGCGTGGCAACCAATGGCAATACCCCCTTATGAGGGAAGGGAGGGATTAGTTAGTAATGCTGACTACCAGTCCCATTGCTAGCAATATACCCTATCAGGTTGTTCCATCGTGCTGAATTCCTGGCGTATTCTTCAAGGTGGGCTAACAGACCTGCCTTTTCATCTTCACCTATCATCCATCACTGGAGCATCAGTGATGGATGATATGATATGGCAACGTATATCGTTAGCGCAAGCGGGATTACCATTTCATTGTCATCCATAAAAAATACCCCCTTACGGGGAAGGCTTATGTTCAAGTTTGGGTTTGGTAATGTTTTAAAAGGGACGCTGCTGCCCATCCTTCAACGATTATGCTCCTTTTGTCGCCTCGTACTACACCCACAGGGAAGAAAAAGGTATCATTCTATGCCGAGATTACACGGCAACTCTTAAGTATAGTTGGGTAAAATTTTAGCAATCGGGTATTTTACGTAACATTGAAAATTGATTAAAAATTTCAATATACGTGCACTTTATAATATTATATCTATGACTTTATAGTAATAGAATATTATTATTAAAAACAAAATTTCAATTTTTTTTAAATAATAACTTTATATATTTTTATTCTGAATCTGATGCAATCAGAAAGAGGAACTCACTAAAAACTTTAACGTTTTGCATTATAACATCGATTTAATGCAAATTATTCTTTTCATTGTATAATGACAGATTTATATGTAATGACAGTGCAATAATATATAAATAAATTTGTATGACATCCATCTGTCTATAAAAAGAGGTAACATACCACATTGGTAAATTCCCGATTATGTTCAAAGTAAAAGAGGTCTAAATTAACTTAAAATTTAGCACATTATAAATAATAGTACGTTTTGATGGATGATAATGGAATGATAACCTCGCCTGCGCTATCGGTATATACTGGCAGTGACGGTGAAAAAGCAGGTCAGTCAGTTAGCCCATCGTGACGAATTCAACAATAAATTAGTCATATATATATATATATATATATATATATATATATATATATATATATATATATATATATATATATATATATATATATATGATACATTTCTGTCATGTCTGTCTCCCATTAGGGTAGGCAGAAATAATGGAACGACAAATGCTCGGATTCAAACAAACCCCTATAGATTACCCTATATTCAACAACTTATTTATAAGCATTGGCCGGTTACGAGTTCTCTTCCAGCAAACTCAAAATGGAAAGGAGCATCACTGTTCACGGGTAGAGCAGTGTACAATATTGTGACAATTTTCAAACAAAAAGAATCAGACAAACTTAAGTTTACATAACTAGTCTGGCTGTAAATACTGTTGCATAAAAACTTTTCTTTTTTTCAACTTTTTAATTATTTTGAATTTGGAATACGTTTATTATTTTAAAAACTTCTTTCGGTTTTGCGCCATTTCACATATTTTTATGTGTTCTTTTTTTTTATACAACTTAGAATGGCAAACAAACTGACGGTCCACCTGATGGAAAGTGGTAACCGTCGCTTATAGACATGAGCAGTACCATGGACATAACAGAGTATACTGTTTCGCCCACAATACCCCCCATGCGTTGCCATTCCTGAGGACTCAGGTGTTATTCCTCTGTACCCAGTAAATTCACGCCATATCCCACCCTTCAAACCGAAACACAGCCATGCAAACACAACTGCTTCACGGTTGAAACACGAATGGGACAGAGGTACCCAAGCAATCGACTTTTGTACAAAGTCTCCCTCTGGTCATTATTAAATTAAAATATCGAATGGGGTGTTAAAGAATATAGGATTGTAGTGATTGTCTTGCACAAAGTCGATATGGAGCCGTCAGTCATATTCCAAACACTTCAAAAGCTTGGTATTAGCCGTATGTTCGTAAATAGTACTATCAACAGATACAACACTTCCTCTGTCGAAGACCAGAAAAGATCGGGGCGGCCGCGTGCTGTTAGAACTACAAAGGCTGTTAATGCCGTTAAAGCCAGAATTCGTCAATATGTTATTATTATTAACTGACTGGCATATAACTGGAGTTAGCCTACGTCCTTTTCCGTGCACGTGCATGTAATACTTTTATTATTATCATATTAGATATATCAGCTTTAACTGGCTACTGTTTTGCCAGTAGTTGCCACGCTTGGCAGGTAGGTTGGCAACCGCAATTAGGCTTTGGCTATATTTTAAGACGGACGCTGCTGCCTATCTCTCGACAATTAAGTTCCTATAGTCATCTCTTTCGATACCCACGGGAAAACAAGGGGAAAGGAATATAATACTGTGTATATCATATCACATGATATGTGGTTGAATCGTTATTGATGGATATCTCAACGGTTGTGTTACGATTTGACAAAGTTGTAATAGTAAAACAAGCAAACAAACTCTTTACTTCTTATAATAAGGAGGTTATGACAACAAAGATTGGCTTAGTAAAGCAACGATAAAAACTAAAGATAAAATAAAACAAAGAGAAAAACTAATTATTTTCCATAAAGGAAAATAAATTAAATAGTTATTTTGATGTAATCGTAAATTAGTAACAATTATTAAAAGTTTATTTTTACATTTTCCTTTACATTAATATAGCAAAATATTTATTCTAATAAATAAACAGTATAACCTTAATTTTTTATAATAATTTTGACTTATTTATTTTTAATTTCTTATAAACATAGTTTATGATGCTTCACAAAATAAATTTCGTAAAATTATCTAATTAAATTAATAGCATTAACAACTAATTATAGTCTTCCAACGCACCACATCGAGACAGCATACCTACGATACTGGTAGTACCTCTTTCGACTGCCAAACTTTTACGCAAAGTAGATCTCGGGTCACTAGTAACCTCGATGAGGCGTATTGCGATCGTGCGATAAAAATGCTTTGCAACTGTGCGATTGTGCCGCACGGGCCTATGGTCTCTACAGCAAATGGCAGGGAATAATAAGATAATAATAATAATAATATAACAACTGGCTAAAATCGATACTGGTGGTACACGTCGAATAACAAGAGCCAAATGAGGACCTCATGCGTGCGTTCTTCAGGGCTACAACAGAAACAGGCAGAACAGGATACCGGGCAGTTAATGCACCGCGAGTTTCCGTCTTTTACCGGAAAACCGTCTCGGAACAGAACCTAGCCGACAGAGTTCGGTAATAGTTATTTTGACCGAACTGTAACGATTCGTAAATTTGTTCCAGAACAATTAGAGCAAATCTCAGTTTATTTTTACATTTTTCTTCCCATTAATATAGCAAAATCTTTAGCTATAAATAAACAGTATAATCTAAGATTTTTATAATAATTTTGAAGATAGATTTTTATATATTATGTAAACGCGGGATGCCATTGAGGCCACAAATGGACTGCTGTAAAATTATCTAATTAAATTAATGACCTGGGAGAGACAACTAATTATAGTTTGGCGCTGCGTTGGCACACCGATATACCGGCGCAAAAATACTGGTGGACGTAATATCCAAAGGGATAATATGAAACCAGCCTGGAAAAGACTGTCAAACGGATCGCCCAGCCAGAAGTAGACTCTCTGCTTCACTAGTAACACACGATGAGGCGCATTGCGATCGTGCGATAAAAATGCTTTGCAACTGTGCGACTGTGCCTATGGTGCCTATGAAATCATGAGATAATAATAATAACTTTTACATGTGTATTAGTTATTTTTTTTTTATATTAACAGAATCGCTCTTTATGAGTGATCAACGTTTTATAAACTTGGAGCGCTTATTTTGAACAGCCCACAGGACAAAGACCCGAAACAGCCAATTTCGTCGCCTTTGGAAATAGCTGTGGTCAAAAACTATAAAACATGAGAGGGCTTATGGATGCACGATGTTGCAGGATAACATGTGCTCGAATAACGCCGCTTTTTTTGCCATTTCACGGAGACAGAATTTAAAATGTAAACGCTAAAAGATGTACATTGCAGCATATAAAATATTCTAAATATATCAAAGACAATAGATTCTATTAAGTGCATTATATATATATATATAGTGACGGACGATACCGCGGAAATCTAAATATCGCCCCATCACTTGTCTTACGAAATATATAAACGTTAACATCCGAAAAAGCGCTAAGATCTCTCGTCAATAAGAGAAAAGAAAAATTAGCGCTCAGAACGGATATATAGCAAATGATCGAATATCCTCAATAATAATGCTGTCGCTTTAAATAACTTATTTATTAGCGGAAATAACGGAATTTCTCCGCCGCCTGGATAGATGATTTAAAGGCGTTCGATTCAATTTTATATATCACAGGATCACTGAATGTACAAGTTCATTTTACAGTTCAACTGTTCTTCAAAACATGAGCTAAAGTGAGCGCTCGTATCACACGGCGAGCGATTGACGGATACCAAACGACCGGATAGAAATAAAGAAGGAACATTCCGTGGCGATTGTTTGAGTCCACTTTGGTTTTGCCTGTCCCTGAATCCACTCAGTACTTTGCTGGAGAATTCGGGGACTGGTTTTCAGTATCGGAGAGGTTTTGATTGCTAATACGATCTGTCTCACCTTCTGTACATGGATGACTTGAAAAACAAAAAAAAAACAAGCGTCGAAGATTGACGGATTGCTACAAATTTGAAACGATTTAGCACTCTATTAATGGCGCTCGGAATAGACAAGTGCGCGGTCCTCCATGTGCAGAGTAATGGAAACCAGTTAAACTAAATCATAAATATTTATTAAATTTAAAAAATCATACCGGTATTCATGTCACAAAAACATCGGTGTGAAGGAGACGGATATCAAAACAAACGTCATGCGAATGAATTTTTCGCGCCTTACAAGTTTACTGAAAAGTTCTTTGTCAGGTTAACCAATAAAATCCGAGCATACTATAAACATTTAACAGTATTTAATTGAATTACTTTTGGTGGTTTGTATCTCACACAATCTCGAAGCCCTATCGGAAATGTAAAATAATAATAAAATTATTTAAAATGCATCACCCAAATCTTGTCAGTCTTGAGGCTGTATATCCCGAGACAGGCTCGAGGCTTGTTAAAAAAAATGTAAGACCATGCACAACCGCGAGTGTTGAATGTACATTTTTTGAATAAATGATTTCTATAGAGATTCTAGAATTCTATTCTATTCTACTTTCTCTGGCAAAGAGGACTGGCGAATTTTGCCCAAGTTTTGGGTACCTCTCAGAAAAGGCCGTATTTTTCTAAAGATCTGGAGTTGCAGGAATTTTCAAAGCCCTTCACGATGGCCGTAGAATAAAAAGCTGTGATAATTCCGTGCACTGGCTACATATTCGGTATAATCATTAAGAGACCGAGGGTTTTGTCTGTGCAATACAATCAGGATGGTTATAACGAACAATTACCGAAAGCACATTCTGAAGGATGGCAATGAGGACATCTGTCTCCGCCTGTCGCCATCCCGGAGAGTCACTCAGACATGTGCTTTCGGGTTGTAGTTAAAGATGAACCACAGGCACAACCCAATGTGACGGAATGTAATAATAATCAATCAGCTAGATCTGAAGTACGGCCTCGCGAATGAGAGGTTGCCTGATAAAGTACGAGCCCCAGCCGGTCCTCGAAAGTGACCAAATATGGAATACCATTTTGTTTTTTACTGGGACCGATCCATCATCACGGACAGGACCGTTCTTGCGAACAAACCTGATATCGTGGTGATGGATTAACAATCATATATTTACTTTTTATTGGATGTCACAATTTTTGATAGAACCTCGTGAAAGCCGAAACTTTTTCAAGAAGAGAAAATAATGATGAAGCTCACGATGGTGACCGAAATGTGGGGTGACATCTATAAAAATCATCAAATCGTTATGTCGGTGAACGGTAACTTATCCCAACCAGTCTGGAACAACATCTCAACGGTTGGGATTCCGAACATAAATTATTTGCAAAAGATGCAGAAAGCGGTATCAGACTCTGCCCGCATTGTACGTCTCCCAGAGCCCACAACCCCGGCCGACTGTGCTTCTGCCGGGGGTTATCATTCCTCTCCTTAACAGGGTGAGAATTTTAGAAATTTAAAAAATAATAATAACCTTTACATTTGTATTAGTTCTTTTTTTTGTATTAGGTTCTCTATTTTTTTATTAAGTTCCCTCAAATAGAAGCTGCTTATTTTGAATTTATTATTGAGCTGCTTCACCGTGTAATCTTATCGTATTTGCAAATACTATCAAAAACTATAAAAATATCTTACTTGCAGTGCTTGCAGCGATAACCTAGCCCTACTTGAAGGTTACGTCTGCTTTTTTTGCTATGTTCACAGACACGAATTTAAAATGTAAACGCTAAAAGATGTACATTATTGTATATAAAATATGTATAAATATATCAAAGACAATAGATTCTATTAAGTGCATTATATATATATATATAGTGATAGGTAATATCGGCGTAGAAATCGCAAAGTGCATAAAGCGCTATTTAGTAAATTTAAAAGGAGAACGAAAAATGAAATAAGACTAAAAGGAAAAATTAGTAAGTAGTATATAGCAAATGTAGAATATAGCAATAATAATAGTTAATGTACTATAATAATAATAGTTAATGTGTGCTAGAATAGTTAATGTACCATCTACTAGATACAAGAGACGAAGAGTCTTTAAATAACTTATTTATTAACTAAATACCAATTCTACATGATTAAAACACTAAATTAGATGATTTAATCCTTAACTTAATTACAATTTTATGTATCACAATCACTACAATAAGTACAAGTGTTCATTTTACAGTTCAACTAAAACTTCAAAACAAATGAGCTAAAGTGAGCGCTCGTTTCACACGGGACGTAATTATTATAAACAAACGAATGATAACAAATACGAAGAAGGAACAGTACGTGTTATTGTTTGTGTAGCTTAAACATCTCGCCATTACCGGAGTCCAATTTAAGGATCCGACAAGAGGGTCGCCGTTGTTTCTGCACTGCCATCGGCAGACCGTGTTTCGATTGCCAACACATCTTTGTACTTTTGACACGTATTTTATTAGAAAAACAAAAAACAACCAAAAGTTTGTACAAGTATTGTTCAAATTTGAATATTGTTTTGGTACATAAGTAAGTTAATACATAGAATACTCGTTACACTGTTAATGTGGGTAAAGTAATGGAAAACAGTTAATTAAATCATAAATATTTATTAAATTTAAAAAATCATCGCACTTCACAATAATAACATTACCAAATGCGAACCTGGCCGTAATCAAAACAAACGTATGGAATGACTGACTTCATTGTTTACTGACTAAGCTTTTTCAGGTTAACCAATCCTGTAAGAAAGGGACATACTATAAACATTTAGCAGTGGCATTGCTAGACTGGGTATTTTGCCACAAGTTTGGGTAAAATTTGTCTCATGAAACAGTAGATGGCTGTGGAGAATTATAAAAGCTGTGATAATTCACTTGAGAGTTTTGATATTTTTATATCGTGTATATAATCATATAATATACCAGGAATTATTTAAGCAGACTTTAACTTGGATGCCCATAACAGCTGTTTTCGAAATAATTAGCTCCCATTAAAGGTATTTTAATGAATGATAATACAATGGTAACTCCGCCTGCGCTATCGGTATACACTGGCGGGGCACCAATGAGGGATGATAGTTAAAGATGAACCAGGTCAGTTAGCCCAATGTGACGGAATGTAATAATAAATCAATCACAATGATTTCCAGGGGGAACCACGAGGAGGTTGACCTGATAAAGTTTATTATTAGCAATGGGGTTGCTAATCTCTATTGCTAACAATCCTTCCCCCCCCCATTGAAAGTAGTAAAATGATATAAACGGCGGCGGTATTCTTTAGTCGCTCATAAAGGTTACTTAGTGAAAAGAGACAAAGTACGTGACTGGGTAAAGTATAAATGTAAAGAATATTATAATTTTGGAGGATAAAAAAACATTTGGGACAAATAAAAATCGCATCTGGCAACGCTTGTTAGCAATATGTAGGACTGGCTGGGCCATTCCTGTTTTTAAATGTACTATGTTCACACGTATTTAATGTAACTTGTTGCGAGATGTATTTTAAATAGAATATATGTTCTACATATTCATTTTAAGGAAAACGAAGTTTTAATTGGTATAGAGTGTGCCTATGTATTGTATATAAAGCTGTGTTTTGTATTAAGAGATAAAAGGATATAGAATGACCTGGAGAAATAAATTATCCTGTTCATTTACGCCGGTTACAAAATGCACTATAATAGGATTTTATTCAATTGTAAGTATTTTTCATAATTTAATTGGACTTTTTTAATTGTTGAATTAAGTGTAGTTTATGGGCTAGTCAAAAAAAAAGAATGCTTTACGCTCGAAAGATACAGACCTCAAAATAGTAGCTACATGAGGCTGAAAATGTTCATATTTTAGCATATAAAAGTTTCCAAACATCTAAACTTCTAAAGATATAACATAGTCAATTATATATCTTTTGAAATTTAATAGTAAATAAGTCTCAAAACGATGTCTCATAATATATAGTTTTTAGAGTGGCATAATTTTTTATTACTTGTATTTAAATTTCATTAAATTAAGTTACGAATATAAGGAAATAATATTTTTTTTATTTCTAAAAACAAATTCTAAATATAAATTTAATATATATACAGCACATATTTCACATTATATTATGATTATAATATAGGTAAGTAAATGTAAAGGCCGGCAGCACACCTGCAATGCCGCTGGTGTTGTGGGTGATCATGGGCGGCGGTAGTCATTATGAGCCGCATGCTCGTTTGCCCCCTGTGTTGTAAAAAAAAAATGTTCTGCTTGATATTTTATATTATATTATAATAAACTATTACTTTCTTATTTATTCTAACCCAATGTAACAAAATTTTAATATACCTATGTTAATAACGTTTTGAGACTTTGTTTTCTGAGACTTTCATTATTTGAGACTTATATCTTTTGACACTTAGAAGTTTTGAGACTTTATTATTTGGAAATGTGAAAAAAAAATTAGGAGGTCGCCCGATTGTATCGTATTATATGATATCAAATTACATTATTGGTAAGTGACCAATGTCGGTATCTCATGGATTAAATTAATTTTATTTAAAGTTTAATTGGGAACATACAAAGATACAAACTTTCCTTGTAATCTCTATGAAAATCCATTGAGTAGTTTCAAAGAAGTAAGCGGAGAAATAAATAAATACATTTATAGGCATACAGCAAACTTACTTTATATCTACTATTTAAAAATTATATTACGTATTTGGAGTTAAATGTCGTGACAGAACAAACCTTTAAAATTACTGCAGTGAACTGCAATCAGAAACCTAGCATGCTCAGTTGAATAAGGATAACTTCCTTCCTTCAAAATATATTTCCAATATCGAGTTAACATTGCTTGTTGTTTGTAATAACTACTAGTACTAAATCGGTCCCTCAAATTATACTGCCTGTGTTTTCGTAAACCATGGTTGGCCTAAATACAACGAAAACTAAAATTATTGTATTCCATCACTTGCAAAATATAAGCAGTAAAATCAATTTATAGGTACAGATTTGCCTAATTCATTTTAAATTGAAATGGCATAAAATCTTATCTTTTATAAAAAAGGAGCAGAAACAAAAAAAGGAAACAGCAATATAGAATTTGGTGTTTTAAAAAATAAATTAGTAGATGCACTGAATATAATGTAATAACAGTAAACTATCGATAAACCACTTATCGTAATTTAAAATACATGAGTAATGTAAGGTTCAAATAAAGAATCGGCATATAAAACGAAACGAAAGAAAATATTACAGTTGTGAAAAGAACAGCTATAAAATATGGATAAATCAAGTTTAGATTAGTTTTAGGGTACTGTTAGTCAAAGACTGGTCTAATATCCATGTTGATCGAGATCAAGTTATTATATCTATAATGACTTGGCGTAATGACTTGCCTCGGTATTTAGATATTGTATTTAGATTGGTTGATAAAATTATATCAAACAGTAAATTGTACCACAACTGCATGATAATTAAAGATTCTATAACATAAATTTTAACTAATAAAGAGCTACGTTAACTCTAAGTATATTATTTATGGGGTCAACTTGGATAGTTAGAGAAGAAAGTTAATTTGTCTTCGCAGGTTATTAGGTGGATAATATTACTTCGGGAAATTTTATAAAATGAAACCACGTAATAATACTGTTGCTTTCTTACAGATGGGTCTGTAATTTAATTTATTTACTTTTATTGTAATATTTTAATAGTTTTTTTTTTTTGGTATGGTAAGGAATTAAATCTATGTTTCGGATCGAAATACGACCTCTACGTGGTTCCCTTTTAAAATCATCGTTGTTAATTTCTTGTGAATTCTTTACGATGGTTCGTCTGACTTGACTTCATACTCACTTTGTTATCATTCACGTGTACTCGACTAGCGTAAACTCAATAGCACGGGCAGGGTTATTATTTTGTTTTCATTCATATAAAGTTAGTATTCGTAAAGTAGATAATATTTTTTTTTATACAACTTAGAATGGCAAACAAGCTGACGGCCCACCTGATGGAAAGTGGTAACCGTCGCATAGACATAGCAGTACCATGGACATAACAGAGTATACTGTTTCGCCCATGATATCCCCCATGCGTTGCCATTCCTGAGGACTCAGATGTTATTCCTCTGTACCTTGTAATTTTTTTTATTAAATTATTATATTACAGGTAATTTCATTGCTGTTGATAATGGCGTCAATTGTATATTTATGTGAGCAAGAACAAAAGAAGATAGAATTTTTGCAAAAAACACTTCACGGTAGTACGAACAAAATATGGATAGACTTCGTAATTGTGATGACTTTAATTTTGTCTTCGCTTTGGATGATCTTCTCGGGAACACTAATCATTGGCGTAGTAAAGGTATATATTTAATTGTATTATGAGGAAATTTACAGATCAAACATATACCTAAATGGCAATTCATAAAGAGCATTTGTACCGAAATATAGTAACGCCTTCATTAAAAAATAAAATTAAACATTTTAAATACGAAGTTTTAGTAATTAATATGTGTTATATGATTACTGTTTTGTTGCTAAGCGAACACTTTTAAATTTTTTTTAGAAGTACATATATATATAAGTCACAAAGTCTATTTATTAATAGCAGAACGTTTATATATATAAACAGATCAATGTATAGTTTGGTTTAACTTGGTATGCCCAAGGAACCAAACTATATATATATATATATATATATATATATATATATATATATATATATATATATATATATATATATATATATATATATATATATATATATATATATATATATATATATGGTTTCCTTTCAATTTAGATCATAAATAAAAAAGTACGTACAGTAAAAATGCACAAAAATCTGTTTTAAATGAAATCTTTTCATATAATAGCCCACTTTGAATAGTGGATCAATTTTAATCTTTTGAGTACTCATTTTGGATCCTCTAAAAAAATATAAAAATATTTTGTCAATTATTTCGATTGCAATAAATGTGGGCTAACAATATGTAACACTGTTCAAAATTTGAAATTGATAGAATTAGTAGTTTTTGAGTTATAGCGATATACTCCCACTACTAGTGGGATGTAGCAAATTTTTAAATATAATGTAATTTTTTGGACATCCAAGCAAAGAAAATAAAAATGTTTTTTAATTATTTCCATTGAAGTATGTGTAAGCAAATAATATTAAAACTTATTACAAATTTGAAATAGATAGCATTAGTTATTACTGAGTTATAATACTGTGACAGATGGATGGACAAACGAGAGGATTGAGCGGACGGACGGGCGGATCCGTTCATCCATAATAATAAATAAGCGTTCAATTTATTTTATGTTTTCCAAGTTCTTTCATATACTATACACTTACTTGAAATAATTCACATGTAGCAAATGAAATTTCAGACAAATACAAAATATACGTCATTGTAGCTGCTTTACTTTATAAAGACTGCTACTGTTTAGATTTACTCATAATTAACAAACCGCGTTTGATTAGGTGTAAGAAGAAACCACACAGCCGACTGAGTTAATAGAAACTTAATAAAGTTGTCAAACTATTTCACGCTATTACACTATAAGAGATACAATAATCACACGAGTTGAACTTGTTAACTTGTGATACCTTCTTTTATTTTATATTTAAGTTTAATCATATACTAAAGTTTTTAGTTCAATTATAAGGAATATATTAAAATAATTTATCATAAAAGTATAAAGTATTTATCATATTACGAAATAATTATAAATATTATTTCTCTTCCTGAGGACTCAGGTGTTATTTCTCTGTACCCTGTAAATTCACTGTTATATCCCACCCTTGAAATCGAAACACAACCATGCAATCACAACTGTTTCTCGGTAGAAACACGATTGAGACAAATGTGCTCAAACAAACGATTATTGTACAGTCTCTCTCTGATATTAATTCTTAATATATAAAGTTATGTTAATGTTTTAATTGGAAATTCAAAAACTAAACACAGATAAAGTGCTATATTTCTATATTACTCATGTTTAACAATAGATGAGTGTCATCAGTAAATAGAAGAAGTATATAATTTGTTTTAAATCCGTGCTCTACGAAAATTTTTCTAATATTTCAAATACATAAGGATATAAAGTTTCTGGCATATGTTTCCCCCAAACAAAATCCATATGATTAAACTCCTTTCGGGGTAAAAGTAGATACTTTACTACATTTGGTAATTGAGAGTTGAGAGTATCGACGTCTTCTATAGTGGCCAAGAAGTCATTTTCACCAACAAACAAAGCGGTCTTCGCTGTAACTTTCCCCAGATCAAATTCCGGAGGATCCGTCGTGCCGTAAACTTCAATATTTTTAATTGTACCATAATCGTAATCAGCAAATTTATTTCTATTACCAATTTGGCCTAAGTGATATATATTCTTTAAAGAAATTCTAGCTGGACAATGACCAAACAGTATATGTGAGAATTGTGGCTCTATTTCTTCACTATCAAAACCTGCTACTGAGAAAATAATGCCATCAAAACAAAGTTCATAACTTCCAATATCTTGAGTGCACGCAACCTCTAAAAAGTTTTTTAGTGTAGAATTCTCTTTAAATAGATCTACCACTCCCAGCGATGTGAACATAGAATGTATTGGTATTATCAATTCAACAACAATTTCTAGCAACCCCCTCAAATGACTTAAATACGCTATGGGAGCTAAGGCAATAAAAACATTGATTTTGTCGTTATATTCAGGTCTTCTTGATCCGAGTACAAAAAAACTTGCAGTTCCCTGAGAATGTCCAATGACTGTCAATTTTTCTTGATCAGTCTGCTGTAATACGAAGTCTATGCAGGCACTATAATCATATTATCCGAATTCGTACAAACTGAAATTTCAGTACTCTTTGTCTTTCTCACAGTCTAATGTCTCGTGGCCTAATGAATATCTGTTACCTCTAAAATTTGCAGCCCATACGTCGTATCCTGCGTCAGCTAAAGTAATGGCGAGAGATATATTTCCTCTTATGATAAAAGTATCTGATGAGTCTGCTAAACCGTGCATTAAAAGTATAGGTCGGCCTTTTCCGGGAATATGGAATATTGTGAGTATATATTTGTCCTCAGTGGTCACAGAATACTGTTCACATTTTTTTCCGTATTTTACCGCAAGCCCAGAAAAGTTGAGTTTTCCATCTTCTGATAAGTGACTCTGAAGAGGAGAATATTTATTTATTATTTCTGTAATGTTTATATTAGGTATCACATTTTCAATTGCACTACTAAGAATCGGATCCACTAAGCTAGACTCACATAAAATAGGAAGAATGAATATGACCGTAATAAATGATAACATTATGAAATATTAGATAGGCCTTAACACTTATAATTATTAAAAAATGAGCATTTTGTTTCTTTTATATTAAATTCGTGTAGATATGTCAATATTTACACATGGCTAACGATAAATATTATATCTAAAGTACATAACAGAAGGCGAAAAACACGTAGTAATTTAAATACTTAGATTTGAAATACATAATTACTAGGTTTGTTCTGACAGGTTCTGTAAATATGAGACTCAATGAATCTCATAGAAAATCTACACCTAATAGTAATTATTATTTTTACTAGAATTCGTAATTTCTTTTTATTGTAGATAGATCGGGACCACATAACTTTGTTTTATAGTGAAACTTTTGTCAAAATTCGTTTACAGTTTTTGTGCTATACTGCAACAATACATACAGATAGACAATAATTTAAAAAAATTTGATTATATATTGACAGTACTATATACGATATACCCAGACTAAAATTTCGAAAAATATTCAATACACCTACTGGAGTGCCGTTACAGTTTTATTACACTTAGTAGAGTGCACTTGACAACAGATGGTATTGTCTTTATCATGATAAAAATCTTTCTAGATTTGAGTTTTCTATTGACTAAAGTAAGTTACAAAAATTCTTAGTAATCTAAAAATATACTATAGAACATATTTTCATTATTCATTTCATACAATGATTAAGTGTGCTTATTTATTTTTAATTTCGGTGTTATAACGTTTCAGTATCTGTTTGTTATGTTTTTCATTTTAACTTGTATTTAACGACAGATGGCGTTACTCTTTATTGCAAATAAAATAATTTATTGCATTTATTTTTTTACCATATTTAATTAAATGTGCAGTTAAGATTTCAATACAATTGATCCCATAGTTTTCACGGGCATGTTTCTCATTTTTTAAAAAGTGATAAGATGGTGACTTACGTCTATTTATCATATTTAACGAATAGCCGAATACCTTTTTTCTTTTGAAATTGAATAAATATATACAGAGTGGACGAGATAGGATGGACAAAAACGAAAACAACTGATTCAGATGAATGGTCTGAATCAGATGACAGATAATTTTCCCAACGGAAATGCACCACAGCTATATAATTAATTATTCCTAGTTTTGACGCCACACAACGTATTTGAAATTTTCGATTCATACGACGCGAGATACCTACACCGCGCGTACTTCTTCGTAGGTACTTTATATATATATATATATATATATATATATATATATATAAACTATATATATAAAGTACCTACTCTGCGCTCCTCGAGAGTTGGCGAACGAAAAAGACTAATCCTATGAACTACCTGGTTTTTATAGGCTTGGCTCCCCACTCCTTGTTTGTACTAGTCTTAATATCTAACATTATATATATATATATTATTGTCAGTTCAGAATAATGGTCTGAACTCAATGTTTGAGTTTTTGCCAACCTGTACCTTATATTCTGTATATAAGAGTATAAATAGAATATTCTATTGTCTCTAAAGCAAGTTTGAAATAAACATATCTAACATACTTTTTATTTAAGATATAAAAATGTTTTAATTTTCAGAATTACGTCGGCTTTGTGTTATGCTACTTCGTCTATGGGATATTTATTGTGATAGCATTTAATCTTGGTGCTCTTTTACTATTGTTACACATGCATTGGATTATCGCCGTAACCGAGATTATAATGTCACGTAAGTACTTTTATGAACACTTATATTTTATACATTAAAATTTCTTTTTCGGTTTTTTCGGGTTCGACAACAATAGTTATCTTCGTCTTACATCGCTAAATTTCTTACCTAGTTTTCTAGCCCATTGTACTGACATAAAGTCAGTTACAGATTTTGTCAATATAACGACTATTAGAATTTAGAACGGCTCGCCTATTAACATTAAACGCCATAAGTATAATTGCTTTTAAACAAAAGCTACATACCCATTATCTCTCCAAACCTAGATCTCGGGGAAAGAAGAGATTGTTAATATTGGGAATTAATAGCTATATTGCTAGCAATACACCCTGGCAGGTCGACCTCTACCTATCCTATTTGGGCATGTGTGCGTTGGTTTGCCCTTGCCGATTGGGTAGTTCCAATTTTATTTTACTGGATTTGCAGTAATAACGAATTGTTGTTGTTTTGGCCATGATTTTTAATATTGCTACTGAACTATATAAATTTACAATAATTCAAATACATATAAAACGAAGAGGTGACGGTATATAAATGCAATTCAATTGTAACAAATGACGTGAATGTGGCTGCTGATTAGTGGATCGTCGCAATTTGCTTCACACTTCACGTTCCTTTCAGCAACCATAGATTATGCAGTAACATATTATATATATTCAGTATTTTATATAATATTAGTGTTATCCTGCTAGTTTTTTTTTTCAATTTGTGTGGTTAAATATTTATCTATATTTTTTCATTGTCTATTAGTGCGTGTATTTTTATAGAGTTTCCCTTTTATTTTAAAGTGCCGAAACCAAACATCTTTATTTGGTTGACTAATAGAGAACGCCTATAAGGTATTATAATAAATACTTTTGTTATGTACGTAAAGATAAATAAATAAAAACTTTAATGTAAAAGCCGAAAAGATAATGAAATCACTGATGGTTATGAAGGTAGTTACTAGTAAATTTAAACGATCTTGTCACATAGAACTCTAAGATTTAAACTTGAGAATTACTAATAGTGACGAAATGAAATTCCCTTTGTGTAAGGAATTATCCTTTCATCTACTTCGAGGAAAATAGTGACCAATATTTTGTTTTATTAAAAGTATCTTTTTTAATAATAAAAAATTAAGATGTCTCATTCCTACTTGGCCTTAGGCTGTATGAACGTACCTTGTCTTTTTCTCCTCGCTACCTTCAAAGATTATCGCAATGACAAAGAGTACTTAATTGTACTGTAATTTCATCAAATAAAAGTGGTCAGAAATTGAAGTGAACAGTGAGCTGAACATAAACGAAAATTTTACGTAGATTAGATTTTTTTTATATGTTTGTTTGCGATATCAAAAACTACTTAATGTATTTTAAAAATTCCTTCACTTAAAGGAAGCTTTATATTACTTTATCAGCCAGTAATATAGACTATAAATTACTTAAAAAAATTGGAGCCCTACGAAAATTATGTTGAAGTTTTAATACTGGCTGTTGACACTGAGGTTTTTTAGAACAATGTATTATTTTTAAGTTTGTTCTGTGTCAAATTTTTATAAGACATGTCTCGTATTTTTTCACTAAACTTATTAGTTTATATCTCAAATACATATAAGTATTGTTACCGCATCCTGCCATTTACAACAGGTTATGGGACCCAGCTCTGTAAGTAGAAAATTTTCATGATATCTGACAAGAGTAATTCGCCGATCTCCTTTGAAAAACTTAAAAGACGGGTGAATAATGTAGATTGGAAATTTGCTATGCAGAATGCTCTTACTTTTGAAAATCTATGAAAATGTATTTGTGGATATGGTGTAAATTATAGCTTGTAACCTGAAATAAGAAAACAGCTGGACCACAAGGAAAAATCATTGATTTATGTTGAAAAAGGTTGTTTTTCTCATCTCATGAGAGCTAAAACTGCAAATCAAATTTGGAAGGCTCTGAAAGGTGTTCTTCTTTTACTTCTTCTTTCGGCTTATTTTACTGAAGCGGAGTATATAGTATTATTGGAGGCAGTTAGAGAAGCGGTGTACGTCCGTGCCTTACTCTCTGAGCTGACGGAGCATATTAACGCTATCGTATAATATTGCAGAAATCAGTCAGCGGTTAAACAGTTGCTGGTCAACATCCAGGATTAAGAGGGCGTGTTGAAGTTTTAATACTGGCTGTTGACACTGAGTTTTTTTTAGAACAATGTATTATTTTTAAGTTTGTTCTATGTCAGATTTTTATAAGACATGTCTCGTATTTTTTCACTAAACTTATTAATTTATATTTCAAATACATATATGTTTTATTACCGCATCCTGCTATTTACAATAAATTATAATATTAAATAATATATAATCTAATAGCCATGGTATCATAGGCGACATAGTATACTCTGTTATATTCATGTTTATAAACAACGATTACCACTTTCCATCAGATGGGCCATCAGCTTGTTTGCCAAAAAAATCTGCGCAATACGTGGGACACTTAGAAAGTTTTGCGACACAAAAAAAAATTCTATAGGTAAAAATATTTTTATTACATCTTTTCAAAGTACTCTCCACCAGCCTCTATACAAAGTTTCATGCGTCTGAACCAGTTTTCGAAACACTTGTTCCAGTCCGCCACAGACACCTCGTTTACAGCCTGCTCGAATGCTGAGAGCGCATCATCCGGCGACGAAAATTGTATCCCTTTGAGCTGATTTTTTATTCTCGGGAATAAGAAGAAGTCACACAGTGCTAAGTCAGGGTTGTAAGGAGGGTGACTCTGGAGTTTGACCGGTGTGCTATCTAGGAAGACCCTCGTTTTGATTGCAGTGTGGGCGGGCGCATTATCGTGGTGCAGCATTAGCTCGCGGAGCCCTGTATTTGATCGCTTGTTGCTCACAACCGATAAAACTTCTGTCAAGCATTTGGTAGTATACCATTCGGCGTTAATGCTTCTTTGGCTTCGTGAAGGAATTAACACGAAGTAGCCAGTTAAATTGAAAAAACTCGCGATCATAATCTTCCTCCTGCTTTACTTTAGTAGGCGTTGATTCGTTTTGAAACACCCAAACCGTCGACTGGCGCTTTGTTTCTGGATCGTATTGATAAATCCAGGATTCATCACCTGTAACGATGTCGTAAACACGCCGAGACGATCCTGCTTCAAATTTATCTATCATATCATGGCACCATTCCACCCTTACTTGCTTCTGTACATCGGTGAGGTTGTGCGACACCTAGCTTGAAACTATCCTCCGCACCCATAGATGCACGTGTAGAATCTCGTGAAGGCTTCCTGATTCAATTTGCAGTATACGCTGAATCTCTTGGTATGTAACTCGTATATTGTCTGGGATCAAATTTTTCACTGCTAGCACATTTTCTTCTGTAACAGCCGTTAAAGCGCGACCACTTCTTTTTTCATCCCCCAAAGTTAGTTGACCGCGCTTGAATTCATTATACCAACGATACACGGTTGCCTTAGAAGGGTCTTCATCTATGAATGCCATTTAAAGTCTATCGTAGGATTCGTTCCGATAGAATGTTCTCGACGCAAATCCGTTTTTCAATGAGACACGGGTAGGAGAGAGGGAAGTTTTGAATTTAGAACGTACTTATTTTTACTTATAAGTAATCATATTTTTAAATAAATTATAACTCGCCAGTCTCACATACATAAAAACTTTTTCTCGCAATACTTTCTGAGTGACCTGGTAAAGAAAACAACAGTACTCTCTTGCAGACTTTTGACGTTTTGCGACATAGGTAAAAACATTGCTAAACTTTCAATGAGATGAAGCGTCTTAACAACGTCATGAAATTTAGTTTACATGTAATATTTTGTATAATAAAAATAACACTGTATCCTAGTCACACAGACTAAGTCGCAGGTAAAAAAAAGAGTATGAATAATAAATATACTCACAAATATAATCTCAGATAAGGTTATCAGAGACATTAGACAGAGACTAAAGTTTTCCTTTGTTTGTTTGAAATTGGTAAGATGTGGATCTTACCGTATATATTTGGATCTATCATACCAAAGTGCAAACTGACGTGATATCACGTCACAAAAGTTAGCTGCTATTTATTTATTTATTTCTTACTAGTGACCTGCCTCGGCTTCGCATGGGTACAATGCTGATATTAAATATACTACAAAATATAATTTCGAATATATATTATTTTAAATTTATCGTAATGTATTTAAAGTACGGATTACGTTGTCCCGCTGAAAAGTACGTTTTTATTAAGTTATAATTGTTATTATCCTCGTTAGAGAGCTCCGACAAACGCGTGCGATCGCTGCTAATAAAAGTGCTATAGGCACACATAAATAGCGAAGCGCGGCCTTCGACGCGCTATTTATAGGCAAGCGCCGTCGGATCCTCGGCCGATACCGCCGCAATCGCTATGTCCCTGCATTTTTAATCTGTAATACCTTCAAAAATATTAATTTAAATTATACACTGTAAAGGGCCATATTGATCTATATTAAATGCATAATGTATTTAAGGTACTTAATTGGATAAAGATTAATGCTGTATTGCTTAAAATTGCTTCGTAAATAAGCCTTTATTTGTCCTAAAAAGTAAGGGATAAAAAATTGTTATTGTTTATGAATTAACATGAAATGAAAAAGGAAGTAAAAATGTGTAATTATTTAAAAATAATATATTTATTATTATTTACATAATCAAAATCGGAATCAAGAAATTAAATGCCTAAATCATTATAATCACTATCTTAGCTTTCTATCTAAAGTTACTCTATCCTAAGCTTTACCTTATTACTTCATAGCTGCATTAGAAGATATTTTCAAACTCTTGGACTGGAAAGGATATGGTATAAAAATCAATGGCGAATACATCACTCACCTTCGATTTGCCGATGACATAGTAATTATGGCGAAATCCCTGGAGGATATTTAGGTAGGAGGTATTTCGCAACAGGTAGGGCTTAAGATGAACATGGACAAGACTAAGATCATGTCTAACGTCAATGTCACACCTATACTGGTTACGATTGAGAACACTACGCTCAAAGTTGTCAATGAGTATGTATGCCTAGGACAAATTGTCCGATTGGGTAAGTCCAACTTCGACCGAGAGATCAACCGACAAATCAAACTCGGCTGGGTTCGGGAAATTACGCCACATCTTTTCGTCCAAAATACCTCAGAATTTGAAGACGAAGGTCTTTAACCAGTGCGTGTTGCCATGCAGTGCAGTGCGTGTGATGACTTATGGAACCGAAACGTGATCCTACACGATTGCCCGTATGCAAAAGCTACAAGTTACTCATCGGGCTATGGAGAGAGCTATGCTCAGAGTCTCTTTGCGTGATAGAATCCAAAACGAGAATATCCGCAAAAGAACCAAAATTTCCGACATAGTCCGAAGGATAAGCAAGCTGAAGTGGCAATGGTCTGGTCACATATCATGAATAATTATAAACTATGCCAGCATAGCTGTACTTTTTCTCGAAGTGACTCGCGGCACTTTTGACTCCCTTGTAACTTTATTATGGATAAAGCGAGAAGGTTTAATTTTTACTAATTAAGAAGACATACTGTAACTAGCTATAATATCAATACACTTAATAATTACACGGATCCGTATTTAAAAATAATAATCAAATACAAAATGTATTATTTCGATTACTTATTACTTATGAATAAAATATTCTATTACTAGAATTTGTTGCCATGCAATTTCTAAGTTATTATAATTATTATAGAAATAAAGATGTGTACGATTACCGTAAATGTTAATAGGCAACAATTGGTAACAAAATTGTTTAATATGTGCTTTCATAGACAGACACTAACTAAAATAACTGCCGTGGTGTTACATGAGATTTCACAATTATTTGTAGTGAAAGAACTATGTTGCAAATTTTGCATTTTTTTTTTCATTTTATGCATTTGATGAGATATACACACATCAAAAAACTCTAAGCAACACATACTATATCAAATTATTAATCAATTATTATATAATTTCTTACCAAGTAGGTAATACCTATGTAAACTTTTTTGATCTAAAGGACACACTGGCTGGTTATAATAAAAACGAGTATCATTTTTTGTTATTCACAAATTCAAAAGCGAATGCATTTGTTTGAATTTTATATCGTTTTCTTTGCTTATTAAAATTTAGTATTTTGTATCAATTTTATGATTGAAACAATAATTAGAAAAGAGCTTTGAACAATTTTGGATTTTGAGACATTTTTTACGTCATGGAGCGACGTCATTTAAACGCAGATGAAATGAAAGAGCTGTAGGGATGTTGCAAGCGGGAAGAAGTCAAACTCAGGTATCTCGGTATTTTGGTGTCAACAGAAGCGTTATTTGCCGTCTTCATCAGCGTTACACTAATACGGGAGATCCTGCTGAGCAGCACCCAGGTCGAAGAAGGTGTACAACCTCACGGTAAGATCGATACATACAACTGACTGCAAGACGCCAGCTGATGTTAACCGCTCGAGAGATAGGTTTAAGGCTACAAAATTCAAGTGGCGTTGTTATTAGCTGCCAAACTGTGCGAAATCAACTGAATGAGTATGGCCTACGAGCACGACGGCCAATTAGGTGCCCACTGATATGTCACGGGAATCGCGCTCGTCAAAATGAATGGTGTTGGAAACACATTACATGGACCCGGGAACAATGGGATAAAATTTTATTTTGCGATGAGTCTCGATTTGGTTTCAAGTCACTTACCAAATCGAGACTCATCGCATGCTCGTTTGCCCTCTGCGTTGTAAAAAAAAAAGCCTGATACTAGAAGGGTAAGAGTATACCGTCACCCTGGAAATACTGAAAGACTGAGGTGCGTTCAGGAAGTACATCCATACAACGACTCAACAGTTATGGTATGGGCGGGTATTATGAAGAACAGACGAACTGAGTTCGTTTTTGTAAATGGTAACATGAACGTTGTAAATTACGTTGAGGATATTCTAAGGCCTTATGTCCGTCCATTCGCACAAACGCTTGGCTCCGATTTCACGTTGATGCATGACAATGCGCGTTCATATACAGCTTTGCACACACGGGAGTAGTTGGCAAGGGAAAACATCCTGGTATTGCCTTGGCCTGCACAATCGCCAGACCTCAACCCCATCGAGCATGCATGGGACATGCTCCAGAGACGTGTTTTAAAGGACTTGGATGGAGTGACAACAACCCAACAACTGATGGACTTACTAAAATTTCATTGGGAGCAATTGCCGTAGGATAACATTAACAGTCTCATCGATTCTATGAATAATCGGTGCCACCAAGTTCTCCATAACAGCGGAGGCCACACTATGTATTAATTTATGCAATTTTTGTACAACCATTTAATTTTAGTTTAAATTTAGTTGATTAGACATCTTACTTTGTACTACGTACATATAGTACTTACTCGTAATTATTGTTCATTAAGATTATTTAAAAATAATAAAAAAAAAAACAATTGTTGTTTAATATCAAAAAAGCATTAAAAAATAATATAAATAAAAAAATATTATGAATTTAAGCTTAGACTTTTTAATTTGTATATGTTTACAAATAATTCACAAATATAACGCAAATACATGTAAAAACAAACAACGTAATGAGTTAAATATATCAATAGGTATCAAAATGATAAACTTATTTCTTAAAAGGCTTTCTTGTCTGGTGCGATAATCTATATCCACCCAAAAAAAATATAATAGAATTTTTAACGTTTTCTAGCACTTCAGTTTATATTCTCAGATATTTAGTGGAATTCTATATACATTTAGCAGACTTAATACCATGCAAATACATTACTTAATAACATGGTTGTGGTGGAATAATAAAAATTATTATTATGATTAATACCAGACGGTGTTCTCTATAAATCAATTATTGACGAATAAAGAAATAAGTAGGCAGTGCATTATTGAATTAAGCAAATATAAAGTGATACTTAATATATTCACATATAATAAATATATAATTAGACTATAATAGACATACATTAAATATGTTTAATAAATAAAATATTACTAAAATAACTGTATTAGAAGAGCAAATAAAACAATCTATGACTCAAACAGAGTAACCAGCAAGGTTATCTGGATTAAGATGATCTTGATATTTAATATCAAGATAATTACCTTTTCGTTTCTATAATTAATATTTTTAATTAATTCTATATTTTCTTGCTTTTCAGTGTTTTACGTCAGGATGCTGGTAATAATTTATGACGTCTATGATTTAATGCAGCGGGGTAAAGTCATCAATACTAACGAACAAAGTTTGCTGGACGAAGAGCCGATATAGAGGACTGCTACCAAAAACTTACAATCTTTATCAAAAGATTTAATGAACACGTAACGAAATTTTGTTAAAATTATGACAATAATATCTTTAAATTAAATTCGTGACTATATATGTACTATAGATCATAAGACAGATGTAATGCATTTTCCTCTCATTTGGGCCGTTGTGTGTATGAGTAGTGGCTAGTACAGCCAGCCCAGCTCCGCCCAGAAACACAGAAGCTTTCTGAGATCTAGATAGGCCTCACGAAGCGATCACACCGTTCCGAGGATTTCTAAATATTGAGGGGCCACAGCAGGTCATAAGACAGTCTTATAGTCGAGTCAAAAATTTTATATCATTATCAGTCGTCAACCGTTCATTGTTGAACATAAGCTTTCCCCATAAGGGGAGTTTTGCCTGTAGTTGCCACGCTTGGCAGGCGGATAGGCAACCGCAGTTAGGCTTTGGAGATGTTTTAAGAGGGATGTTGCTACCCATCCTTCGCCCTTCCTTAGTCGGCTCTTACGATATCCACGGGAAAGAGGGGGGGGGGGTCCTCCCGCCTTCGATAAAATTCTTCCAGGTTGGTCCTTTCGAGAGTTGGCAACCCTATATGTAAACTACGCATTTTCAATTGAAGCATTTTAAAAATCCAAAGATTTTATTTTAAGCTAATGAAATCCTCTTTTCTTTTCGAAACTTTTTCGAAAACTTCGTAGGTTATGATAAATATAAATACTAATAATAATAATATCAGAGGGAGACTTTGTATAAAAGTCGTTTGGGCACCTCTGTCCCATTCGTGTTTCTATCGTGAAACAGTTGTGTTTGTATGGCTATGTTTCGGTTTGAAGAATGGGATATGGCAATCAATTTACAATGTACAGTTACCTAACACCTGAGTCTTCAGGAATAGCAACGCATGCAGGGTATCATGGGCGAAACAGTATACTCTGTTATGTCCATAGTACTGCTCATGTTTATAGGTGATAGTTACCACTATCCGTCAGGCGGGCCGTTAGCTTGTTTACCATTCTAAGTTGCATAAAAAAAGTATCTATATACTAAGTTAATCTGAAAGGTTAATGCGAAATCACGAAAACTATTTACTTGAATTACTCCTAATGATAATGAACAGGATAAATCATTTTATTGTAAGTATAGATTAGTTATTAAATGTAAACATTAAATAATGCATAATTGAAAAGAAAAATTCTACATTGCAAGAAGTATTTCGAATTAAAACTCTGTCATCTGTATTTCTTATAAATTATTTTAAACCTTTTTTACATATCTGGTTAATCAATACTGTTGTAAGAAATAAATTACAATAAAAGTAGATATACCATAATCTACAATTCCTGTTGCATTTCAATGAGAATAAACAATATTCAATATAAAACACACTATTGCCACCTAAAATGTAAAGTTGTTGTAGACTTTTTAACGATTTTTTATAATCATATCAGCTTTTAACGGTCCATTGCTGTCTTGCCACGGTCTTCCCACGCTTGGCAGGCGGATCGGCAATCGCAGTTAAACTTTAGAGATGTTTTAAGAGGGACGCTGCTGCCCATCCTTCACCCTCCCTTAGTCGGCTCTTACGACACCTTCGGGAAAAGAAGGAGTGGTCTACTCTATGCCGGGACCACACGGCATTTTATTATCTAATAATTATAGCGTACTTAAGTATTATTAATTTTTATTTCTATTGAGGCCATAAATAATGTAATAAATCTATTTTGTAATCAATACTCCGATATAGTCGATAATCAGAAATTAAATGTTAATTGTACTGTTGATTTTATAACAATTACGTTAATCAGTTTTGTTGTTTCATTACTTATAGTTATAATCGATACTCTTAATAACATTGCATTGATTATTTATCGATAATTGTAATTGATTTAACTAGGTAAAACTTTATTTTTTATTTAATATATTCGCGCGTTAACTGTCCACTGCTGAACATTATTTTGCCGTAGTAATTTAACAGATAAACACGTTACATTATTAACATTGTCTATAAATATAAGTGAGTGCATACTGGATGAAAAAATTAACTTTCCTACAACTCGATCTAACGGGATTGTAACTCACATATCTCTACCCGGCCCGACTCGATAATTTATATTTCCAGTTTGTTACACCTGATTGGATAGATACTATTTACCATATTCAGATAATTTTTTTCCATCTAGTATATTTTAAGACTCCCAAATTCAGAATTAGCGTTTAATAAAATTAATATAGACATATAATAAGTATCATAAGACACCAAAGATATGTTTGTTTAAATTTGACGGTAATTAAGAATCTTTTTGTAATAATAAAAACTGCTTCAATTATATAAATACATTTTTATTTATGGAGATAACGGTAGAGACCGCCCTAGATGGGCGTCTGCATTATACCCTGTCAGATCGACTTCTACGTAGTCCCCACTGGAAACCATCGTGCTGAATTCCAAGTGTATTTATCACAATGGACTAACTGACTTGCCTTTTCATTCTCACCTGTCATCCCTCGCTGGTGCATCGCCATCGGATACCGTTATCACAAGCGGGGTTACTCATTCTATTATCATCCATTAAATAAAAAAAAAGACGGAAGTAAGTCGACTAAATAGGGCCAAATAGGCCAATTTAAAAGTACCTGTAACTAGCGAGTGTGTATGAATAAATTGATAAATGCGAATAAAGGAAAAGGGATTTGAATTTGATTATTTGAACTTTCATTGTTTCTGTCTATTCCAATGACAGACAAGCATGACGGATAAGTATATATTTTTATGCAATTTGAAATGACATATAAGCTAACCTCCTATAGAATTGATTTGGCGATTAGTTTAGAAAAAGATGGTAACCTATGGTTTTGAACAGCACCGTAAACTTTACAGAAAATACTGTAACGTCCGTATTAAGTATATCTACATTACATGTTACTATTCTTAAACGCTAGGGAACAGTTCTATTATTGGATACAGTGCTGTATCCAATAATTGAACTGTCTTTATATCTTTTGAATGAAATTTGATATACTAGATGGAAAAGGACATAGGTTACTTTTTTTTACAAATAGTGAATAATCCCCGGTTACACGGACAAAGTCACGGAAGTAATGAAAGAAATGTAAAGTGCTCCAAATTATTTCACAATATTATTAGACAAGGAGTTTAGTTACAAGATAAGTTATAATTTACATAATTAAGTATTAATTTTGACGAAAGATTGCAAAAGGAACAGATCGGGGTTTTCAACAAATAAATTTAATATATATGTTTATCTTTACTACTATATTTAATTTCTATGGTAATAATCAACGAAAAATATTAATATATTAAATTAAAGAAATTGAATTATTTAATAAAGGTACAATAGTTCGTTAATCAATTTTATTATATTAATTTGTAACAGTAGGTAAATATTTGATAACACGGCAACATTACATAACATTTCTTTAAATAAAATATATAGTTTTTCTTTGATTATGTCTGCATATTAACACATATGTCTGCTGTAATTATAAAGCACATAAAATAGATATATTATCTTTCAAATAAAAAAAATAAAATATCGTGTTTTGTAATTAACCTCCAAAGGTTTTTTTTTTAAATATTTTTACAGTATAAATGATTAAATAAAAGTTTAATTTTTAACATAGCTAAATTGGAAGTCATAGAATAAATTAAAAGGATTAAATAAACATTTTATTATATTATATTAAGATTATAACGTAACGGATTCATTATGTCTGATAAATACTACCTATAATTATTTGCATGCTATTAATGTTTTAATTAATTATTATTATTATTATCATATTAATAGGTACCGTTTATATACAGTTTGTCTTCTCACTATGATAACTTCTCGTAATTTTATGTATCTATAATAACTTAACTATTGTAATCTTTTGGAGGAAATAATAAATAATATCTATTTATTTATAATGAAATGAAATCTGCTGCATCTTTTTATGAGAGAAATTGAACTGAATGTCATTGGTTGAAAAACAAGAAGTTACTAATTTAACATCTAAGTGCTCTATAGTATGGCAGAGGATCATAGGTATTTTATAATACCTGTTCTCTATAATATCCGTAACAACACAAATATCCCTAAGCTATATTTTTCCTACAAAATCTCAAACAAACGTTTACAATAAAATATTAGGTATACATTCATTATTTCTAACTATCATTCACATAATCATATGATAGTTATATATTATGTATCACAACTACCCTGTAAAATAATTTGACTTTGAAATTAAAAGGCCGGGATGCACACCTGCAATGCCGTAGGTGTATATATATATATATATATATATATATATATATATATATATATATATATATATATATATATATATATATATATATATATAGCGGACATAAACATTGTGTGTGACCATGGGCGGCGGTAGTCACTAGTACCATCAGGTGAGCGGTAGCCATTACTACTGAGATTAAGCGTAAAGAAGTAGAATCTAGATCGGTTCATCATCAGATTATTGCAGTCATTGAGCCTGCAGTACCGCGATGTAGAAAGCAACGGGAAACTACTACAGTACTAATTCCCATGAGAGTTTAAATGATGATGTATAATAGTCAAAGAGTACCTGTGCCTGACAATCCGCGTAGCGACCGGCGCTCTGAGCTTTCCGGGACTCACAGTGTGAAATTAGTTACCGGCCATGGGAATGTAGGTGACCAGGCACCTCATGGAAATCATGCTACTGGAAATAATATCCAACTAAGAAAGAACATCGCATGCTCGTTTGCCCCCTGTGTTGTAAAAAAAAAAAGAAATAGATAAATTGAAAGGCATAGGGATAAATATAAATACCTGTGTATCTAGGTACAACACATATGCTTCTTAAATACAATAAATAAACAATTTCCTCCCTTTCACTCAGGAACGTAAAGTAATCTATGGTTTCAGTATTTCGGATTATGATACAGAGTGTCATTAGCAACTAACGCAATTACATAAATCGTCAAAACCATAAAATTCACTATGATTTTATACAAAATTTGTCCTTTGCTATCAAATTTCAATACAATTTATTAATTATATGTATAAAAAAAACTGAATTTAATGACAGAAATTGATGTTAAATTTATGTAACTTTACCAGCACAATTCGTAGTCACTTGATAATAATTGGATGATAAATAGATTTATCGATTTGTTTAAAAATTTAAATACATAGCGACCATTTCTTATAATTTTATAAAAAGCTATAAACAGGAATAAATTAAACTTCTTCCCGACTATTCAATTGTTTGTAGAAACTGTGACTCAGCAAGATAGTGTACACGTTGAGACCTGAAAAAAATGTAAATATATTTAAATTAAATCATCAATTATAATTCACAGCCATTCTAAATTTATGTTCTGGGAAAAAGTGCTCTCAAGAATGGCAACATATAAGGATCACACATTACTATTTGGATAGTCCAAAAAGAAAATTACTTTTTCTCAAATATGCTTGGAAATGTGAGCATTATTTTGACAATCTTCGAGATAAATCAAAATTGCCGTACTGATCAGATACATGCGGGCAGCGGCCGGCAAAAGTTGTATGAAAATCCATATCTATCATAATCATCATAACTCATATCTGTCCTGTAATTTAAAAATGGAATGACCTTTTACTTCAAAACATGGCTACCAAGAAAGTAACTAATAAAAAGTTTTATTTAAATTTCAAACTGGCTTGCAAATAGAATGCTGTTTATTGAAAAAAAAAAACAAAGGACGAATATGGCGCGTGAAAAATTATTATTGTACGTTATTCGTCATTGAATTTCAAATGTAAAATTGTGTTTTGATTTCCGCGCATTGTTTGAGAAAAGTACTATACAAGCCTTGGCCACAACTAGGCATTAATGGACTCACATATGTGTGCCTCGGCTACGCCTCGGCCCTCATTTGTACGTTCGTCCATCAATGCCTCAGTTGCTGGCCGCTGCAGTAATGTACTATATTTCCGCGGGTATTTGGATAGATAATTTTAACTGCGAAATATAAAAAAATAAAAGCCTCGTATTTTCTGATTATTTCTCCACGGAAGGCTTTTTATTTATTTTAATTTATAATGTTTTTTAATATTATTCTTTTTTATAATATTGATGTAGGCAAAAAAATTACATTTATGTTCGAATCGAATACAATTTTTTATATATTTACACGAAAGCCAGAATAATATACGTTGCTTAAACACTAATTCCCGAGAGTGAGATAGAAGAAAATATAATTGCATGTATCGCTTTATGTGTCTTTATTTAAATATATTTATAAAGCGTATTAAATAGAAAATAAAGAAATGAACATGTCGATCTAAATGATTTCCAACAAAGTGATAATTTTTGTTTTATAAAATTATTAGGACACTTACCAATATAAAATAATTGTGTGCAAATAGTACCGGCATTGAAATGAGTGACGTTCAAAAAAAATACGAACATTGAAAGGAGAAAGAATACAATCCACACTATGAAGTAAGTCTTAATTATTGGTGCTCGTTCCTGGAAGCAAAGAGATAAGTAATTAGATATATTAAATTAAAAGAGAAGTCTATCACTCACCGAGACAATGGGCTCGATATTGAAACGCTGTTTTCCCAAACCTATCTCTAATATTAAAATTTTAATTTGATATCACAGTTAAATCTTTATTGTAAGAATCAATATGAATTAATTTTTTAATAGATTTATATTAAAATTATAGTGACTATTTTTTTTTTTAAATAGATGAAAATAAAATACCGATAGTGTGGGTGGGATTAGCCTATCGTAACGAATTCAACAATAATGCGATGGTTTCCATGGTAACCGCGTGGAGGTTAACCTGAAGCTGCTAGATCCCCATTACTAACAACCCTTTCTCGGGGGGAAAGGGATTGTTAGTAATGGAGACTGAGAATTCTATTGTTAGCAATATACCCAACCAGTTCGACCTCCACGCGGTTCTCCCTGGAAACTATCATGGTTAATTCCTGATGAATTCATCATGATGGGCTAACTGGCCTGTTTTCATTCTCATCTATCACCCTTCACTGGTGCTCCGCTAGCGTATCCCATTAGCGCAGGCGGGGTTACCACATCATTTTCACTCATCAAAAAAAAAAACAACCCATTCTCCCCGAAGTAATTTTAATTTATGACGGCCCAAAAAACAATAATTTTACGAAATTATCATTTTAAGTTTAGAGAATCGGCCCCATTGTTGGCTGTCGTTGTAGCGTAATTAGCACTCAACTTGCCCACATTTGGTCATTGTCATGAAGTTCTTCATTGCTTCATGACATTGACTAAATGTGGGCAAGTTAAGTTAAAACACTTTTTAATATGGCACGAGATGTAACCACACCACTATGAGCGAACACAAAGAATATATATGGACGATCAACCGAAAAGTGAATGATTTACATATTATAAAAATCGGTTCAGTAGCTTTGGTTTAAAATCAATATAACTGATTTTGTCATGATTGCAGTCGATATTTTTTTGGAACAATTATTTGAGATATTTTTTAAACATGAAAGCTAAAAATGAGTAAAACGTTACAGATAATGAAATTGATAATTTATTGTAATTTTAAATTATTTACTATATTTATACGAATACCCACTTGACTATAATTCACTTGTTTTCATCGCTTATTGTGACCACTTAGTACAGGTACACTATCTATAAAATTCATACTCGAAACTTCTACATCAATATATCTAATAGTAGTAATAATAATATTTCGTATTAAAAAAAAGTCACTTCTCACCACTATGACACCATATATGAAAAACAGATCCAACAAAAATTTGGCTAGGTACATAAAAGCAAGTATGATGCACATCACATAAAGGCCGGTTATGGCAGCGTCTATTTCTGGGTCCCCCGTCTCTTCGGCTGAACCCACTGTGATTGCTATTACTATCATTACTATTAGCATCACAAACGAAAGGAACTGGAAAATACAAACACACACAATTACAGTACATATAGAGTACAGAGCTATATATATATATATATATATATATGCTTGGCTCCCCACTCCTTGTTTGTACTAATCTTAATATTTAACATTATATATATATATATATATAGTCGTTAACTTTTCACTGCTAAACATAGGCCTCCCTGTTTGGGGGTTTTGCTAGTAGTTGCCACGCTTAGCCGGCGGGTTGCCAACAGTTAGGCATTGTTGATGTTATTAAGGGACGTTGCTGATAATTTTTAAACCAGTAAGTCCCCTTAGACACCTCTTACGACACCCATGGGTAAGGAAGCGGTGACCTATTCTGTGCCGAGACCACATAACCAACAGAGTTATACAAAGTTATACAGAGATTTCTTTTCAGATTCAGCTTAAAAATAGATAATCAACAATAAATCACTATAAAACATATAAATTCTTCAGTCATTGAAATTTCAAAAATCATTCATCGATTCGAGTAAGAACAACTCCTTCTTCCTTCCTTTGTCAGCTCGCTTTCCTTCCTTGTAGAACAAGGGAGTTGACTGCACACCTGATGAAAAGTGGCGTCGTTCATGAACACGTGAACATAAGGAAAGTTGTTTGTGTGTTGCAGGCCATTAACATTGTTTGAGGCCCTATACATAATTATATTAATTATAAATAAATAGACATACCGCATTGAGGCCTCCCATAACTAAGTTTCCCGTTTTCAAATCTAGAACGAAACAGCATGTTTCTAATTGGGGCAGACCCATCTTTTAATATTTCCTGTAAAACAATAATATATTGATTATAATTAACATAAATTATGTAATTATATAAAGAATTCAATGTTTTTTTATGCGACTTAGAATGTCAAACAAGCTGTCGGCCCACCTGATGGAAAGTGGTAACCGTCGCCTATAGACGTGAGCAGTACCATGGACATAACATACTGTTTCGCCCATGATACCCCCCACGCGTTACCATTCTTGAGGACTTAGGTGTTATTCGTCTGTACCCTGTAAATTCACGCCATATCCCACCCTTCAGACCGAAACACAGCTATGCAAACACAATTGCTTCATGGTTAAAATACGAATGGGACAAAAGTACCCAAGCAAACGACTTTTGTACAAAGTCTCCCTCTAAAATATCATCTTAGTATTATTAGTGGAAACTTTATTGGTTACTAAATATTTATGATGTAATATTTTTTCTGTTAATTGTACCGTTTGTTTCCCAAATAAATTAAAAATAAATAACGATCTAGTAAGGAATTCAATGATGAAAGTTAGCAAATAGAGAAATATTCGTAAACAGAAGAACAGAATAGGATAGTAATTAATTTATACTACACATACATTTTTCATTGTTACATAAACTCTACAAAACTGGTAAAAGCACAGTATATACTCCAGGTTTAGGGTAACATTGAACAACCCGTAGATATCATAGTATATGACGAGGTTTTTATTTAATGGTTGATACTAGAATGGTAACGCCGCCTACGCTAACGGTATACGCTGACGGGGTACCAATGTGAGATGATAGGTGAGGAAGAAAAGGTAGGTAATTAATACGCCTCGAATTCATCACAGTCGTTTCCAGGACGACCACGTGCAGCTACTGACAAGGTATATTGCTAGCAATGGAATTGGTTGAATGTGGACTCATTACTAATAAACCCATCCCCCCAGTATATTACGGGGCATCCACGTCATTTTTCACATATACCTGTGAATATGCCTGAGAACCTAGGTGTAAAGTTTTTTGTATTACAAATTTTATTATTGACTCTTTAGCATATAAAGTTATAATCTGTAAACAGCCTTACTCAGCAGAAATATATTATTAATACTGATAATTCAGATTTTACAAATATTTTTGTGTTTTACAAAGAGTACATAATTATTAATGAAGTATCGAAAATAAAGAGATATAATAAAATATAATAACAATCACTGCACTATCTATTGTATTTTTTTACACTTTTTATATCAATTTACTCACCAAATATTTCTTATTATAAACACAAAAAATATTACAATAAAAAACAAGTACAATCAAGTATTTCTGATCCAAAGTATACAACTGTTCGGATGAATCTAACAAGAGATGGGGACAGTGTGACAGCGCGCGCGTCAAGGACTGTGACTCTCAAAATATTGCAGATATGACATTTACAAAATGGTATAAAAATATTAAAGCACAATAAAACTTACTTTTTCAACTTTTCTGGCAATTCCTAAAAGATTTTCGATTCTGGTTGCATTTTAAAAATTTTCGTATATCAGTGATATCTCTGATTCTATACATATTTTGATGATTCTTTTTATTGAAAGAATTTAATTTCATCATACCAATTTTATCAAAATATAAGTAGGATGTTTAATGCGCTATAAAAATATTTAATTTAATTAATTTTAATTAGTAAGAAATCTGTCTGAGGGTATACTATTTAGAACACTAGAACTGGTATAAATAGATGGAACTGAAATCTATGAAAGCGAATAAAGCAAAAGATAATGTAAGGATCTTCTTTAACGGTCTTCCACTCTCTCTTTCTCTCTACTTATTCCGTTGGGGACTTATAATTACTACATCTTTTACTTTGTTGATAGCTTATTGTATAAATAGGTAGATATTATAGTAGGCACTCATATTGTTCATTGGTTCTCACCCCTCTGTACCTATTTTATCTTTGTGATTTTCGGCGCCTGAAAGTCTGTGAATATAATCAATACCCTACGGATACGTATAGGATGATTTCAAAATATGCTTTTTTTTATCTTTATTCACTTCCTCTTCACTATACTTTGATAAGCTGTATGAACCTATCTTTTTAATATTTTTAATCTTATTTTTTTTAAGTATGTTAAAATTATAATACTAAATAAGACTTAATAATTCTACCTAACAGAGTAGTGGTTTACTACATTTTGAACAAATTATTTACGCTCAATTATACAGTTTAATGCAATTATAATTGAAATCATACATACGAATTGCCGGATGCTAAACAGCTAAGCAATTAACATTTCTAGCATTAGCGGGTTACCGACTTTTGTGCCATATAAATCTAGAATCAAATTACTAAATAATTTCAATACCATATTTCAGTATTTAAAGCGGAACCGTAAAAAAAAACAACAGACAAAAAAGTAACGTGAATTGTGTACGTACGCCTGAATACAACATGCTAGAAAATTGCTGGATGATAGAAATAATAATATGTATGTCGTATACAAAATTCCTTGCAGTTCGATCGAATCCACTTTCGTAAATCACTTCAATAAATTTCTAAGCCTGTTACTAAGTAAAAATATTATTATTTTTACAGTTTTTAATCAATAATTTCTGAGTAATACCTACGACATTTTAAAAAATAAACATTATGTAATAAGCGAAATAATTGCGAATTACTTACAACCGAGATGGCCAATATTCAATGAACAGATACATACATACAGAATGTCCAACACACTCATTACTTACAATCAGGGGGTCAAGCCAAGCATGTCATGGGTCAGCTAATTTGATAATTAGCTGACCCATTTTTGAGGCTCGATGCTCTGTCTATATAATCGAAGGTGCTTCCATAGACATTATAACCGAATTAGTTTTCATGAGATCTCACAAGTTTTTGTAATAGATATATAGCATACTGCGTTATGACACATTTTTTACATTTTATATTTGATAAAAATACATTAATACATTTGTAGTGTTGAACTAGAATTGACATGTACATCAGGCTTTATGTTAAGTAAAAATTAATAAATAACACTTTATATTCTTGAAATACGGTAAATTATCATAATTGAGGTTAATAGAAGTAGCACATTATCAAGAAAAAATTTAACGTTTTTATTTGATCACTGTATGCAATTAACTGTTACAATAAACGTAGACTTATAAAGTTTACGAGGTTACTTACAATTCTACAATTCAATATAAAAAATATGAGTAATAAAAAAAATTAAAAATACCCTACTAAAATAGGTGTTACCTTGCGGAAGAATATTATTTGATTAGAATTATTTTATTTAGTTCCATTAATATTTGTGTGACTGCTAACATTCGAAGATTGACTTTTATCATTATTACTAGAAGTTCTTCAACCTTCTATATTTGCCCTCAATCTCCGACTGTCGATTCGTCCATGAACCTTTTGCGACGCATGTTTTACCTCTACACAAGGCATCTTTAGGCAAATTATTAAATCGCTGCTCGAAGCCTAGTGTTAACAGTTCGGTATCCAAACGAATGACAGTTAACGGATGCATCATCATATATGATGATGAAGATGCTAGTCGAAATGTGGAGACGGCGCAAGCTACCAAATTAGTGTGGTAGAATCACATGTTTTAGGTGATTTTAATCCATATTCAGAAAATGTTCATCCCTTATTTGCTCTTTAAAATTAAACAAATGATTTAATTATACCCTGTATAAATAAAGTTTCAATTTCCAAAAGATGTCATTAAATTTAAAAAAATATATATATACATACATAATTATAAAAAAAAAAATTAAAACTATAATGTCGATTACTAATCTGTATTTGTAAGTTCATTGCTCTATTGCTTTGTACATTAATATACATGCAACATTGTGTACTAACTTCCGGTTTGAAAGTTATTAAATAGGCGATATGTAGGCGGTAGACTTGTAGAAATCTTTAACATGTCGGATAAAATAACATTCAGTGTTAATGGGCATAAATACTCAGGTAAATATAATCCTACAGCACTTACATTTTGCTCCACAAAAAAAACAAATTTAATTACGCACAATGAAGAACGATTTAAATATTGAATTTAGAACGCCGGATTTGCGTGTTTATTAGCAGATTTATCTTCCCAATAAAATGGCAAATAATAAAAAAACCGGTCAAGTGAGAGCTGTACTCACTCGCTGTTCCATACATGAAATGTCTATAAAAAGGTTATTGTTTTCTTTAAATAAAAAAATATTTGTAAATGTTGTATACTCGCCGTTACTTCAAAAATACACCGAAACATCAAGAATAAATATAACCACTACAAAAGTAACATGTTAAAAAGTGGAAATTACCATTACATATAGCCAAATCAATGGGGTACTGTACCCGAAAAGAATTTTTTTAAAGGAAACTAAGATGTTTACATTTCCCAAAAAGGGTCGACGTCAGGCAGGCGGCCAGTCGTAAAACTAAAAGCCAAATATTTTGTTGCCGGCCCCAAATAATAACTGGGATAAGAGTAAGAAGATGATGATGATGATGTTCATATTTCCCTATAAGAACATCATATCGGAATCCATTTTTAACAATTTATATTTATTATATATTTATTTATATTTTTTATAACCACATAAAAAATAACAATTTTTAATATAGTTATAAAATGAAAAAATTTAATAATTTTTCAGTATTTAATTATTAATTGTGCATAAAATAAAGTTTATGTTTGAAAAATTTTATTTTTTATTTTTATCAATTGTGCTAGATAGACTTCATTTTATTCTCCTGTAATATTTATATGTAGTACGAGTATACATATACATATACATATGATACAGTAAGTAATTATTTCTGATTTTTCACTTCACAAATTTCAGAGATATGGGGAATGACTTTTTTTGAACCTGTTGCACTAATGGATCAATTTTGAAATTTTAAGTATGTATAGAAATTAAAAAATATATTTTCAAAAATTTCTATTGAAATATGTGTGGACTAATGATATGTAAAACTATTCAAAATTTAAAGTCCGAACGGACGGATGGACAATGTTGCAGTTAAAGGGTTCCTTTGTACATTTTTGGCACGGAGTCCTAAAAACCTCAACTTCAATGGTCATATAAACATGAGATAAACCTTATTGATGTCAATAATTGTCAAAATCGGTTCATATCATATACAACCTAATAATGTTATGTAGCTTCTAAAACACACAAATTGGGGACTTAAATTGTTGAGAGAGAGAGAGACGAGATTGAAGAAATCAACTGCTTTCACCTGGAAACAGACACCTTGGCCGGTGATAATAGTATCTACCATTATCACCAGAGGAAGTATGGTATCTACCATTATTGAGGGAAGTTAACTGATTCCACCTAGAAGCAGTTGACTTCCCTCAATACCTCCCATCTTTGCTCAACAGTGTGATATCACAAGCTATGTAAGATGATATTTTTAATGCAAATATTAAAATATTGATATTGATAATTAAAATATTGATGTTGATAATTTATAATCTACTGATATGATATACTAGTGAGTTCGGAGGTGGACTCGGATGTGTCGCTGAACGACTACGTGCGCGAGAGACTGAACCTGCGCGGCACCAAGTACATGTGCAAGGAGGGCGGCTGCGGTTGCTGTATCGTTGCCGTGCGCGCGCCCACCGACAACGGCGTTTCACGCATCTTCTCGGTTAATTCTGTAAGTACGGAAACGGATCTTTGACGCATGTTCTATTACAATTTTTATAACAATACTATTTTTACATTGAACTTAAATGTAAAATATACATTATCCATGTGGTCTCGGCATTGAATATGACGTCCCTTCCTTTTCCGTGGTTGTCGTAAGGAGCACATAAGGAAACTTAATGGTCGAAGGATTGGCAGCAGCTCTTAAAACATCACTGAAAGCCCAACTGCGGTTGCCAACCCGCTTGACCAAGTCCGGCAAATACTGGCAAAACCTGCCAATATGAGAAGGTCTATGTTTAACAGTGGACAATAAACAGCTTATATGAAAAACAAAATTTAATAAAAGAGTATAATGTGCCACTATGTCTTTTTAGGTGTTTGTAGATTACGGGAAGCCTTTGATTCGGTCAAGACATGGGCGGTACTACAGTCCCTCCAGCAGTGCCAGATTGGCTATAAGTTTATCGCATTGACAGGTATATCGATCGATATACTTCAAGTGTAAGGCAGTAAGGCTACGATTTCTATTCAAGTACAAAACCAGAGTACAAAACCTATCCCAGTGCAGAAAGGTGTAGGACATAGTGACGTCACATGCCTGAAATTCTTCACAGTTGCATTGGAAGGTGTTCCCAAACTCGTGAACTGGAAAAGATATGGTATAAAACATCAATGGTGACATAGTAATCATGGCGAAATCCCTAAAGGATTTGAATATACTCAATAACCCTAAATGGTGCTTCTCAACAAGTAAATCTTAAGATGAACAAGGACAAGACTAAAACCATATCTGACATCCATGCCAAATGCATACTGATGCATTACGATTGAGAATTCTACGCTTGAAGTTGTCGACGAGTATGTAAACTTGGGACGAGTTGTCCGAATAGAAAAGTCCAACTTCAACCGAGAGGTCAACCGACGAACCCAATTCGGCTGGGCAGCGTTCGTAAAATTACGCTACATCTTTTCCTCCAAAATACCTCAAAGTTTGAAGACCAAGGTCTTTAACTAGTGCGTGTTTCCAGAAATAACATTTGGAACCCAAACATGGTCTTACGATTACCTGCATGTGAAACTTCAAATTACTCAGCGGGTCATGTAGAGGACTATGCTTTTTTTGTGTGATAGAATCCGAAACGAGGATATCCGCAAAAGAACCAAAGTAACTAACATAGCTCGAAGGATAAGCAAGCTGAAGTGGCAATGGGCTATTCACATAGCTCGAATAACAACAACCAATGAGGAAGGAAGGTTCTTAAGTGATGACGTTACACAGAGTACCGATCTCAAATGCTTAGCAGGGAGTCAATAAATGCAGGTGACTGTTCCTTATGGCAGTCTATGGGGTGGACACATATGTCCAGTAGTGGACGGATAACGACTGAAATGATGATTAAAATTATAATAATTTACTGTTTCATATAATAGTCAATTTAGAGTTCTGTATCAAAAAGGTACAAAAGTACTTATGGTGCGATTTTATCCGTCCGTCTGTCACAACGTTATATGTCAGCAACTACTAATGCTATGAATTCGAAATTTGGAATAGTTTTACATATCATTGACCTGTTTTTATTTTTTTTAATTTACCTACTAGTCTATATTGACATTTTATAAATTATATATGAAAGGTTACTTCATTTGTACATTTTAAACTGATTTTTATTTTTTTTTTAGTTATGATCCAAAATACAAACTGTAAAATAAAATATTCCCTCCCTCATATCCCCAGAGTTTGTGAAGCGAAACTGAACTGAACATAGGCTCTCCCCAAGGGAAGTTTGCCATTACCATGCTTGTTACGCGGATTGACAACCGCAGTAAGACTTGCTAATGTTTTAAGAGGAACGCTGCTGCCCATCTCTCGACCATTAAGTTCCCTTATTCGAGTTTCTAGCCACAATTACGGTTTAAACAAAGCCTAAATTCCTAATTAAGAGAACAATAATATTTATTATTCTTATTAGGTATATATTCCTTATAAAAGTACCATTACATTTTAAGAGTATATTATATTGTTATTATTATTTATATATTTAATTATTCAGTAAATTTTCAATGCTATATTTAGGCAATAGATGGCCAATTAAATTCCCATAGTCTCTTCTTACGACGCCCACCGGAAAGGAAGGATAGTTCATTCTATGACGGGACCACGTGGTCAAGGATGTTTGTACACAGAACTGTAAATATCCTAGGTATTATATTTAATTATTTTTTCTCATGTACGGTACCGATTGATTTGTGTATATATGATAATTGCACCTTTTTTACACGTTCATCTTGTAGTTGTTTTATTTCTTTTAATCTTGCGGTGTATTTTTGAAGCAACGGAGATATACAACATATTACCTTTTTTATCTAAAAAAAAGCCTTTTCAGAGAAATGAGAAGTAGATTACGTTTTACATAAACGAATAACATTTTAATCCGTAGTGCCTCGTATCGATCACATCATGTCAGGATTGGGAAGTGACAACTATAGAGGGTATAGGAGACAGAGGGCGCGGTTATCATCCAATACAGAGAACTTTAGCTGAATACGATGGGACCCAGTGCGGGTATTGCTCTCCTGGGTGGGTTATGAGTATGTACAGGTAAGCATATTATAATTACGAGTATCAATTATCCGAGATTATAGTAATAATCGTTTATACGAGTATATCGCTCGAATTAATAATTGTGAATTAACAATAAAATTTATATTTATATATATGTTGTATAGATTCATTATATATAGATTTCTTTATGCTATTTTGGTATATTATACAATGATATTATAAAATTACATACTTTTATGCATGATATGAGGCAATAATAATTTACAAAATAATTAAAAAATTCAATATTACAGAGACGCATCAAACGAGATACATTTAATTTTTAATAAAATATAACTAGTTAATAGCGAATCTATATAGAAGCGTATTTTGAAGCGATTTCCCCATTGGTATAAATTTTAATGATTTACAGCTTATTAGAATCGAGTCACCATGATTTAACACAATATGAAATAGAGAATTCACTCGGAAGTAATACATGCAGATGTACCGGTTACAGACCTATATTGGATGCATTTAAGAGTTTTGCTAAAGATGCGCCAAAGCCTAAATTAAAAGATATCGAAGATTTGAAACTTTGTAAAAATAAAGAAGAATGTGAACATGCGTGTGATAAAAGTTGGTGTTTTGTAAAGGCTAATGATAAAGATAACGTAATTAAAAAAATCCATTTAAAAGATGATCGAATTTGGTATAGAATCGCACAAGTACAAGATATATTTAATATCTTGGATAGTGAAGGATATGATTCTTATATGTTGGTAAATGGGAACACAGGCAGAGGTAAATTTATTAAGCTGGAGTATTTACTTACTCCCATTTCAATAACTTATCAATTACACACATTTACTAATTATTTTGATAACAACAAAATAAACGATGAATTAGCCAAAAAGAATTTAAAAAAATTGCTAGCTAACTAAATTAGTAACCATATGTTGTTATGTTTTAGTTATTATATTTAATGATATTACGTTTTATATTCTGAATGTATATTGTTAATGTATTATTATAATAAATAGTGATCATCTTATATCTTGCAATAGGTAGTATATATGTAAATATTGTTGCTATACCACTATTTTGTTTATTCGTATCTCTTCTTAGTTTAGTTTATTACTGGTTTTTTTTTTCTTTTCGAAGGAAAAGAGATGTAGTGTATTATGTTCACGTACTGACTATAATATTCTTATTAAGCTGTCAGTAAAAATTTAGATTGTGATAGCAAAAATATATTTATTTGAAAAATATCGAAATAAAATATAAAGTAGATGCAAAGTTTTTAGTGGTAGATTTATATGTTATGTATTTTATTATTAAAATTTAATTCGCTAACAAAGTACTTTAGAAATAATCATTCAGAAATATTGAAATGGTCAATTATATTCAAAAATTGTAAACTGACAGTTAATGACGGCGTTACTATACTTAAATAATAAAAAAATTTAACACTCTTAATAGAAGCACTAAACTAATTACAAACATGTTTAATCACATTACATATACTTCTATGTAAATTCTTTAAATACATAATAATTTCAGGTGCTGTTCCAATATTTGCATTCCCAAGAGTGCTTATTGATGTAAGTGCTATACAAGAAATAAAAGGTCACTACATTGATCAGAATTTGGTTGTTGGAGCGGGTACAACTCTGACCGATCTGATGGACATTTTCAAAACAGTATCACATGACCAAGAAGAGTTTGCCTACTTGTATAAACTGTACGAACACTTAGACTTAGTGGCTCATATTCCTGTTAGAAACGTAAGTACTAATAATAAATTGGTACCTACTTCTTAATCCTTCTCTGCATGATTTTTTTTATTGGTGAAATAAATCAAGGTGATATAATTCATGATCAAAATTAAAGAAAAAATGGTTAACAAATAAATTTGGCAGCCATGTTTTTTTTCTGCAATTAACATTAAAAAGGTATCCAGACATGATCAACTTAAAGTGAACTTGGTCTTTTATATAATTTTTGGGCATTCAATGGTATGATGGAAATTTCCACCATTATGCAAAGCAGGGTTTAATGTACCTAAAGCATCAATCTCGTTTACATTTCTTTGTTATAGTATTAAAAGAACTAAACTGGGATAAGAAATTCTTGTCGAGTTTCTTATTCCAGTTTAGTTCTTTTATTTAGTATCTAAAATTGTTAACAATTTTATATGTTACCGATGTATTTGCAAAAATGCTTTACATTATTATATTGCAAAAATTACTGTCCAATAGAATTAAAAGCTTCTGACAATTCTGTATTTTTTCTAGATTGGTACAATAGCTGGTAATTTAATGGTCAAGCATAAGAACCTTAACTTTTCTTCAGACATTTTCTTGTTGCTAGAGACAATAGGAGCCACTCTGACCATAGGTAATAATCTATTATAGTTAGTATTAGATGTAAAAGGAAATATAGAAATATAACAAAATTGTAACTAGACAGGGTTTGTACTTACGTAGTAAACGTTTAAGTAAAATTTATATGACAGGAAAAGCAATAGAAGTCAAAACAATAAGTTTTAATTTATTTTACTATATATCTGCACGCTTAATTCGGCAACACGCAAATACTTCTCTACCAAACTGAATATGGTATTCAAAACTGTATTCTAGAAAATTCAATTTAAAAATCCATAGTATAAAATATGTTTTAGGATGTAAGTTGTCTGATTTCTAATAATGAGTTTTTATATTGGGAAAATTGATAAACGATCCTTCTAATGGAAAGTTATAACTGTTGTCTTGACTTCAAAAATATCATGGACATAATGAAGTAACCCCTACGCACGTTGTCATTTCAGAAGATGATGGTGTCATTCCTTTGTACCTTATAATTTAATTGTTAGAAAATTAATGTAACATGAAATGTTACATAGTTATTCTTTTAACATATACAATATAATGTTGAGCAGATTTATAAATTATGAAATTATATATTTTTATACAGATAAATATTATAATAAGATGTACGGTACACATTTAAAATTTATAACACTATTTTTATACGTTTCAGTTGAGAAAACTTCAGTTCATACTGTGACTGTGGAAGATTTTCTATCTGTGGACATGACTGGAAAAGTCATAACATTAGTCAAAATACCACCACTTTCCCCTAACCACCAATTTGTTTCTTTTAAAGTAATTATTTTTTTATAGAATGTGACTTATGTCTACTTATCTTTTACAAATGCCTGTCCATATGACATTGTATTTCTTTATATTTTAGGTTTACGTCATTCTCATGCTTACAATCCTTTAATTTTTAGGACATCAATTTAATATGGTTTAATTTACCATCAAGCTTTTTATTTTCCTTACTCAAAATAAATATCAAGAAAATAAATATATTGATCAATTTAAATTGTTTAATAAGAAAACTGTTGTTCTTATGATCTTGTCATATTTTATGCAGCTAATAAATTATTAAATGAACAAAATTATGTCAGTAGATATAAATATTCCTACTTCTCAACAAACAATTTAAAGTTAGTACTTGAGATAAGACGTTTGAAAGAAGGGAGCATTTCTATTAACACTCGTATATCTTATATGACATTAATCAATTTTGCTACATTATTTCTTATGACTTGAATTGTCTTATGACCAGAATACAGCACTTTTTAATATGATAGTACCTATATATTTTAAATTTCTGATAATAATTTTTGATAACATATATTTTGGTAATTTTGTGCTATAACCTTTAACAGATAATGCCACGAGCACAAAATGCTCACGCTCAAGTTAACGCAGCATTTTTATACAAATTCGATTCCTACGACCAAGAAACGGTTTTGTCTGCCAGGATTGTTATCGGAGGACTCTCTGGACATTTCATTCACGCTCGAGAAACTGAAAAATTCTTAATAAATAAAAAAATATTTAATAATAATGTACTGCAGCAAGCTCTACACATATTAAACGAAGAATTAATAGTTGAAGAGATCGCAGGAGAGCTAAAACCACAATATAGAAAAAAAGCTGCACTTGGCGTCTTTTACAAGGTGAGACACTTCGAAACTATTTTTCTTTAATTAATATATAAAAAAGATACTAACTTAATTTAAATTTTTAAGGGCTTGCTGAACATAATACCTGAAAAACAGTTAAAACCTTGGTATCGTTCAGGGGCTAGAGATTTTAGAAAAACTAGACCTATATCAAAAGCAGCTACAGTATTTGATACTAATCCTATCATATGGCCGATCACTGAACCCATGCCCAAATTGGATGCTTTAATACAAAGTGCTGGTGAAGCAAAATATGTTAATGATATGCCGACTGATCCAAAAGAAGTATTTTGCGCGTTTGTTACGTCTGATATATGTACCGGCGAAATTGAAAGTATTGACCCGACGCCGGCTTTGGTATGATAATTTATTATACTATTTTTATTTGGTCAATTTGAAACTTCTTAATTAAAAAAATTATTGAATCTAAGTCATTAGTCTCTACATTATAGTTTTGATGAAGTTGTTACCTTTTAAAGCTTTTTATAATAATACAGGCGTAAAAGGCGCTTCTTGAAAAAAAATTGTAACGAAAATGGATATTATTCATAATTTATTAAATACTACACATTATACTCGTACTAAACATTATTTCAATAAATATTAGTCTTTTACAAATTTAATTAAATAATTTAGAATTTAAAAGGAAATAAATTCACTTCGTATAAGATGTCCAACGTCATATTGTTATCATTATTATAGCAGCCGTTGATTTTCTACTCCTGAGCATAGGCCTCCGTTTTGAGGGGGTTTGCTAATAGTAGTCACGATTGGCAGGTGGGTTAGCAACCACATTTAGAATTTGGTGACGTTTTAAGAGGAACGCTGCTACCCATCCTTCAACCATTAATATTCCCTTAGTCGCTTCTTACGATTCCCATAGGTAGGGAAGGGATGCGCATAGGAGGTAGGACTACACGGTTGTTTATGCTTAAAATGTATTTAAGTAATAATTTTCAGTTTTCTTACTTACAGAACTTACCTGGAGTTTTAGCATTCTTCTCAGCCAAAGATATTCCAGGGAACAACTCTTTCTTATCTCAAAAAGTACCTGCTCAACCTATGTCAGAAGAGATTTTTGCAGAAAAAGAAGTTAAATATTATGATCAAGCTATAGGTGTTATAGTGGCTGAAACTGAAAAGCTTGCAAACAGAGCAGCATTGTTAGTACGAACTAAATATAAAGTTGATAAAAGAAAGCCAATTTTAACCATAACAGATGCACAAAAACGAGATCCTAATCGCATTACCCTGTACGCAGTGATTCCAGCAAGAGATCGAGGCATTGATATTCAAAAAATTATTAAAGGTTCTCAAAATATATTTTGGCAGTACCATTATCCAATGGAAACTCTATCTTGTGTTTCCATACCCAGTGAAGACGGAATTGATTTATATCCTTGTACTCAATGGACGGATTCCGTTCATATTTCAGTTGCCGAAATGTTGAATATAGAACAAAATAGGTGAGAAATTTTACTAACTACTTGTACTATATATAAATAACATATCCCCATAATAAATAATTTGTAACTTAAGACACGTAATGGCTCTTAGGTAACCAAGGGTACAAACAAATGTGAAGGTTAAGCCTCACTGTCACCATTGTCTCTCTTAGATTTATCGAAAATATTTTTTTGTTTTGCTTATAGAGAGATTTAAGAAAATGGATTGGATCATATTAATTTTGTTTTCCTAACCATCAAATATGGTATCATAAATCCGCACCTGTCTCTGTAATGCTCCTTTAATAAAAAACAACTCTTATGTATTAATTAATGTATATTAAAGAAATTAACTAACTGATTAAACATGGCTTTTTTAATTTTTCATAATACGATCAGTTTTAGTTCTGGATTGAAAAAAAAACTGTATATTTTACTATTACATTCGGTTATTTTCTCCGTTACGTTATACACCTACTCGAATGGACATTAAAATTCAATGTTCCAGAAACTTCGATAATTATTTTCAATGTTCACAGAATAAATTTAACGGTACCACGATGCGGCGGCGCATATGGTTTGAAAATAAGTCGCACCAGTCACGTAGCTTGTGTAAGTGCTCTTGTCACCTACCTCATGAATAGACCTTCAAGATTTGTGCTGAGCATTCAGGCTAGTTTGAGAATTATAGGCAAACGACTACCGTGCAAAAGTGAATATGAGGTAAATATTTAATTATTTTCTTATAGATAAAATTATTTCAATCCTTTTTTTATACCACAGAGGCACCTAACAATCATACAATCCGTCTAATAGTAAACGGTCACTGTAGCCTATGAAATGTAGCCTATAACATCATGAATATCAAATACGAACTTGAAGAAAATTTAGTTCACCTTTTTATAGAATCCCATATCACATATACATATATCTCTAGGGAAAACCTACCTCAGTAGCGAGCTCATTCCACAGTCTGAGCGTTCGGAGAAGGAAACTCTTTCGACCGCATTGCATGCGACCATTTAGGTTTTAGCATGTGAGGATGAATTTCTTGTCGATGATGAGTGGTACGATAATAATAGAGGGTTGTAAGCATCGTTTTGAAAAAATTCTCAGAACACAATCTGTAGAACCACAAAGCGGTAGAACATACAAAGGAAGACAATGTCTCGCCTTTCCCTTAACCTCTGAGCTTGAGATAAAAATACCGTATATTCATGTTTATGAACGTTTATGTTCATTTTTTTAATAGAAATTAACACTGTAATATAATATTAGTACTGGGAGAAAAGAGATTGTTAGTAATGGGTTAGTAACAGTTCCATTGCTAGCAATTTACCCTATCAGGTCGCCCTTCACGCGGTTCCCTATGGAAACCATCGTGGTTAATTGTCGTAAAATTCTTCACAATGGCCTAACTGACCTACTTTAATCTTCAGATATCACCTCTCACTAGTGCCCCGCCAACGTATACCAATAGCGCAAGCGGAGTTACCGTTCCATTTTCGCCAATTAAAAAAATATAATATTAGTACTATAAAATAATTCTAACACTTCTCTAAGGTTGACTGGGAAAGAATGCTTTTAGCATTAAATTTGTCATGTACACATACATACCTGTACTAAATAATAAATAAATAAAAATAAAATATAAAAACAATAAATTATTATTGTTACTATTTTTCCTATTTTAAACACTGAGATATGTTATAATTATATACAATATAATTGTTATAGTACGATGTATTTTGGTCATTGTCAAAATTAAAGTAGAATTAAGTTTTATTTGTTTTTTGTTCTGCAATATTTTGAAAATAACAAAATTTTATTCCATATGATTACATCGGAGATATTTAAAAAAATAATTTAAGGAGTCTTAATAAGAGCTATAGAAACCGAAATAATACTTTTTTATATTTTTCTCTCTGCCTGTATGTTTTTTTTTTTGCCTGTATATTTTATCTTGACACGTGATCTAGAAGTGATAACCTACTTTTAAAATCTACGTATACGAATTTGCAGACAAAAGCTAGTAATTAAATAAAATAGCATAAAAAGTTTCAGGTCTAAATAGATTTATTAATAGCTCTAGTACATATAAAGGCAACTAGTTTATTGTCAAATAGTAACACTATGTATGTATAACTTCAATAATTTGTAAGTACGTAATTAATTGATTGCCATTATTTTACCAGTTGGCAGTAAATAATGTCGGAGTAATACAATATTTTGAATATCATATCTATGTAGATAATGGTTATGTATACAGCGATTCAGTAGTAACATACATACCACCATCTTTGAAAAGTTGCTACGATAATAGAAGATGGCAAAGCAAGATCTTTAATGTAACAACTGATACAGCCTCCAATACATATGCCAGAGCACCAGGTTCGTCTAAAATATGAATTCGTCATAAACTATTTGTAACTGTGCAGATAGAAGAAAGTATTTTAGCGTGTTGTTGAAATGAAAAGTAGACTTTTTATTATATCAATATTTAGGAATTTCTAGTCCATGACTTTGTTTAATTAAAAATAGTGTATCTATCTTAGCAAATGCAACAGCTGAGTTTCTTGTCCGTTCTTCTTGGCTAAAATTGCGTTCCAAATGGGGGGTATTGAAAAAATTACTACATATTAAAAACGCTTAAATCTAACTTTACTTGAATAGAAATATTTCTTTCTTTCTTCTTTCTAGCACGATATAATATATATTTTATACTTCCAAAAAAGCATAAATTCTCATAATAAGTTCATAATTTTATATTAAAAATTATTAATATAACGAATAAAGCAATTAATTGTAACTTGCTTGTAATAGGATTTTTAGAAAGCATATCAATGACGGAATACATGATGGAGCGAATTTCATACGAAATCAATATGGACCCAGTGAAAGTTCGTCTCAATAACCTTAGTCCAGAACGTACGGATGTTACTGAAATTGTTCAAACTTTACTCAAAGATGGTGAATATGACAAACGAAAGGAAGAAGTAAAAAAGTTCAACGAAATAAATAGGTGGAAAAAACGTGGACTGAGAATTGCAATGATGAGTTATCCAATAATTATTGCAATGGATTATCACGTATTAATGTCAGTCTACCATGGCGATGGCACAGTTGTAGTGAAACATGGCGGTATCGAAATAGGTCAGGGTATTAACACGAAAGTAATACAAGTTGTGGCATATACGCTTAATATCTCAATAGACAAAGTAAAAGTTAAACCTGCCGATGTAGCCACAATTCCCAATAATTTTACCACCGGAGGGAGCAGAACCAGTCAAGCAGTTTGCTTTGGAGCTATCAAGTGTTGCCAATTATTACTAGATCGGTTATCTACAATTAGAGAGACTTTGAATAATCCAACTTGGGAATTACTGATAGAGACTGCTTTTAACCGAGGTATAAATCTGCAAACGAGTTATCATGTAAACGCTAATGATCAGGAGCCATATAGAGTAGGAGGTGCTGCTTTAGCTGAAGTAGAATTAGACATATTGACTGGAGAACATGAAATCCTAAGAGTTGATATAGTTGAAGACGTCGGCACAAGTGTGAATCCTGAACTTGAGATTGGACAGGTAAAGATTTTTAGAAAATGATATAAATTTCTAGTCTGCGTCTATCAATTTGATATATAAATATTATATTTGTACCTCTGTTGCAACACACACACAAAGCTGCTTGTTACTGCATCTAAAATAGTTTTACTTTAAGTTAAATAATTATTCACTCCAAACCACGACGTTCAAGAGCCGTATTCAGATAAATACAATTTTCTAACATTTATGAAAATTCTATGTTTAAAAACTATGTTGTTATATTAATACGAATATTACTTGCTTTATATATAGTAATAGTCACATAGATTTTTTATCTCGTTAAATATTTTAAATTTACAGCAACATAGTTTAGTTAGTTCATTATACGTACATACTTCAAAATTTTAAGTTATTGAATCAAAAATAATAAATTAATTAAAAAAATTAAAAAAAAAAAACAGAACTTCTAAACAATTGCAGATCGAAGGAGCTTTCGAAATGGGCGCCGGATATTGGACCCACGAACACATAATCTATGATGATAAAACTGGAGAGCTTCTGACAGACCGTACCTGGTACTATCATGTGCCCCATGCAAAAGATATTCCAATAGATTTTAGAGTACAAGTGCGAAGAAATTCATATAATCCGCTTGGCACTTTAGGAGCTAAAGGTAAAATAAAATTAACTAAAGCTATTTACAATAATATTCGTATAGTTCGAACATTCTTTAAATGACTAATTTTTATTTTTAGGTGTGTCTGAACCACCTATGTGTCTATCTATCAGTGTTGCATTTGCTTTGAGAGAGGCTATAGCGGCTTCACGAAAGGATTCTGGATACCCAAATGAATGGTTTAATGTCGGTGAGTTAAATTCTTTTAATATAATAATATGAATAAAATAGAAATTAGTCTTCATATTTAATGGAAACTAATAGGTATATCTACTACTGTACTAAGATTTCTTTGTTTTCGAACAAGTACTAATTGAATTGAAATTTATGGAAATTTATGAAATTTCATATAGTATATATTAACTAACAATTAATAACAAAATATCTACCTAAAAGTGATGTCCTCTGTTCGTTGTTTAATTTATTTAAAAATCTATATGTAGATACATTATCATTGTCATATATACCATATAAACATATCGTAGACAGTTACTGAAATAGCAACTGTCCTTTCTCCGTTTTGAACCGACTTCAAAAAGGAGGTTCTCAACTCAGTTGTACTTTTTATGTTTCTTTTTTCATAACTCCGGATTTGGAAAATTCTTTTTATCCGAATTGACATACTGAGACAGCTTGTTGAATCTGACTAAATACATTGTTATGGATATACAATGCCTGATTTTAACTATACTTATAATTACCTGGTAAGGTCCACAATTCATTCTTCTAAACGTCATCTCGTACCTACTTGCGTGATAAAAAAAAACAAAAAATATGTAAAACTTAGAACAAGTCGCTTTAATACGAGTAATATACAGTCCATATTAAACACAATTTTTATTATTACTTTCGGTTACTGATTACTTCCCATATGTCTAACATTGAAATACTAATAAAATTAACCTTCTTTAATTTAAATCTTTCATTGTACTCTAATTACGAGTATTATGGATATTATCTATTAAAAAATAATGCCAGTAGCGTTCATACTTATTAATAAATATCCATGTCACTGTTATAAATATTTATTCTATTTATTTTACTTATTTCCCCGATAGGCTAAAAAAATTTATCAACCCTCCTCCTTTTATAAAAATCAGTTCACTAGTTTAGTTTTTACATCAAAACAATTGGTTTTGTTGCAATTGAACTCTGTTTCTTTTTGTGGAATACATTCCTATTTTAATATCGGTTTGAATTAAAAACATATCAATCATTCCAACCATATTCTACCTAAGAATCACAATACTTACAAATAAGTATAAAATTGTTGCCTTCCAAAATTTCCCCTATCAGAATTGAAAATGGTGAGGCATGCATGGTATGTGCACTCTAACGATGTAAGTAGCATAGATAATTCATTACACTGTAATAGTACGCAGTTTTTATAACAATCAATAACTATAAAAAAAAAGTGTTAAAATTTTAAATGACTGTTTATAAATTCGTAAATTTAACACATACCAAAAGTTAATCAACTATTGATAGAGTTACTATTACTCTTCTTCATTCGTGTATTCCAGTGTATTATTCCAGTTTGCAAAAATATTTAATCTATTTTATATAGCAGCTACTTTTATTTTAATTGTACTTTTCATTTATTTTTCATTGCAGATGGACCTTTTACATTGGAGAAAAATGTTTTGAAATCTGATGTTCGTCTTGATGAATTTTTATTTACATAAATATTATGAATAATTTTTAATCTTTTTAAAATAAAAGGTAGTATATAAAAATAATAAGAGACGTCTTCCTTTAAACCTTAATACAATTGATGAAATAGATGTAAGTACAAAATATGTTAATTTTCTTAAAAAATATGTCTCTGATATTAACATAGATACCCAACATAGCCATTCTATTGCTTTTTGTGCTACCTGGAACTTAAGTACAAGTATAATAGTAAGTGACAAGATTTCTGCTTCATAGCTGATTTCAGAGAGCATCCGCTGCTCATATACGTATCTTTAAAGGAACAATTGGTTTTCACCGATTATTTGATTAGAATTATTTTGTTTAATTCCACTGCCATTAGTGTGTGACTGCCAATACTCGAAGACTGACCACCACTATTACTATCAGAAGTTCCACAACTGTTCTTTTGCTGCCATTTTCTTCACACACGTTTTGTTAACACCTAGTTCAGTATAAGATTGATATTCGTTTCCTCTTTGATATATCAACAAGCTATTCATGCCAGCTGGATTCTTTTTTTAGTCTCCCTTGTAAGTCTTAAATACATATAATAATATGATAGTTTCGATGTTTTCTGCATGTAAACTATACTTACTTTTCAGGTGTTCATTTTTAAGCAGACAGTAGGAAGTGTTATAGTTCTTCAAGTAAAGCAGTCATTTTCTCGGGGGATTTTGCGAAGAGGATTATGTCGTCAACAAAGTGAAGAGTGACAGCATTTCTCCATTGTATAAACCTAGATAGGTATTTTATTTTCATATATAATATAGAAATATATATATAGAATTTGTATTACAAAATTATAAATGACTTTGTAAATTTTGTTTTTCATTCATCCATATCAGCCGTTAACTGTCTACTTGGTACGAGTAGTACTGTCTAGAAGGAGGGTTGGCAACTGCGGTAAAATTTTTGGTGTTGTCTTAAAGAGAATGTTTTAGAAAACTTTGTATATCTATGAACAAATTATATGCTGATTGAATCACGTGTACATAATTATATTTATAAACATAAATTAATTGAGTTAAATCAAGCTGCTTATATATTTATGAAGGAATTTCACTTGGGTAAGTTTATTTGTTCTTTAATCACTTTTTACAGTTGAAAACCAACGATTAACGAGTAATACAATATTTTGAATGTATTTTAACTACAAAAATGTTGCTTATGTAGATAGTAAGTAATATAATCAATTACTACATTGACATATTTAAGGTTATTTTCCAGGACGGCCTAACTCTTAAATAAGACCGCGTGTATGTACTCTTAAACATGTTTTTCGTATTACTGGACATTTTCTTCGCACCCTGTGGTGGACATTAGGCAATTTTAGGGTGGGAATGGACCACCTAGCCTACCCTTAGTATACTTAACGATGTATATTATATTATTTAAAAATATTTATTGAGTCTTTCTCTATTTTTTGTCCAATATCTTCTAACATATTCTACTTGTCCCATTGCTAGCAATATACCCTCTCAAATTGACATCCATGCGGTTCCCTTTGGAATCCATCGTGTTGAATTTCAGATTTATTCATCACGATGGGCCAATTGATCTGCTTTTTAATTATCCACTTATCATCTCTCACTGGTGCCCCCCCAGCGTATATCGTTAGCGCAGGCAGGGTTACCATTTCGTTGCCATCCATTAAAAAACCATATTCGATACTGAAACCTCACATTTATATAGATAAAAAGTCTTTATCTTGTTTTTTAAAACTGGTCTTAACCTTCCACAATACTTTGGAAAATATTTACACTATCATGTAATTAAATTGCTTAAGCCAATTTCAAAAGAATTTCGAAAGCCAAAGTGAAAGCACTAGAATAGACTAGTTAGAACTGTTAAATACCTCATCGTTCCAATATCGAAGAATAAGAACCAGTAGTAACAACGAATAAATATAGTTAATTTTAAACTTTCACGTTGTTTACACATATTTTAAATACACAATCGGGACTTAACGTTAACCACGTCGCGGTGCAATCCACGTCGAAACTTCGGCAATAAAGAAATAGGTAAGTAGGTACTATTTACCTGTAAAAGGTTTTATATCGCGTTAAATCCCAATTGAGTATTTAAAAAAAAATCAATAAAAAGAAAATTATGATAATAAAGAGCACGGACATTACTACGGACATTACTACGGTATAAAAAAGTATATGTACCTATTAGAAATGAACACGCAACGCATTTGGTATCAAACGCTTCTTTTCTGTACAATATGCCTGTCACTTATAAGTATACTGTTCATGAATAACTAATAATAATATAGTCAGGCTAAGTGTACGGCCAATTGTCGGTCGATAAAGGTAACTAGGGATATCCATTAATCAAGCATTCCAATTATACTAACCGATTTAGTTCAATGAAATATTGCATGCACCTATATACTATATTAATTACAGCTTCTGTTTAAAACGGAGACGAATGAAATATATTGTGAAACAATATGGCCTCGATTACTGTTCAAATGTATTAATAGTTGGTTATATAGCCACATATGCATGTATTTAAGTAATATTTAAATATCATGTTTATGTACCAGGTATATACGTACTCAATTTTGAGTATATAAAGTTTTAGTTAAATATTGTATCCGCCATGAATGTGGTTCTGTCAAAGTGTAGGTCATTTTAATTAAAATATATTACAAATATAATAAGTATATTTTTATATTACCATGGTGGTGTTATGCAAGTAAACGGCCCGTTTGATGGTAACCGGAACCTATGGACGCCTGTAATACCAAGGATGTCATGCCTGGGTTGTCAACCCTTATTACGTCCTAACGCTCAACACAGTCATAAATTATTGAAAATATATAATAAGTTCCATGATATATACATGTTTGTTTTTATTTTTTATAGGTCTTCTTTCCATTTTTCATTTTTCCGCGATTCCGTTACATCTGCATTTACAATTCTACAGTACCCATTCAGCATTGGTATTAAGTGGCACTAAATCCAGCTATTGTATAAATGTATACCACCCTTTATGTGAAGAGAAAATTAATCAATCATAATTATGTTCCTAAAACACGTATAATATTATAAATAATTAGCATAAGTAATGAGGTTACTAGAAGTAATAACTCATCAAGAACAAAATAAAACTATTGCATTTAATTACTTGATGCAATGAGCTGTTACAGTAAATATAGACTTACAAACTTTAAGATATTACCATCAATTCTATATTTCAATCTACATTTTTACAATATTTTTATAGGCAATTGTTCAGTAGTCATGTTTATTTTGCGCATAATGTACACACACAATGTATCTAGACAATTGGCAAGCGAATACATCGATGGGATCGTTATTGAAAGTGAGTCTATGAGTTTGAATGAGACATACGATATTGCTATCTTATTCTATCTCACGGACTCGCTAGAGATGTCGATTCCATCAATGAATTCGCTTGTCATTTATCTAAAGGGTCTGTTACTTAATCGTTATTAAATTAACGATATATAGCTGGATAGACGGATGTTTCATAATCTTTCGAACAAAAACTACTGAATGGCTTTAAATGAAATTTGGTGTATACTAGTTTAGCATATAGAACACTTTATACACTAATTCAGGCGGGTGAAGCTGCGGGAATGTAAATATCTTCATTACGTCATATATACGTAAATAGATAAAGCTAGTTGTTTCTTACTTATTAATCCTGAATCTAAGAACAAAAATCTTTGCCCTGAATAACTACAGTTGTTTTAAGACAATGAAAACACCGATAAATAACGAAGTGATAGATTGAAAATATTTTAAACATGGAATCATTTGTCGACAGGTAGAATTTGCTCCACAACAAGTATTTTTGCGCTGTAGCAAAAATTTTATCGTTACCCAATAATGTCTTGTCAATTTTAAATAAATACCAAAATTATACATATAACTGGCAGGAAATAAAGTAGTAGTAAATAACTAAAGGACGGTTTAAAAGGGCATGTGCTGTGACAAGGAAATATACTACACAAGATGAGTCTAACTCATACATAGAGAAGATTCTATATATATATAATCAGGTATAACTTCGGAACATTGCAGCTATCTGAAACTGAGGGGCAGAATGAGGCTTAAATATAGCAGCCGAAATTTGAAAAATAGATATATAAATTGAATTTCTAAGTACAATGCATAATAATCTAACCTCATATGCATGGAAAGAAGGTAGGAATTGTTAGTAATGGCAGTCTAAAAACCTCATTGCTAGAAATATACACTCTCAAGTCAACTTCTATGTGGTTCCCCCCAGTAGCCCATCTGAATAATTCTTGTTAAATTTATCACAATGGACCAATTGACCTGCTTTCAGCCTCGCCCATCATATCATCCCTCACTGGTGCCCCTCCAACGTAAACCAATAGCAGGCGGGGCTATCATTCCATACATATATATATATATATATATATATATATATATATATATATATATATATATATATATATATATATATATATATATATATATATATATATATATATATATATATATGTTCCATTATCGATTAAAAAACTCCTTAGTAATTGAAAATGACATCACCAATTTAGGTGTAAATTTTGCACTTTGTAAACTACTATTTCTAAAATAAATATAATAATTAATATTATTAAGATATATTAAACCTATAATCATAATTTGCAAATCTGTGTATAGATTACTTCATCATTCTTTTGCGTGCATTAATTTATACATAATAATGAAAACTAACCTCCGGTTTGAAAAGTATTAAATGGGCAACATCTACACGGTAAGCTCGTAGAACTGTTGAATATGACGGATAAAATAACATTCAGTGTTAATGGACAAAAATGCTCAGGTAAATATAATCATACATTACCTAAAAGTATATATTACTCAGCGATAGTAAATTCCATCATGTACATCGATAAATGTTGTACACAGAGATATTAAAAATAATTTAATTTAAAACGCAGCATCGTGTCTCTACGAACAGATTTTGTTCCGCAAAGAAAAAC